GTGCCAAGGAATGTTCGACCCGCTTATATGTTCGGCTCGCTTATAAGGTACGTTACACAATGCCATTCATGCGGTCTGCACCATCATTACAATAATTAATAAAAACACCCTCTTTTCCACCAGAGCATTAAAACCGAAGCCTCATGCTACCGTTTTGTTTTCATAGCGCATCCCAACTAATCAAGACCCCGATAGCCCCACTAGCCAGGTAGTTAATAATATCCTGAAATCTACTAATTAATCAATAGAAGTTCATGAAATACATTGCAAGCAGCGACGTTAGTGGGGGTTGGGGTTAATTATTAGAGTGAAGGTGTTTGTTACTGTTGCTAATTATATAGTTATTCAAATCCATGATATTAATAGCACAAACCGTGATTTGGCTTTACACATAATTATTAACAACAGGACATCGCTAGAGCAGCTGAGGTTCGAACGTTGCGGGACAAACAAACAAAGTTGCATCAAGTCGAAGTATGTTTAGTTATGAGATCAACCTTCGGTCCGTCCCCTCAGCTATGGAGTCTAAATCCAATCACGCATTAATGAATAAAATTCCCCACCATATACATGACCACCGTTTCGTTTGTCACATCGTTGGGGAGAATGATACTTTGCCACGGGGACTGACCATCGGGGCATTTTGTCTCAGGGCGCTGTTTATTCTATGTGTCACAGTATAAAAGGGTCTTCTGCTGCAATCGACAATTGTCCTTTGCGCTCCTATCTACCTATCTAATGCTAACTGAAATCATATCGTTGAAAACAAAAGAGGCCAAGGGGCTAATTAATACAGTCTGGCGCCCCGGTAAAATTAAAAGGAGCAGGGCAGTACAATCTATCGCCCAAACAATCAAACAGCAAAAGCCCCAATCGTTCCTGACAAATTCCAAGAATCAGCGCGAACCCAACACCTCTCATCGTTGATCGTGTTCATCATCAGTGTGCTCACCATCCATCTGGACTTCCCGAGGGACCATGGTTGAGTATTAAGCTAAATCGGTCTCAACGCATGGTTAATCAATATCAGTGCCTAGTTATAGAAATATTAGCAACATGGTCTCACCCAGGGCCACAACAACAACAGCACATCCTGAGTCTTGCAAAACCCTTTCCCTAAGGAAAAAACGACTTACTCAATGGACGGCGGCATGTCCTCTCGACCCTTCCACGCCTGCGGCAACGTCCCCCAAACAATCCAGCAATAATCCACAAAACGACCGCTGCCAAGGCTATAATGACGCCAGTCTCCCAGCCGGGGATACACCTCCTCCTCGTCCGGGACATTGGAACCGAAGTTCGAGGCCAAGTCCGAGCTAGGGCCGGAGTTTGGATCCGCGCTTGTGGTGGTGTCCCACGGGCGGTGTGCACGGTTGAGTGGGTGAGACCCTAGGTTCTCCAAGTAGCTCAGGATGGTGACGCCGAGCGACCAGACGTCGGCGGCCGGAGAGCACGGGAGGGTTGTGGCCAGTGACGGGTCGCCGCGCAGGGCTGCCGCCAGGGTGTACAGCTCGAGGGCGTCGTTTTGGCGACGGCGATCTAGTGGGACGGGCCTGCCGCGGCGCGCTTGCTGGATGAGGTACAGCTCTGGAGCGAGGAACTGGTGGTCGATGCTGAAGGCTGCCGGGACGGGCTGGTCAGCGGTGTTGGCGAACCGGAAGTCGGCCAGTTTGACGAAGATGTTGTGGTCGCGTTGGATGCGGTATCGGCTTACGCAGCGGTATTACACCAGGATGTTGTCCGGCCTAATGTCATGCGGGTAGCCCAGGAGTGCCATGCTGGCATACATTGTCAGTACTCAGTGGCCCCTGAGCGGTGCTGAAACACTTGCATATAGGCAAGTGAGGGCCGTGTGCCTCACGAGGTCAGCGGGACCCAAAAAGGGGGAACCTCACCTTGTGTGTGACTGGCGGATAACCACTGACACATCTGACGAGCAGCTGTCGAGGCACTCACTGCCAGAGCAATCCAGCCTGCTCTTGATTTTATACAGGACTTGTAAATGGATGTGCCTGCCCGCAGGGGCCAATATACGGGCCCACCCATAAATGACCAGAACTATCCCACTAGTTCTTTCGTACTTGATGGGTAGGTCTCCAGTAATCTATTTTTGGCGTGATTAACGGTGGCCAGACTGACACTAACCCTAACCCTTAACCCTTACTTTGGACCACATCAATGGTTGGGCACCCGGGGCCCGCCTGTGGTAAGTCAAACCTTTTCCACATTTAGCTCTCTAAGCTAGCGTTTTGATCATATTCGCTAGTGTATATTAAAGTTCTCTCACGCGGAACATCGTACCACACGTGAAAATGAATACCAGGTTATGGTAACACGAATACAGCCTAGAAAGCAGGCTGAAAGCCCTCCTCTCCATCGCTGGGATACTCAAACGACGGCAACCCCTGAACAAACTCGCTCCACGACTCATCCGAGACAATAGGAGCAGTGATGTACTCATTGTCATCCGATTCATCCTGCATCGCCTTCAACATGTCAGGCAAAACATCATCATACGCCTTGACCAAGGCGTCGTGAAACCCCGGCGTGATGGTACGTTCCTCAGCAACATCCCATCCGAGATTTGTCGTCAGACACAACATCTCAAAGAGGTGGACAACCTTCGGGTCGACCCCCGAGTCCTTGGCTGCTTCGTATGCCATCCGATGGCCGATGGCCTCAATGAGGGGCCGGCAGCGCGGCAAGATGTGTCGGTTGAAGTCCTGGCCTCTGTGTTTCTCGTACCCACCCAGCTCGGCGATCTTGCACTTGGTGCTCTCCATCATTGCCCGTTCGCGTTGCGCCAGTTTACTAAATGGGTCTCGCGGTTCTGGTAGGCTGTACTTGCCCCCGAGTAGCTCCGACGCAAGACCTGGTAGGAAATTTTAGTCGGGCGGAGTCCACCGAATATTGAAGTTATTGTCATGGAAGAATTGGAGGGAAAGGACTGTGGAAGACGTACGTATGCACAACACAAGATTGTCACCCTCCGCAATGTAGACGCCTTGGAGACTAAGCGCCAGCTCGCTGACCTGGTTGTACGGAAAGAGGCCCTGCCAACCGCACCGCTCGGCGAGTTCATGCAGGATGCCCGATGCCCGCGCGGTAGTCGCCTTGAATATAGTACCCAGCGCATGTCGCACAGTGGGGCTATGGGCAGAACTCATGAACTCCTTCACGGTCCACCGGGCATAGGAATCAAGGACGGTACCCTGGACCCAGCCTTCGACGATAGGCCGCTGCTGCGTGCTGAATGATATGATCGGGGTGTGTCCGCGGCCGTTGGGAGCGCCGACCATCCGCCTTTGGCTGTACAGGGCGGTGATGCGGGTTCCTAGCTTGATGGCTGGTATGCTCCCAATCGAGAGCGCCAGGGTCCCGACGGACACTCGTTGGATCTGTTTCATGAAGTCGATCCGCTCATCTTTCGGCTTGGCAATCGATCCGAGGAGCGCGTTGGGGAACAGCCGGACGTGGTTGAAGCTCGTGATGGCGTGGTCGAGGGGTTTCATGTGGGTTCCGGATCGTGTGGGCAGTGCGCGGGATGTGACGCCGCGCATCATGTGGTGTTCGTCGCAGAGCCAGACGAGGAAAGGCTTGACTCCATGGTCTTGCCCCTCAACCTTGAGCCGTGCGAACACAATGGCCACGCGGGGTATGCCGCCGTTTGGGGTCGTCGGGGGCATAGCCTTTGCGGCTGCGGCATTGGGGGTGTGGAGGTCAAAGGACCCGTCTGGTTGCAGGGTTGCTGTGGTCTCGAGGTTGCGGGCGTCCAGGCCATGGCCGACTTCTGTCAGCATGAATTCGCCGCAGATCTCAAAGTTCAACAACCCGTCAATGATGTTGGACAAATCGGGCCTAGCCTCGACGAAGTTGCTCAAGGTCCCGACACAGAGATTGATGTGGATGGTCGCGATGGTGAAGGCTGTCGGGTCGCGGGCGGCAATCACTGTTACTTCATTAAAACCAAGGCATCCGCGGGCTCGAAATAATAGACCGAAACTTACAGTCGAAGTGAAAATCCCAAAACTTCTTGGTCAAGTAACGGACATCATTGAGGGAAAGACCTTTGCTGAATCAGCTGTCGACTCTTGGCGCAGATCAAGCAATAGTCAACCCTTACCGCTCTCTCGGCAGATTGACTGCGCCCTTTCGTAGTGAAGTGCGATACGTTCCGGGAAGATAGGGTCGTCTTTCTCCCTAGATTGGCTCCAGACGTCTTGCCCAAGCAAGGCACGAGAGAAGGACATGGTGGGCGAAATGCTGCACTAGGGGAAAGGGGTTTTCCAGGGTCAGCAACTGAACCCCCCAAAAGCGGGAACCCGACCTGCTACTTACACAAAAGTTTTAACAGAACCGTAAAATTGCTTCGTCGGCGTGGTCAAGGTTTAGAGAAAGGCAAAAGGAGGGAACAGCTGCCCTGAGTATTATACAGACTGAAGACTAAACCGCGAGATCAACATGGTCTTTGGGATTTCTGCCAAGAAGAAGCCGCCATATCGCATCTCGTCGCGGTTGCTTATTTCCCACGTACTTCGTCTATGGCCTCGCAGCCCAGGCTGTCATAAAATGACTTTTTGTTCGGGTCCCGCGCCCAACCGAGCTAGGTATGCAGGATTAGAGCAGACCTCATCGATTGGCGGCAACGTAGCATCGTCCCATGTTCAGCTCTTTCCTCGTCTTCGGCATCTCCATTCGAGCGACGCCGTGCAGTTGAGACTATTCCCGAAGAAGAAGACCCGAGACGATACTCCCGTCCGGCTGAACTATTTGCTGCTGTCTCAGATCCTCCGTGAATACCCAGTGAAAACTCCTGACGTTATCAGACGTTCCTGAGACTATGATAGGCAGAGCTAGGCGCTAAGAACAGCCGCGGCATGTGGAAGCGGCTGGACACAAGCTCCGAAAGGTGGCAGTTCCGGGCGGTGAAGGGTGGAACAGAGCGAGTACTGGGTTGTAAACTCGGATGAGGGAAGCCGTTGAAATGACCGCCGAAATGACGGCGACGAAACCTGACCGCGATGTGGAATGATACACAGTTCTAGTGTTCCCAGCCGTGTTTGGAGCTTGGAGTAAACCTTCCGGCCCGATCACGCAACAGGCCAAGCGTCATCTGCACTTCGGGGCGATCAGGAGAGTATCAGGGGGGGTGAGTTCCGCAGTGGGTTCTAACTCGACTAGCTGCGGGAACGTCCGAGATCCCGGGAGCGACCGAAGAATTTTTGATCACTTCGTGGGGGTAAAAACCGCTCGTTTTGAAGGCTGAAAGTTCCTTTTTGATGCAGCCTCTTCGGGAGAAGATAACTGATGACGGAGAAAAATGCCCAATTTCCGGTCTCTAACTCTGTGTTCAAAACATCGAAAAGCCTTATTAGTGTGGTCGAAAAGATATTTCACCCTATGACTGGGCTATCCATTCTAACACCCGTTATCAGAGGGGGGAAACGGTCCATGCAATCCTCCCCGGACAAGCCCGCGTTCCTCACCTCCTTTTTCTTTTTTCTTTTCTCCCTGCGGCGCGAGGGACCTCCCTTCAAAATCCGAGCCCCACTGTCCCACTTCCGTCCTCTCGCCAAGCTCCGGACCCTGAAGAAAAGCCTCGGTGGGGCGGTTGGGTTGGGTATTACCGGGACGCCGGATTCCCTTCGTGGCACGGCGGAGGGCCAACTTCCACGTTCGTTGTTCATGCACCATGGCAGCCCTATCCGAACGGCCCCACAATCACCGTATTGAGCACGGAGACTGGCTGGCAAACAAATCTTTACAACTCCATTCGTCGGCCGCAAGAGAAGGAGGAGGTCAGGAGGTCCGGTCCAGCTCGACAGGGAAGAAGAAAGGGTCCCTTATCCGTGGGTACCTAACGTTACTCACTTTCCCTAGGGCCTTCCCTCCCATCGCAAAACTCCGTGATCACCGCCTTTCCCCGTTGACGGGGCGGGCAAATCCCGAACCCGACGGCTGATCTTCCCGCGTTCCCCACCCGCAGGGCTAGGCTCGGGAGCGGTGTCGTTAGCTTGGTACCCTGGTTGCCGACGCAACGGCCCGAGGGCGTTCTCTCACGTGAATATGTTTACATGCCCCTGAGCAAACACTGTTTCAAGGGTTCAGGTCTTGGCGGACTATAAATCAACGTGACTTGGCCGTTCGCGAGTGTGGTCTAGAAGTGGTACAAACCGTCGATTTGTCTCAACGCCACACGAAAACTCCGGGGGAGAGAGACCTCGCTTTTTTACAATGACAATACACGTGTAGTCGCACCGTCCCTAGAGCCCTGGAGCAGTGGCTGAAGACAACGGCAACTTGATTCAGGAAACGGTCTGTCGGTCAAGCAGACCAATCAGTGGTCCGAGCGTGAGACGCTGATCCAAAATGTTTCAGGTGGTGCAAATCATCACGCCAGTGTCAGGCCATTTTGAACCACTCAACTTTTCATGATGCCTTATGTAGGGACTTCTCCACTTTAAAATTGCCGAATCATCTTGTCGCTCCAAGACCCTCTTCGTCGAGTCGTCGTTTTGTAAGCCCGATCTAGAATCTTTTCAATTTCCCGACGGCGCTTCTGAAAACACCGGCTCTCTGTCGTTGACAAGGAACCCACTATAGAGCATTAGAGTCAAAGATTGATTTTGCTACTAAGAGGCGGCTAGAGTAAAACGTCAAAACCATACCGGAGACTGTTCGATATAGCCGCTGACTACATCCTAGTGGTTTTGATGGCACGGGCTCACTCCTGGATTATGGTCGCACGGCCCATTCCTCGGCAGATTTGCACGTGCACCCCACGAGTCACCGTTCTGCTGCACCCAACCTAATTACACCTCCATTCCATTCTACCTCCGAGGCTCCGTATGACTGTGGTAGCATGTGGGGTACCGATTGAGTTTAAGCAAGGTAGATTGTATAATAAACCTTAGAATGTTAGTTCCATCCTCAAGGGGCCTCTCAAAATGTTTTGCCGAAGGACGTTGGAGAAAATATGTGCTGGTACAGATACGGGTTGTATTATTCACGCCTCGAAGGAAAGTGAAAAGGGGACAATGTCGAAGGCTGTGCCCATAAATCAATCCGATTGGTCCGCTGGCTCAATGGCAGAGCGTCTGACTACGATGAGTAAATCAGGAGGTTCCAGGTTCGACCCCTGGGTGGATCGAGATCTTTATGCTTTTCATCTTCGGTATGATTTTTGGATTTGTGCTTGTTTGCTACATTAGGCTCCAAAACTGGTGTATTGATTGGACTATCGACGACAGCCCTGGTAGCTGTACTGTTTTTGTCTCAAGGCAACATATATTTATTAATTAATACTCAATTACTCTCTCAATCATCAACTTCTACGCCTGGACCCAGTAGTTAACTCATCAAACACAACCAAATCAATGAATCATTCATTGCCGATTTTCAAGATAGGGAAAAGGTAGTAACTATCAAAATCATTTCATTTATCACAACCCAACATAATTTTTAACCCCTTCAACCCTCACTCACCACGACCTCCGCACTCACAACCTGCACATCACCATCCTTCTCTGCATCTCCCTTCCCCCCACGCACAACGACCTCAACCACATTACTCGCCCCCTTTCCCTCCACCGGCAGCTCACCCTTCCACCGAAACTCCGCATCCCCTTCTCCTCCAAAATTCGTATCAAAACAAATCCCCTCATGCAATCCCACAACAGGGAACAGTCGGCCCTCAACACCAGTCACCACAGCCTCGAGCCGCACGCCGTTCCGTGTAAACCACATCTCTCCGCGGGCCAAATCCACCCCTGCCCCCACGGTATCGCCGACGCGGTATTTTTGGTCGTCGTACTCGACGTCAACAAATGCGCTGGGGTTACCCCGGTCAGACGTCGAGGAGTAGACACCGCCCGTGTCGGAGTGGTACCCCCATGAGCGTGCGGTGTTGGTACTGTCGGGCGTTGCCCACCAGCCGGGGAATTCTAGCGCCGCGCCACCTAAGGTGCAGAAGCCGATGGCCATTTCGGGGTATGTCGGTGCGGGTGTGGTTTGTGCGGTTGGGTTGGGGAGGTCCTGGAGTGTGACTTCGAAGTAGTACTTTTCCAGCCCGGAAGGGAGCGGTCGGTCCGCTGAGACGCAGACGCGCTTTCCAGTGGTGTGCACGATGCGTGTGCTTCTTCCTTCTGTGGTGGTCGCTTTCTTCTCCCCGTTGGCCTCGTCTGGGCCACCACTAGTGGTATCGCCACCAACAACAACCACACTGTCCCGCGCACTCCCGGCGACGGCCGGCCAGTTTCGGCCCCACCCCCGAGGTAACAAGCCGCCCCATGCCGCGGGCCGCTTCAAGAACGTCTCGGCCTCAACCCGACCGAACTGCTGGGCCAGTGCCAGTGGCGTCCAGCCGAACCGGTCCGGCCTGTTCAGATCCACACCGAGCCGGCCAAGCTGTGCTAGCAGTGATACGCTGCCGTTAGCGGCGCACACGGCGGCCAGATCGGCATCCGCACGGGCCGCAGAGGGGTCTGCAGTGATCAAGGCCGCAAGAACGGGCTCATAGGCTTCTGTCTTCTTGGTCGCGATGGACCACTGCTCGTGGGCGAGGGCTAAAGGCGTGCGGCCGTGGGCGTCGAGCGGGGAAGGGTCTGCGCCAGCGGTGAGAAGGGCCGTTACGGAGGAGGCGTGGCCATGGAGAGCCGCACGGTGAAGCGGTGTCACGCCATGTTTGGTGTCGGGGGCGTTTAGGTAAGGGAGGCTGGGGGCCGGCTCGGGTGATGGGGACGAAGAGGAGGAGGCGGCTAGGTCGAACAGTTTGGCGAGAACCCGGGTGAAGCCGTGGTCGGCTGCCTGACGTACCGCGGTGCGACCGGAACGGGTCGGAAGGATGATTTCGGAAAGCGGGATGTTGTGCGCAATGAGGGCGTCGAGGATGAGAACGGCGGATTCCTCGTCATTGCTAAGACACGCGCAGAAGAAAGGGGACCATCCGCTGTGGTCGAGCTGGTTGATCTGCTTCGTGTACTGGAGCAGCACCTTGACAGTGCCTGACAGCCCCTTCCGGGCCGCGGTGTGAAGCGCGATACGGTTGATTTTGTCAGCGATGTCCGGGTCTGCGCCATGCTCCAGTAGTGCTTGCACGCACTTGCTGTAGCCGTAAAAGGCAGCCTCGTGGATCGACGTCGTGCCGTGCATGTCAGTGTCGTCGATCTCGAGGACCTCGGACTGGAGCAGGATCTTGAGAATCTCCACCTGGCCGTTGGTGCAGACAATCTGCAGCGGCCGTGCTGAAGCCGCATTCTCCGAGTTGGTGTCTGCGTTGTGCCTGACAAATGCCTCGAGCAGCGGCTTTGGCACCTCCCGGCGCATCAACAACATGTGAAGCGCCGGCAGTCGCCATCCGTCCAGCGGGTGCACGGCGTCGATGTCGACACCGTGGTCCATGAAGAGGTCCAGGATTGCGGGGTCCTCTCCGCGGTTAGAAAAGGCAAAGTATTGGAGTGCGTTGTAATGCACACGGGTGCAGGCGGCCTTGGGGTCTGCTCCATGGTCGAGCATCAACTTGACCCCTTCCAATGTGATGTCGCTCTTGATCAGCCAGTGCTTAAATGCGCTGCGCTCAGCTTCGTGCTCAGCGTTCACATCGGCGCCCGCTTCCAAGAGCAGTTTGAGGACATCAAGCGAGCCTCCGGAGCATGCCGCGGCCTGCAACGGGCTGTAACCCCCTGAAAGTCCTTCTAATTCCTCACCACGATCGAGCAAATGCCGAGTCCAAGTCGTAAGCCCAAGGAACGCGGCCACGTGCAGGGGCTTATGGGGCCCGTTCGCAATCTGGAAAAGGTCGTATTCGTCTTTTCTCGCGGGGTATTGCCTTTGCCACGCATCAAACACTGCGGGCGTCTCAAACACAAACTTGTCCAGCTCGCCGATCAGCGCTGCCCAATCGCTGTTGTTTTCTCGCTCCTCGACCGGCCACAATGCTTCGGCCTGCTGTACGTGCCAGGGCCAGTATTGCAACTCGTACCTGATTCGTGTGTTGCGGGTGTCGTCATCATCGTCCTGCTCGTTGTCCTCTCCTTCGTCCGATCTGGCAGTCGCAAGTTCTAAGGCAGTTGGACCTTCGACGTCCTCGTCGTCGAGCGAGCCTTCGGTGGTGTATCCGTCTTGGGCCTCTTGCAGCTGTTCATCCACGGTTGGGCCACCCGAGTCCGACGCGCCGTCGTTCTCTGTCGTCATAGTAGCTTCGGCTTCCGTGGAGCTAACACCGGCGTCCTCTGTCTCCGACGAGGGGGTCACTGTGCTTTCACTGGCCACCTCTTCCTCCCTTTTCACAGCTTGTGTGGGCAAGACCAAACCCGCCCGGTGCTGGAAAAAAGGATGGTTCAAGTGCCGCAAACACGTCAAGGCCATTTGGAGGTGGGACACCTTGGGGTCGATGTACAAAGAGGCCGGGGACGACGCAGTGGTCCCGCACTTGGAACACAGGTGCTCGTGTTCGCGCTTCTTCTCCTCGGCCGCAATCCACTCGCCGGACCGGATGAAATACTCCGTGACGGCTACCGCATCACTCTCGTACACCCACACGCGCCCATTCTGCTCGGGGAACAGTTTCAAGAACGGGTCCGTGGCACCACGCAGCTGGTCTAGCTCTAGTCGGGAGGTAACGGGAAACTCGGCCTCGATCCCGTCCAATGTCTCTGACTCTGGGGGGATGTCGTAGGTGCCCTGAAACCCGTCCATGATCTCCCTCGCATGAGGCAGTCCTGGGAAAACCGGCGCTAAAAGGGTCCAGGTGAGTGCCGTGCGGAGCAGACCGAGGTAGTTGGGGCTCATCTTGCCCAGCGCCTTCCCATACACGTCGTCAATTCCCTCAGGCAGCGCCTCCAGGCGGGTGGAAAGTGGACGTTGGAACGGTTCGCGCATGAACGGGATGGCAGTGTCTTGCACGTAGGAGAACCGGGACCGCGCTTTCTCGAGAATGGCCTCCTTTGCTGCCTCCTGTTCCGCGGAGGACAGACCCGGAACGTCCTTCAAGGCATTCTTTAGTACTACTTCGATATCCCGCCGATTGCTGAGCTGAACATCGAGGTACTGGTAGGGCTGGAGATCAAGATCACTGAAGAGTTTTGTCGACGAGGCACAACCGATGAGAATCCGGACATCAGTCCCGCTTGTGTCGCCAGAGACGGCGTCGAGAAGGCCCCGCAGCTTGCGCAAAAGCTCCTCCTGATCCTTGTCGCTGATCACGGTCTTGTCCACGCCGTCAAGAACGAGAACCGTCTTCTTTTTTAGCAGGGACGCAAGCTGAGCAAACCCCTCAGAAAATTCCGGAAGTGAATCGCTCTCGGAACGCATACGCCCTCCCAGTTGTATTTTTCCTTTCGCTTTCTTGAATACAGCGTTGCACGATTCGAGTAGACCCACGTGGTCTTCTCCTTGGACGGCTAGCTCGTAGAGCTGCGACAGAAATGTGCGGCAGATGGCGTCCGCTGTGTACGATTGGGTGTTGCCGAGATGCCCGTCACCGGCTGACCCGGTGCACGCGACGTAGAAAAGGGCTTCTTCCGGGCCGGCCGCACGCGTGATGCGGTCTGCGATGGACGCTACCACGTATGATTTTCCGGAGCCTGCCAGCTGTTAGATTTATCACATCCAGACGAGAGGAACCGAAGAAAACAAACCTTCGGGGCCGGTAACGCAAAGGATTTTGCCCTCGGGCGCATCACCCCACTGCGTATAGGAGATTTCCTCCAGAACCCATTCACAAGTACCCGGGTAAATGTCGTCAATTCTGTCACCTAATACCTTAAAAGAGCCTTCCAATGGGCTTAAGACCTCCTGGAAAGCTTGGAAATCTTGAACGGCGTAGTCCCACTGCGTTTTTCGCTTGGTTGACGCCTTGATATCGTCGAGACCCTTGATGAGCACTTCGAACTTGGCCATGGCGTCCTCGTGAAGCTTCTTTTGTGTGTCCTGAAAGTCCTGGATATTGCGGACCGTCCCTTCAATCCCAGCCAGAACCGTAGACACGTTATCGAGGTGGGTGAGTGTCTTGTCTTGGAACGCGCCCTGACTCTCCTCCAAAATCTTCTTCTTGAACGACGCAACGGCGCCAAGCTTGTCCTCGAACTTAGCCTTGGACAACCCAAAGAAATCCTTGAACCCGTGCTTAATTCTCGTCAGACTGCCCGCGGTCAAGTGCCGCTTGATGGCAAAGGAGAACTCTAGCACGGCGGCGTAGGCCCCAATGACGTCCTGGAAGAGCTTCTCGACTAGCGGGCTGGGCTTCCACTGCGGCTTAGACCGCTCATCGTACAGCCTGTCGTAATGGCGCACGATGATCATGATCTCGCTGATGTCACTCAGGCCGGAGCCGAAAAATGTGTAGAGATCATAGTTGCTGTGGATAGCCGTCAACGTGAGCTTGATCGCATACCACGCCATCCCAACGCTCTCGGGTGCATTTTTTGTCAGGAAGTCGCCCGCGGCAACAAAGTTTTCAATGTTGCCCAAGATGTTGGCGATCCAGGACTCGGGGATCTCGACATCGCCCAGTTTGCGGCTTCCATACTTCTTGCCGGCATCGCCCTGGAGCGCCTCGGCGGCTGTCTTGGTCTCTTCAGGGGTGGCCCTTTCATGCAGGAACTCGTTGAGCAGTTCTAGGTCCTTAGAACTAGAGTGACGCTCGGCAGCGTCCTTGCGGAACCGGTCGAGGGCCTCATCGTACAGGCTGCGCTTGTCCTTCTCCTTCTCCATATTGTGCCCGGCTCTTTGTTTGTCGTCAATCAGGGGTATCAGATGCGGGGTGAGAGGGGATGATGGCGAGAACACAAGAACTTCATGGAAACGCGATGTTTGGTCGAGTCGATTGAGGGGTAGTTATCACTCAGTCAAGGCCAAGCCCCAGTCTATTCTTGCTTAAAATGCCCAGCCTCATCGGGGGCCGTTTGGAGGATTTCAAACCATCTCGTCGGCCCAATCTCACCCACCCGCGCGACCTGAAGCGTAGAGCGGGGATGCGGAGGAGGGGTCCATCGGGAAACATGCCAGTCGACGATGTTCATTTGGTCTAAACCGAAAGTCTGGGCGCTGACATGCAGCGTGGATCGCGTGGGTTTAGGGCGCCATTGGCCCAAGGGCTGTTGAATTTGGTTGCCTGGTGCGGTCCGTCTGCCGGTTGTGCGGGGCAGGGCTGAGCAGGCGAAGGATGATTCCGTCTTGGGATACAAGAAGTTTGCGAAACGAGCAAAGTAAGGAAGTAAAAAGTTGAGAAGTCTGGCGGGCTTTGAGATGGAAGGCTCGAAGGGTCTAAGTCCCTTCTAAGATGTAAACGGAGGGGAAAGGGCGACCTGCGAGCACAAATCTGCTTGCGTCGTGTAAGGATTACCGTAGATACCGTTCGCATTACCGTAACTTACGTCTTGAATTGTCTCAAATTTTAGTGGGCCCGAGTTTGTCTAGGTGACGCGTCTGCTCGCATTTCTTCCCAAACTTATAAGCACACCGCAATGTGAACAGTAAACTTTCCCGATAACCTTCCCCTTCTGCCCCCCGGCCCATTTGTTTTTGGCCATGGTACGCACGCTGGGCGCCGGCTTCCACCTCGGTAGCTGGCGGCGATACATCATCGCCGTCGCGCTAGGCCTTTTCGCAGCGGGCTTCTTGTATGCTTCCTTCGACGAGGTTTCCGCGATCGCGCCCTGGCGGCCGACACTCCCAACCATCGCCACGTTCCCCTCAGCACCGCTCGCCAAAGCATGCGATGGCATCCAATCTGCGCCCGCCAACAAGAACAGCGCAGCGACGAACGCCGACCCCAACGCCCCGATCCCGAACATCGTGCACTACATCTGGCTGCTGGCCGACCCAACCAAGTTCTCGCTGAGCTTCAAGGTCTTCATCAGTGTCTACTCGTCCCACCTCTTCCTCCACCCCGACCGCATCTACTTCCATACCGACGTGTCCAAGGAGCTATGGGAGACCTCCAAGCAGTCGGGCGACCTCTGGACGAAGCGCATCCTCAACATCCCCGGCGTAACGCCCAAGTTCATCGAGAACCCGCGGGTAACATCTAAGGGCCAAGAAATTGACACCTTTGGCGCCAAATCCGACTTCATCCGCGCCGATGCACTGGGTGAATATGGAGGCATGTACCTCGACGTGGACGCGATCCCCTTGCGCGACGTCGCGCCACTCCGAAACGCCGGCTTCGCCAACGTCGTCGGCGGCGCCGTGGTTCTCCGCACGAAGTACTCCGGATTTGTCAACACCGGCGTATGGCTATCCCGTCCGCACTCAAATCTTGTAGAGATCTTTGGCCGCGCCATGGACGCCTTCTACAACGGCGTCTGGGCCATCAGCGTCGACATCCTCACCGACCTCTCCTTCCGCCTGCACGCGATTCCAGGCGAGGTGCTGATCATGCACCCCAAGGCGTTCGCGCCGACCTCGTTCGAGGTGGAAGACCAGGAACGCCTGTTCCGGCCGCACCCAGGGTCGGCGGGTGCGAACGGGGCTATAACCGGAGTGAAGACGGAGTCACTGGGGACGACGTGTGAGGATGCGCTCGCGTGGCTGGCCGAGCGCGAGCAGCATCATCTGCCGGGCCGGCCCCACACCGAGGGTTGGGAGATGGACTTTTCGGCCACGTACGTGTTGCACGCCTTTGACGACGACGCGGATCGTGTTCGCGGGTGGGATGGGAAGATTACGCTGCAGTACGTGTTGGCGCAGCAGAGCAACTACGCACGAGCAGTGTACCCCGCTGTGAAGCATGCCATTGACGAGGGGATCATCACGAAAGAGGAGACGGTTTAATGAAAACGGACAGGTTACGGAGAACTCCGAAAAGGAGAGGGTAATGAAGCGGAAAATAGGCACTGTGAGCGATACATTGGGATACGACATTATTTTAGTACCCATACCTTAATGACTTTTGGATGAGCTTTAGACTATCTAGGGATCGAACGGGCGCACGCAATGAGGAGTTGGCACCGGGAATACGCGACACTCATGTCTTGGAATGCGCGAATCGGGAGTTTAATTAGTTAGTTCCTCGGAGAATACATCCGCGGACAAGACGGAAACAACACGGCCAGAGCGGTCGGAGATTTATTTTAACCGGAATGCACGAGATCACGGAATGGAACAACAAACGGTCGTAACCGGGACGGGAATCAGATGATAGGCGCCTCGTTGACGGCAACTGTACACCCTTATATACAGAAGAATAAAACATTTAATGTTCAGAGAATTGACAATCGCGGCGCAATGCTGCTTGCTTCCATGTTTGCATTCTGACACACATTCCCACCGACCTCCCATTTTCTTCCAGCCTTCACTCTGTTCCGTGGGCCATCATAGGCTATGACAGTTTACGAAGACAGAAGCTGGACGATGGCGTCGTAGTTGGCCTTGGGGCTGTAGTTGCTGTCAAAGAGAAGGGGGTTGCCCTGGGGACGCCACGAGTCCTGCATATGTGTGTTAGCCGTTATCCTTCTTCAGTAAGTTCGGGTAAGTTAACTTACAGGGTCGCGCACACCCCAGACGGTGATACCAACGCACTTCTCCTCGTCCAAGCAGCCCTGGGTAACAGCAGTGTAGTCGTTGGTGTTATCACCCTGGATATCCAGCTCAGTAACAGCAACCTCGCTCACACCCGACGCAGCAAGCGCCTTGATAGCGCCAGCGAGCCCAGAGCCCTGGCCGGACTGCAGATGGCCCTGGGTGCCGATACCGTCGATGGGAGTGCCGGCGGCCAGCCACTTCTTGACGTGGTCGACCATGCCCGTCGTCAGCTTGGCCGCGCTGGCGCTGTCCAGGTTGTAGTCGTTGATGTACAACTTGGCGTTGGCGTCGGCTGCGCGGGCCGCGTTGAAGGCGATCGCGACGAAGTCCTCGCCGAGGACGTTGGAGAAGACGGACTGGCGGAGGGAGCCGTCTTCGTTGAACATCTCGTTGATCACGTCCTAGTGGTGGCGTTAGTGAAGTTGTTTCTCCGGTGTTGTTTTGTTTTAGGGAGGGTCCAGGGGCAACATACATAGCCGTAGATCTTGCCCTGGTAGCGAGTCATGACGGTGGTGATGTGCTCCTCAATGGCAGTGGTGAGCGTTGCCTTGTCGTTGATCTGCGACACCCAGCCGGCGAGCTGGGAGTGCCAGACAAAAGTGTGGCCGCGGATGGTGATGTTGCGCTCAGTGGCCCAGTTGACGAGGTAGTCGGCCTGGCCCCAGTTGTACTGGCCCTGGCTGGGGTTGATGCTCTCCCACTTCATGCTGTTCTCGGGGGTGACCTGGCCGAAGTTGGCCTCGATGATGGCCGCGTTCTGGCCCGTCGTGAGGCGGCCCTGATCGGCGCAAGTACCGAAGTAGTGCTTGCCCTTGGCCTGGAACAGCGTGTTGACGCTCTGCTCCGCCTGGCGGCTTTCCACCGTCGGCGCAGCGGCCACCGCGAGGGGCGCCAAAGCAAAGAGACCGGCCTTCATGATGGTTGTTGTGGTGTGGTCGTGGTGTTGGGAAACGCTGGGATGAGTGCTGTGAAGGACGAGACGGCTTCAAGGACTCTTGCGTGTCTACCGAGACTCCAAAGAAAAACAAAACCGATTCCCCGGAAAGACCGCGGGAGGGATCGTCATAAATACCTGGACGAGGTGGACCGTGAGCTAGCCAAGGCCTCACAACCTAGGTCCTATGTAACCACCAAACATCCCCCCCATCTTCTCATCGAAACGCCCAGAATTCTACCCTTCACCTCCCCCCGGACCGCAATCTATTCACAGCCGCCCCAGTCAACTGTCGAACCGCTCATCCATGATCTCAAATCCACAGCAATCCAGAGCACCGCGCCGTGATCTATCCACCCCAAGTTCCGGCCCGCATACGGGATTCCCGTGTGTGTGTGTGCGCTTGTCCCCCCAAAAACCCGACCCCAGTTCCACACCCCCCCTTGTCCCTTGTACCTGATGATCCGCGTCACTCCTTTCCTCTTCGGCGCCGACCCGGAATCTTCGACACGGCGCCTAATCCGGCAATCCTTCGGCACCTGGTTCCCTGAATGCGGGGCGGACATCAACGCCAAGCGCGCGCTCAACTCAACTGGTTAAAAAATACCTTGTTGTCGTCCATTTTCCATAATTCCATTCATGCTCAAGATGCCTTCCATCGCCTTGGCATACGCAACTACCACCCCGGGCCGGCTTTTGCAGCGTCCCTCTCACTTGCCGCAGAGTTTAGCCGCACCGCCCGACGGAAAACGGCTAATAAAGGGGGAAGAGGATCATCGCGGTTTTTTACCAGATTCTTACCTTTACGATGCTGCTTTGCCTTCTTGGCTTGTTTCGTGTTCTTCTTATTTTCCAGCGAACAAAACAAACCGCTGTTCCCCACAGAGACCGAGTCGGGGATTTCCCACAGATCATGCCCGGGACTTGGGCTTCATAAACACACAATTGGTGCGCGTGCCGAAAAAAGGTTCCGGGTGAGCCAATTGGTGGAAGAATGAACGGCCCACGTGGGTGCCGTTGTTCATCTTTCGTGATATGATCTGCAGTTCACGTACCTACATAGTATGTATGTGGAATATATCCTCTTTTGCTTGACGGTAGGTAGCTAAAGACGGTTTTCGTGGCCGCTCAACCAACCGCGGTGATAGTCTAGTCCTTAAGACATCTCCACGATATGTCAAGCGAGGGGAACCTAAAACATGGCCGTGGTGCCAACAATTATCTAATATCTCCTGCGACACTCGAACGATAGCCGAGTCCATCGTCTTGGGAATGTTATGTCGTTTGCCTCGAGAAGAATGGCTCCCGAATCGAGCACTCAATCGCCTTAGGCCTGTTGTAAAAGGACGGTCGGCCGATGCATATGAAGCATGTAAACGGAATTGTGCTTCCCGAACCATACGAAGCTTTCTCCATGGTTCGCATTGTTTGTAGCCCTCGTATTACTAAAGATGCAATATAGCGGCCGTCCCTTCTCCAATCCCCAGAAAGGGTACTTTATGGTCCTCATAAATCGTATTCTGGAGCGGACGCCCACTTTACAAAATCAAATCAACACTGGCAGTGGCTTGTTCAACCCGGGTATCGGTCGCCGGCCGGACGGATGGAAAGAAGCTTCGCCAATGCCTTCGTCGCCCATTATTGCGTCCTGCAGCCTCGCTCGTTGAGGTTAAACCACCTGTCGATCATTTTGCGAGATTGGGAGCAATATATCTCGCCGGCTGAACATAGGACCCTCGTTCGTCAATGTAGACCGCGCCCAGCCGGGACAAGAAAGAGCTGCTTCCTAAGCTTCCCTAGATTCCCCAGATTCCAAGAAGCTCTTCGATGCCCAGAGATCAATATTCAGCCCGGTTTGAATAACAAGATTTCTTGGCAGAGAAGTCAGGCAGACTTCAAATAATTACTTATCAACCAAAAACCTGGAACGCCCAAGATGCATTCGTGAACTTAGAATAATACACGTAGACTACATACCGCATCAAATCATTCATCTCCTGACGTTCATTTCGACAAAAATGCCTGGAACGCCTTCTGGTCAATGACCACGTTGCCGACCGCTCGCAGACGCTTACGGCCCTCCTTTTGCTTCTCCAGCAGCTTACGACGGCGCGAAATATCACTCGCGTGCAGCTTGGCCAGCACGTCCTTGCGGAACGGCTTAATGGTCTCACGGGCGACAATGCGTTTGCCCACGGCCGCCTGGATGATGACCTCTGTAAGGCTTGTTAGCAACCTGTTGTTCCCATACCCACAAGTAGGGTAGCACAAATCCTAGTCAGGAAAGAGGGGAACATACCAAACATCTGTCTCTGCACATGCTCCTTGAACTTAGTCACCCACTGCCTGCCCAACCGATCGACCTGGCTGTGATGCACCACGCGCGCAATGGCATCCACGGGCTCCTTGTTCACCAGCAAATTCATCTTCACCAACCGGCTAAGCCGCCACCCAGCATCCTCATAATCCAGCGTCGCATATCCTTTCGTGGCGCCCTTCAGCTTCCCAAACAAGTCATCCACCAGACACGACATGGGCAGCTCATACTTGAGCATGACCTGATCCGTGGCGTGGAAAAACTCAAGCTTCTTGTGTTCGCCGCGGGCCTCGGCGCACACTTCCATGACGCGGCCCAGGTATTCCTGCGGCATGGTGATGGTGGCGTTGACGTAGAACTCGTAGATCTCGGCGCGGCGCATGCGCACATCTTCGCCCTCGGGGAACTGCGCCGGGTTGGTGATGATGGTTTCGGACTCGGCGCTGCCGTCTTTGGTGTTGTTCCACACGATGCGGATCGGCACGGCGGGTTCGGTGATGATCACGTCGGCGCCGTGTTCTTGGCGCAGCCGGTCCTGGAAGACGGAGCAGTGCAGACTGCCGAGGAACCCGAGACGCCAGCCCGCGCCGAGCGCTTCGGAGAAGTCCTTTTGGATGGTCACGCTGCGGTCGTTGAGCACCAGCTGCTTGATGCTGTCCTCCAGCTTAGTGTAATCCGTTTGATCCGTCGGGAACGCCGCGACGAAAACCATCGGTTTCGGCTCCTCGAACCCCGGGTACGGCGCAACAATCCTCTCGGAACCAACCTTTGTAAATGTATCCCCAAGTTTGGCATCCTGGATTTTCTTCATCCCAGGGTTGAAAAACATGTACCCAACCTGCCCAGCCCTCAACAACCTCTGTGGCACCTGGTTGGGGTACTGTATCCCGACCTCGCCCACGGTATACTCCTGCCCAGTACCCAGACTCACCAACTTATCCCCCGGCTTAACCGTCCCATCAAACACCCTCACCAACAACACCACCCCCTTAAACGTATCATACCACGAATCCACCAACAAAATCTTCAACGGCCCATTCAAATTCCCCTCCGGCGCCGGGACATGCTCCAGCACCGCCGGCAAAATATCCCCCACCCCCAACCCCGTCTTCGCGCTCACCTGCACCGCAAACGACGTATCCAACTCAAACACGCTCCGCAACTGCTCCAGCGCGCGATCCACATCCGCCGTCGGCAAATCAATCTTGTTCACCACCGGCACCAGCGACAGGCCCTGCGCAAATGCCAGATAAAAGTTTGCCACCGTCTGCGCTTGCACACCCTGCGAGGCGTCGACGAGCAGTAGGGCGCCGCCGCAAGAGGCATAGGAGCGGGTGACTTCGGCGCGGAAGTCGACGTGGCCGGGTGTGTCGACTAAGTGGAGGAGGTAGTCGAGGCCGTCGCGCGGGGAACGGTAGAGCATGGTGCAGGTTTGGGCTTTGACGGTGATGCCGCGTTCGCGTTCGACGTCGAGTTTATCCTGCCCGAGGAGAGGGATAACATCACATGTTAGTCGTGTGGTTGACTCCTTAACACCCTGAGGGACACAGAGAGAATGCACAGAGCAAGAGAGAGAGAGGCAAGACGCACCAAAATCTGCTTATTCGCCTCACTCGCCGAGATCGTCCCGGTAAACTCCAGCAGCCTATCACTCAACGTGCTCTTCCCATGATCAATATGCGCGACAATGCAAAAGTTGCGGTACCGCTCGAGGGGAATAGCCTCGATGCGCTTCTCAACTTCGGCGGCGCGGCGCTGTTCGGGTCCGTCTTTGGAAGAGGCTACGGAGCGACGTTGAGAGCGTAACGCGGTTGGTATGAGGGCAGGTATTGGGACGGTTCCCGGTCTGTTTAGTGTGGGGAGCGGGGTGTTGGTGGTTGTGGTGGTTGATGATATTCTCGGTCGTGACCCGGGAACAAGATATGGTTTGCTGCTCCAGCCCGCCAAAGTCCTCCTACCCGTACTCCTGAGGTTTATACACCCCGTCCCGCTACCTGCGCCCATTCGCAAACATCGCTGTGCGCCCCGCGCAACGGGCGCTAGACGCACACGCTGCAGCCATGGTCCCATCCGTATGTCGCGGCCCGGCACGCCTCACTTCCAATTGAGTCGGTACTATGACATATAATCGGTATCGGCCGAGATTGTGGAGAAAGGGTCGTCGGGTGTTCAGGTGTCTCGTCCTTTTAGTGAAGCTGTCGTCGGTTTGAGGTCGCAAAAAATACCGATCTCGAAGCCGCCAAGACCGGTTCATCCCACAACTTTCTTGGTGGGTCCTTCTCTTATCTTATCTCGACCCTTGAAGCATGAACGACCTCTGCAACAACGCGGCAGAGAGCATGAAGAGGGACAGTCAGTCTTCGATATTGATCAGTCGACAGTGGAAATTAATATAGACACAGTATGGAAGCTATATACAGCCTTCAAGCAACGAATGAGCGCCATCTTATCCAGCCATTTCCACAATTTCCGGCATTCTGCCTTCTTATACAGCGAGTTGATAATGAAACAGGTCCATCCATCCTTCCAACCGTCTGGATGGAAGCACGTTCTGTCCAGTCCCTCTCCATGCTTTACCACCAAGCCCCGACATTTCCATCGTACAATTAGCCAAACCGCCATATACACCGGGCAGCCATTTCCGATGGTAAGCCATGCCCTCCTTCCCTGTCATGAGAGTCGTTCATGAACCCATTCCTAACCAAAATAATCGTCTGCCATCCATCCTTTAATATTGTTGTCCGAGCAATCCATACTCCTCCTCTTTTTCCATTTCATATTCCCTATGCCATACTTCATCAAAATCCAAGCTCCGAAACCCATCCTCCGTCCAAAATTCCCTAGTGTATCATACTAAAAGGCGCCGTCCGGGAGAAAGCAATCACGGCAAACTCAGCCACGAACAACAGTAAGCGGCTGCAAGAACGATACCATAGCAACGATGGATCAAGTCAAGACCCATTCAGTCCCGCGCTTCACAAACTTGTCCAGCAGCATCGTCAAGTCCGACAACGCAAAGCGGCAGACATAAAATGCAAAGAATTCCGCCGCATGGCGCGTGCATAGTTCGAGGCCGACCTGTGTCTTGTCGGCGTGCCGCAGTCCGGGATCGTCAACTTGTCGCGCAATTTGGTCTGTACAAAAGTGAGATCGTCAGCAATGCAGTTCTTCTTTAAGCCATATCCCCGAGGACAATGCGAAGAGAACAGGGAATCGGAGGGAGGTACATACCAACAGTCTGCGCCGCATCAAACAATCTCGCCAACGACGCCATATAATTCGCGTTCGGCCCGGCAAACGACACGCTCCCAATATCCCGCTTCGTCGGTCGACTCGTAGGGTTCATAGTCATCGGGAGACTAGCCAGCGCCATATCCTTCGCTGCCCCGTCGGCCAGATTGGTCGAGCTCAACCCTGCGCCCGCCAAACCACCCGCGGCTCCACGACCGCCGTGAGTTAAACCAGGCAAATTCGCCGAGGAGTTCTTGCTCCGCAACCTGCGCCAGGAAAAGGTACTGGCCTTCCCCGCAACACTCGCAGACCGGGGCATAGACGCCGCGTCCGCGGCTGCATCGGCCGCGCCGGCATCCTTAAACATACTACTCGCCGCCTGTACGCCAACTTCATTGCCTAGCTTCCGTGTGAGTGTGGCTTGCACTTGCTCCAGCACGCCCTCGAGCGCCTGCATCTCCTCGAGCACCGCGTCCGCGTCGCAAGTATCTACGCGGCCCAGTCGTTGCAGCGCAGCCGTCAATAAATCGCAGTTGGCAATCTTGTCCTCCAGCCCCTTGAGCTTGACACCCTTGACCCCCCAGACATCGCGCGGAACAAAGAGCTTGTTACTGATGTATCCACCGCGCGGGTGGCATAGTGTCTGGTAAAGCGCGCGCATGAGCCAGAAGGGGCGGAGCATGAATTCGTTGGGGCAGGGTTCGAGCGGGGCCGGAGCGTCAAGGGTGAGGGGGTTTGGCGAACCAGGTTCGTCAGCGGAGTGGAAGTGGTTTTCGAAAAGATGCAGCCCTGAGGTGGTCGTGCTGTTGGCCCGGTCCTTGCCAACGAACCCTGGGGGCAGCGAGGGGACGGCGGGAAGACGGGAGCCGAAATGGTTGCTGACCGGGGTTGCGGGAGAGTGATCGGAAGTTTCATCGAGATGAGAGATCGAGAGGTTGCGAGTCTTGAGACTTTTCAGGCTTGACGCGGAAAAGTTCTTGCGTAAGTTTGGCGCGCGCACAACGGAAGGGGTACCGACGCGGGGGTATTCCTCGTGGGAGAAGGCCATTGGGGGCAGTGGCTCGTCTGGCTCTTCATCAAGCGTCCCGGGAATCGGTGAAGGCCCAGCCCTGGCTGAGAAAGGACCAGCAATACGATTAGAGCCCGCAGAAAGAGCCTGGCGTTGTTGCACAATATAACTACCAGCCTTGGACTGCGACGGAATAGCAGGTCCAGCCGTCGCGGGGGCTGCAGGCGCAAGCTTGTTCGTCTCAATCTTCAGTTCCTTCGGGTTCTGGCCGGACAGTCGCCGATTTCGAACGCTTTGGCTCGACGTCTGGGATCCGGCCGAGGTTGGCTGGGGCGGTAGTGGAGCCGCCGCGTGAGGTGGTAGCGCGGGCAACGGGCCGGACGGGCGGGGTAGACTGTTGTCCTCGCTGACCGGCGTCAGGACCGTCGTCGCCGTGGGTGGGTTCGACCCCGTCGAGCTGTGCCAGGTTCGCCCCGTCATCCCGCTCGAGTCTGACTCTCGTGGTACAGCTTGGGTTGGTTGCGCGCCGAACGCAAAGTCTTCAATCGCATTGCCCAGTCCCATCTCTTCCAGTAGTCGTTCCTCCTCTTCCGAATCATTGTCTTCCCCGGGCCCTTCCTCACCTTCATTTTGTCTGCGGTACGCTTCATCTTCCAACTGTTGTTGTAGTCGTAACCTTTGCTCACGCTCGTTCGCCAGCTCCAGCGCTTCCCTCTCTGACTCGCGTACTAGTTCCCGGGCCATTTCCACCCTTCGTAGTGTATTGGCAATGGGATCGGTCTGAGGGTCGCCATAAGGTTGCCGGCTCACGTGCGATTCCGGTTCATATCCGTCGTCGTAGGCGGCTTCAATCGCATCATCCAGGGCAGCATCAAACTCAGCTTCTGTGGCGCCACTTGCGGCTCGTATTTGTCTCCTTCTCACTCGCGATGATGACCGTGAATGAACCGACGCGACGCTCGAGTGTTCAGATTCATCGATCGGGTCGAGCCAGGAGACAGATTCGTGACTGTTGATCCGGCGATGGCCACCTGCAGGGGCCTGCGGCGCTAACTGGTTGCTTGGTGCTGGCGGTTGTGGTGGTGGTCGGTGAGGAATCCCGTGCTCAATTTGCTGTGGCGGAAACTCGGTTGGTGAGAACGCACGCCGAGGCGATAGAGGCGGTGGCACGTACGCGCCGTCCATGGTTGGTGGGCGCAAGTTCGAACCGTTGTACCTAGCTCTTGAAAATGCAGACTGTAAAGAATACTGTTGTGTTAAATACGAAGAAGGGCCTTCCCTTACGCCATCTCCAGGGATTGGTGAAGCACGCGAAGGTGGTGGTGGGGGTCTCGTGGGTTCGGGCAAATAAGTGTTCGGTTGTGTATCGTGATCGTTGTCTTGGTAAGGGGTTCTTGTTGATATTCCTGTCCCTGTAGCTGTAAACGGTCGCGAGTAATCGTCGTCAAATTCCTCTCCACGTAACATTTCAAGGTCATTGCTTTCAGGGCGTAGGGGCAACGCCTTGCCTTCGGGTTCCATGTCTACGAGCTGCTCGTCAAGCTCCATGACCCGGCCGAGGTAGGTTTCATGCTGGAAATGGTTAGCGAAACAATCAAGATTCCTCAATGCCACGCGCAAATGACAAAACGGAAGTACTGCCTTAACGTACGATAGCTTCGAGTTTCCTGCGATCCTCTTCTCCAGAAGTCCGCAGGAGTACCTGGTGTAGTACAGCGCATGCCTCGGAATAGGCTCGTCTGGCCCCCTCGAAGTTTTGCGCATTATCTAGCTGGACGGCGGTGTTTGCTTTTTGGAGAGCTTTCGACAACATGGCCTTTTGCGACAGCGGTCTTCCCTGGCGGTCCCGCTCCCTGCTGTCGCGATCCCTCTCCCGACTTCTCGATGATGCGGTGGTGTCTGCGCTGCCGTTTGCGCCCGTGGAGCGACTCCGCGAGTGGCCCCCGGCCTGACCATTTTGTGTGTACGGCATGCTGGGCCGCTGTCCGGGGGCGTCGTGCGCCTGGGCTCCTATGTGAGCCCCGTAGAAGGATGATAGTGACCCACTCTCTTGCTCCGGACCTGGCCGATCATCCCCAACCTCCAGGGTGTTCCCGTTCGGCGCGCGGCGCTGGTCGTTCCCCGTTTGTTCTGGAGAAAGCCGTCCTAGCAGCTCAGCCTCGAGCACCTCATGCTCCAGCGAGGGGCCGGTCGAGATATGGGGCAACCGTTGCAAAGGCGGAACGGCTGGGGCCGATGGCGATTCGGCGCGGCTGCGGTTTTGGACGGACGAGCGCGGGGAACCTCCCGGCGTGGATGGTTGCCGCCTATGCAATCTCCTCCCGGGCGAATGGAAGGCTACCCCAAGAATGTCCGCGCTAACACGGCGGGTGAAGTCGGCAAGATTGGACGCCCGACTCGAGGCTGTCGAGGCCGACCAGCGGTTCAGGTTCCGAAAGGTGTCGCTTAGGCCACCAGTGCTGCTTGACCGTGAATGCCCCCTCCTCTGTCGCGAGTCTCCTCTCGTCAAATCTGGGATCCTGGGAGCCGGCCGCGGGTCATTGAACGGGTCGCGGAGTTCGGGCGCGCCAACGCCGTATGGAGCACCCGGATCCGCGGTGATTCTCGCGGCTGGGAGCAGAGACGAAGTGCGTGGGGGGTTGCTAGTGGCCAACGAGGAGGACCGCGGCGGGTTTGAGGGAATAATGGAGGCAGAGGGCGTAGCACGGTGGAAGGCGAAGATCGAGGGTCGATGCTCGGAGTCCGCAGGGGGATTCCTCCCAATATTGCGGTTCGTAGTGCTTGTCTGCTGGGCGTTATATCCGTCGTCGAGGCCAAAGAGACTCCTCGAGGCTAGGATCGTGTTCGTCGGATCTGTTCGGCCTCTGCTGGGAGGACGTCGTCGGGATCGGGGAGACGGCGACGTGCGGGATCCGGGAGCCGCGTAGGTAGTCGGGGCCTGCGGAGGGAAGGCCGGCGGCGGCGAGTGCGAGAAAATGTCGTCGGACGGGGGGATCGAAGTGGCGGGGCGGGATGAGAACATTGCGGGAGTGTGTCAATGACGGGCAACCCCCTGGAGAAGCGTCTCCAATTGTTCCAATGGCTCCAACGGGCTCCAATGGCTCCAATTGCGCGCTGCTCGACGGCTCCTCTTCACGGCAGGAAAGCCAGAACCAGGGGAAACCGAGACAAGGTGCAGGCCGTTCGTGTGACTGGAGACCGCGGGCTTGCTCCGTGGGCGTGTGTGTGGGCGACGGGGCGTCCGCCGTCGGGGCGTGGGCGTCGGCAGGCACTGGAGCAAACCTGGAGCACCTGGAGCGCCTGGAGCAGGGAGCAGGGCAATCAGCCGAGCGTGTGTGATGATCGCTTCCCGCCTTGCTGTTGGCTCGCGTTGCCCGCTGCAGCACTAGCTCGCGCCCGATCCGCCGGCTGCCCCAATAATTTCCCCACTACGAGGGCCAGCGTCGTCTTCGTTTGGCTGGTGCGGTGTTGCGATGGGTCAATGGCGATGATGCGCTGCAGTTGTTGGGGCAGGATCTTGAGTTTTGTCCGTTTTGCCGTTTTCCCTTTTTATCGCTGTTCCATCCGACTTTCTCGATTTCTCGGGCGGGGATTTCCCCAACGGTATCGTCAAATCCTGAAAAGAACCATCAGGGGGCTGACAACTTCAATCCCGCCAGGAGAGGCGAGGGCGGCGAGTCGGGGAATCACGATGGCAGATTCGGAATCGGCCTGGTTAGCACATCACGGCGGGTTTTTACTGGCCCGAGTGGTCGCTGGGCAAGTCGTCAAATCGGGTGTCTCGCAGAATCGCTGCAGAAGCTTGGGGCACCAGTGGAGCGCTGTGGGTTTTGGAGGGGCGCGAAGAAAAGGGGCAAGCGCGACGGAGGGCCTGGCTTCGTGCCTGGCAAGCCTGGGCCCGGGGCTTCGGTTCCTTCTTGTGCTCCCAACTGCACGCAACTCGAGTCAGTTCTTTTTCCTCCCGAAACTTCTTTCTCCCTTCCACCTCCCGTCCATTTCTTCCATTCTCTGTGTATCATCACGGCTGTGCCTTGCAGCGCCGGCATCGCCGTGCCTGCTGCAACCAGGAGGTGGCACCGAACGCGAACGTTGTCGGGTCACATCGCTCCAACCTTGAAGTCCCCCCAAACATATTTTCAGTGGATGATTTGCAGCCAGTTGTGTGGATGCCCGGATGCCCCTGCTCTTTCTGGAGATTGGCGGCCGCCCACGGCAACATGGGTCCTCGGCCATTCGCTTCCAAGTTCCCCTGAAGCCCTTGACTTGACCACAAGTGACGCACCAGGCTCAGAAATTATCTGTGCTGCCGCCTGCCAAATGCGGTATTTCACATGTGCAGAAACGAATACCCAAGAAACTGCAAAAGGTATTTTGGTCCCTTCGCCAGCCGCCGCTGCACAACGAGAAGCCACGAGGATGGTCGTTCCTGCGGCCCCAAGTTTGTCCTGAGCATCCAAACCCCGTTCCCGTCCAGTATTTGATGAATCGTACTTTCTCGGATCGACCCTGCCGCACACTTGGCCCGATCCGTCGCCTGCAAGGTCCGTCACAGACAGACAATACCGTGTATCTGTCACGTACGTTACTGTTCTTTGCGCACAGTCCAAGCGCGGTCCACAGCTTTTCTTTCCACACTCGGCTTCGGTTTCGGGAGGCTCATCGAATCTGCCAAGCCTAGCATCTTCAGGGGTCTTTGCTCTTTTTGTCATTCCATCCCAACCTGGAAATCGGATGGATGTCCCCATCCTCAAGTCCCAATGCCCTCCTCACAAACCAACTCCAGCCTTGAGGACCGCCGTCGCTTGGTAGTTAACGGGCTATTCAAATCTCAAATCCAGATCACCTCGCCGTTCGGAGTTCCCCCCTTCGACATGAGACAACACCACACATATGCCCGCGGGTGGTGAGGGGCCGCCGCTGCATCCCAGACACGGGTCGTTTCACGCACACATTTGCAGTTGTTGCCAAGCAACTCCAGCAGCCACCCCCAACCCAGAACAGTCACACGCAGAGAGAGCTCTGGACCTTGAAGGTTGTCTGTCCCGAACCGTCAGATGTCTTGAAACACCACCACACACGACGAAGCGGCCGGATACAAAACGTCCGGTTAACGTTCAGAATACCCTCATAGCGAGAGTATGTTGCAGAACACTTGACGTTAAATGGCAGCCAAAAGGCCCAAACGTCAAAGCGGCCTCCGTCCTGATTGTCCATGCCGACGAGTCCACCACCTCCAGAAGAAACGCCACTTATTAACGTCATCCATTGCTCACCCATGGTCCGCTTTCCACATCCCGTCCCACCTGAAAAGATCATTCAACACATAACCGCGACCGAACCCCCATGTAGCTTCTGCCATTCCGGAGCCAGCCTCGCCCGCGTGGGGGCCGCAACAAAAGACAAACCAAAGACCACGTGCTGATCTGACGTCAAGGTTTGAAAGACAAGCTTCTGAAAGACATCCCGCAGAACACTCGGTCAAGCTTGGAGATTTTTGCCGCTGTTTTGCCCTCTTGCAGGCCGCTTTTGAGAAAGACGGTGAAGGTGACACGGAAGTTGGAAGCCAGACCCCAATTTTCTTCCCGCCTCCTCGTCACGCGGGCTCGAGTTCTGCCCCTCTCGCTACGTGATACCAAAGCGCCTCGGGAAGTAAAGTGTGTGTGGACAAGCGGGAATGAGAGCGTGTGGTTGGACGAGCGGGCGCCGTACCTGCATATGCTGATCGAGCGGCTCCCTTTCCCCCCTTTCTGTGCTGCATGTGCCGCATTTGGTGCCGCATTCGATTGTAAGGGGTGTTGTGTTTTTGGTCAGCGATATTGCCTAATTAGGGAAGTTGAAAGGGACTCTGGCTACATGATGTTGAAGCCCAAATCCATGGACGTCCAAACGTTCAGCACTAATTATCGCCGGCTAGAGGTACAAAAATACAGTTTCGAGAAGTTGCCTTACGCTCTTTCTTGAGGCAAATTGTATTATGCGATCTCCGTATGTGTACTTGACTAATACCGTCCCTTGAGCTTCCTTTGTTGCGAGCGAGGATTAAAACCCCATCCAAGATCTGTTTACACGTACCGCACTTATTACTCTCATCATGCAAAATGCCCATTTCCCCTTCTTTCTGTTAAGTTTTATTTTTAACACCTGAGCAAGCCCTTCAAACCTCGATCGATGAATTGCATCTGTGTCTTTCGTCCGCGCAAGGACACGGTGGACGCTACGTTCGAAATTGTCCAGACTCGTACTCCCGTGCCCTAGGACCATTCAATTGTAGGTTCTGCTATTCTGTTAGGACAGTCAGACTGCCGGGTGTCTCATCAGCGCGGAATATCAAGCTGAGTGCTCGGCAATTGTGGGAAGAAGCTGACAGGAATGGTGACATCGAGAACCTCGAGTTCGAGTGCCAAAAGTCCACTGATGGGGAGACCTCGTTTTAGGCCAGTAGAAACAAAATCTCGTCACCCAGTCGGTTGGGTCACCAGGGACAAACAAGGCTGGGCGGAAACTAGACTTATATCCACTCCGGAAGCCTACGGCTAACTACATCATGTTCACCAGCGACAATTCTTAAGAAAAGCCCCAAGCCAATGCAACGGAATGTACATAGTAGTTGTCGGATTGCATATTGACCCCACCTCCTTTTGGTCCTTTTTCCCCTTCTAGCTCGCCCCCCCAAACTCAGAAAAACCCCCAGGATCTCCCATCGTACATATACCATTCACCTGGCTCATGCTCGCGGTTCGGTTGCTCGGCCACCTTGAAAATGGAGATGGACTGAGGTTCGCCCTCCCCAAAATAACTCGGCCAAACAAATTTGTCCTCAGCAGCCAGGCGCGTCTCATCAAAGTCGAGATGGCCGAGGTTTTCATTTTTGTAGTCAACCTCAGGATAACCATCGACAAGATTCGCTACAAACTGAAAGTAGACGCGGTTAAGGTGGGAATTTTGCGTGGGTTCCTCGCGTTGCTCGGGTTCGGGTTTCGCCCCTGCGCTTGTGCTTCCTAGCTGTTGTCGCTTGAGTCTGGCCGCATTGACACCCCAAGGATCAGATATATCTCCAATCGTTCGTTTCTGACCGGTTTGTGGCCTTTTCGTGAGGTTGGCTTCGTTATCCACCGCAGACGTAGTCCCGGATTGCCTATTCGTTCCTTGATGGTCCTCTTCGGAATCCTCACCGGACGTGCCGTAATCTGAGTCTTCACCGGGTTCGGACGATCCTTTGGGCTGCGATTTTCTAAACCGCTCGAGCTTTCGGCTCGATTTGGCGAAGATTATGATGCCTTCAAAAAGCCCAAACCGGAATGAGGCTTTTACTCCGTCTGCACTCTTGGATGGGAAGATGTCGATTCTCATCAGATCATGATCTCGGGTTGGGTCGTTAAACTCTCCGTACTCCTTGAGTTTCTCACTATCCCAATGCACAATGTACGACCCGACGAGGTGTTGGATGTCCCATGGATCCCACGGCCGTTGTTGTCGAGCAACAAGATCGCGGTAGGGTTTGCTTCGGCGGTCCCAGCGCGCCTTTGTTTCGGCTTCCTCTCTCGTCTTCATCTGTTGCTCTTCGCATTGTTCTTGGTACAGCCACTCTTCCTCGGCCATCCTCAATCGTTTGATCTCAACCTTAATGTTATTGGCATCCCATCCAATCACGGTGATGTCGTCAAAGCGTTCTGCGAAGAGACCTGGTACAATTTGTTGAAAATAATCGGAGCCGATGGTCTCTTACCTTCGGTGACCACTTCGCCGTTTTTGTCGATGCAAAGGGTCTTCCTCAGGAATAGGTCCAAGTGTAAATTTGCTTCTTCGCTCTGATACCTTGCTTGTGAGTCACAAAACTCGGGAGCCTTGTGAGTTCTGTGGTGATCCTCAAGCCTTGAGAATTCCGTCTCAATGCCCCGCTGAATAGTCCCCTCCCAGCCGACGACAGCTTTGTCCTTGACCAGATGGATGGCTAGGCCAGGGACCGCCCCGACAGCCTTCTTGAGACATTCACGGTGCTCCTCCCACGACGCAGGTGATGCAAAACAGAGCGCTTCCTGGGTTTTGTATTTGTCCGGACGCCCCTGAGCATCTTGGAAGTACTTGGCTATAAAGCGGCGCTCATCCCCCTGAGCCTCGCTAGAAGGATTGTCGCCGATCTCTTGAAAGAGCTGATCCTCAAGGCGTTCGAATGCTTCATTGTACTCATTTTGCAGACGGTCCCGCACGGTAGCAATGGATGGCGCGAGGTCAATGCACTGATGCGAGCGTTAGGTCACAGGTGACGTCGCCGAAGTTACATTCGCCGTGTATCCGAGTCTCTCACCTGTCCATCTTTCCATGCCTTTACCAAAGCTGCCTTGAGGTCGTCGACTCGACCTGTTTTATGGTGGGGAATGCCATACAGATGTAGTTGTGCAAGCAACCATTTTTTGGTTGGCGGTTTCTGGTTCGGTGCAAGGTCACCCGACTTGATGCGGTCGGCGAGCCGATCAGGGGTTTCCCAGGCGATGTCGTCCAGTCTCAGTTCATCCTGACGGTCGGCCTTTGCGGGGCCGTACGTATAAGGTGGGGAGTGAATTGCACTAGGCGTAATTGGGAGCTCGTCGCTCTCCCAACGGAGTTCCCGTGTCGGGAGTGACATTTTCACGGATGAAGTCTGAGGAGCGTGCCGTCCACAAGAGCTCCCATCCTAAGAAAGGGAATAGGGGGCCCGGTGCCCGCTCCTCGTTGTTTTCAGCACGGGCCACAGAGTGGGTAAAGCGGGAAGGTGCCTCTTTGATCTTGGTATCTCAAATCAAACTAGGCCGAATCTTACCTGGCAACTAGAACTACATAAGGTAGGTAGGTTGGTGTAAGAAACATCACATTGCTACCTAGTGCTTGGTTGCAGAAGTGAACGGATTTTATGTCCCCTTTAGCTTTCTGACGGTACATTTTGTACTACTGGTATAGTGGTGATGATCAAGGCAATGGCCCGTTGACCTTAGGCGTTCTTATTTCCCAGTACCTTAATCAGGCCTTGGGTCAATCTTATCAAAGGAAGAACCCACTTTAGAGCTTTCTTTTCATGTCATAACGAGTCTTACTACAGTAATTACAGCTTTTAATAAGACATTCAAGATAGATGTGCGACTCCACCCTCGGGCGTTTTGATGGGAATCACCATGGAAAGAGGTAAAATGTAGGGTCATTAGTAGCTGTACTAGCTTAGGTTCATGCTCATTACAATTATTATCTACGTTGACTATCTAGTACCTCCAAACTATTTGTTTCATCCTAGTTCTTGCTCCTCGTTGTCTATTGATCATAGATAGAGTGTTGATGAAGACTGTCTTTCATCGACCCATCTCCTGGGGCTGGTGTCGATTCAGGAACCTCCCGCTGCTCTTGATCCAGGGAGTGTCAACGGCTATGAGAATTCCAAACTTGCATTGAGGAAATCTGTTATCGCCTAGTTTTTTCTCGATGGCGTAATGCATCATGAACCATGCAGATTCCTTTTTCTCCTCGGATTTCCTCGTTGGACCCACGTCAGATCGCAAGTCACAAACTTGATTTTCTTCACCGCCCCCAGATCTTTGGGGACCGCGACATCATCGAGGGTCATGAAGTAAATGTTGTCAGATTTCTTAGACCAACCGTAAAGCCAGAGCAGAATTTTTTCGGGCTTTTCTTTTTTGTTGACGTGGCAGGAATGCCACAGTAAATTCGCTTTACGACAAGCCGAACAACGCCATAGCGGCGAGGCGCCACCGCGCCAAGGCAGGGCAAAATCGTGCATGTGGTGCAGAACGTGAGCCACACTTCCCTCAATGACTGCAGCTTGATCCAGCTGCATCAATGTTTGGGAGATGTCAGCGGCAAACAAATTCTCGAGCGAGGAAACGTCGCCCTCAAGATTGACATACAGAATGTGATAAAAGCTCGTAGTGGGATCCCGGATGGTAAGAGGCGTGAAGGTCAGCCATGTCTCTTGGGCGTAGCGATCCTTAAGATTTTGAGCTGCTTGGATCATGACGATTGGCTGCCAGAACATGCAACCGCAGCTTCCCCCGTGCTTGGTGAATGGGCATTGCGGGTAAAACTCGAATTGAACGGTGCCTTCTCTCCACACAAGGTTGAGGAAGTATATCTGTTTGGGGTACGCTTCCGAAGGGTTTATTGTGGCTTCACCGGCGCCTGGGGCGGCCATGTCAGTCATCACCAGTCGTCTGTAAACACCTAGTGTTTGCGATGGTCAGGAATCCTAGAGGGGGTGCAGTGTGTTTGTGAATCTGCGCCGCCCCATCTTCTCGATTTCCTACTGCGGAGAGCGTGTTTAAATACGGCGGTGCCAGAACGGGTGTTTCGCTGTTGACGCAATGGCAAGCATGGGGTAGATCACCTGCTTCAATCCTGTGTCCTGACCTTCCTTGCCTGTCGGGGCCGCACCTGCCAAAGTAGAAAGATTAGACGCTTTGCGACTGAAGACTTCTTCGTTTACACGACATTTGACAGGTGTGGCCAAGATATTCCACTTCCATGTCCGGGAGCTTTCGAAAATCCTTCTCCAGCCGGAGGACCGCCACCATAATAATGAAAGCACCAAACGTTCATCTGATACCATCACACATGTTGTCCTTTTCGAGTTTCTTACTTTCCTCTCTTAATCATCGACATGTCCGACTTTCCGCAAATCCGTGATCTGCCGACAGATGTCCAATACAACATCTGGTCTGCCCTCCTGCAGGCCCCGCGTGTCCATTTCCTGGATCTCTTCGGCGTGCTCGATCTGCGACCCGGCATCTGGCAACTCCTTTCCGAACAGATCCAACCGTGTGGCCCATTCCAAGAGGCTTTGCCGGAAGGCATACGCGACCTCGAACCACAGCAAGCGAGCGGGCGCCAATCCCTTGTCAAGATAACCACCCCGCAAGTCTACCGCGCGAGATGGGCATTGTCTGGCTACGCCAAGGCTTGGACCAAGCCACAGAACCTCGGCGATGAGGTAGACGGAGTTCACAAAGCGGTCGAACAAGCGAGAGAGAGTGGGCTCAGCCAGATCCCAGGCGTGTTCCGGGACTTGGTCGGGGAACAGTCTCCTGTGTCGCTCGAGATTAACGGGGAGCGTGATGTCGTGTATCTTTCCACGCCGCTTAAGCCTCCTAGAGTCTACACACCCACGGACGGCTGGGGTGACACGTGGAGATCTCTGAAGCGGGAAATTCTCTCCCATGAGCACCGACAAAACATTGGCCACAACGACCCCAACTCCGGGATTCCTTACGGCCCCGTTGAGCAGCTCCAACACATCCACCACCTGATAATCCCGTTCCGTAGCAGCGAGCACTACCGGTCGTGCTGTGGCTGCGGCAAAATGACGGAACACGGCCGCCTCCTTCTGTACAACAGCCGTGAGCGAAACGAGCGCCGGGCTGCTCGAGCATCCGGCCGTCCGCACGACGCTGTCCCTGGCACGCCGAACGTCAAATGCACCATGTGCCGCCAGGTCCGTGAGCAGCCGGGCCCGCTTACACCCGCCACCCGCGAGGCCCTGCTGGCCAACCGACGGCGGGATATGCAGCGCCAGGTGTACCGTTTCTTTTTGGAGAAGAACCTCCATCTGGATGGGGGGGAAGAGAGGATACCGATTGGTACGCAAAACGAGGCAAGGTACGGCGACGACGTGTCTGTCTGCTCGGATGATATTGCTCAAGACGACGCGTACGGGTGGTACAACAACAGTCGCCAGAAGCTACTGGTGGACCTCCGTAAGTTTTGGGACGGCGGCCGAGATAAGATCCCACCTCAATACGTCGATATGTCCGGGGGTGAAGAGGCTGGTGGGGCTGCCGGGGGCGGTGGTGCTGATCCTGACAACCCCCCCAGTATGCTTCCTCCTCTGGGACCTAACAACTACCATACTGATGTGGAGAAACTGCTTTTACAGACGCCAACCCCTTGGAATTGGGTGGTACCTCACCATGGAACGCACCCGCACTGCACCATCACGAGTGTTCACTCCTCAATGCACCGGGTCTTGCCCATGGCCTTTTGCGGCGTCGAAACTGTGTATCTGTTTGACTTCACCCTCACGCTGAAGCCCGAGATTACACAGCTTCCCAGCCAGGGACGGAGGTGGTACATCAAGCCTCGTCCTAAGCCGGGCAATGACGGTGACGATGCCGGTCAGTCTGGAAGCACTCCGGATTTGGACAGAGGGGTGTTCATCGAGGTGCTGGACGAGGACCTGGTCGCTTACAACTCAATTTGGATGTTTGAGGACAATATTATTATTTCCACCTCAGGGGACTCAGAAATGGGAGAGTCTGATGAGGAGCGATTGCGCCTCTTGCCGAAGCTCGAATTCAGGCTTCCGCTCGACGCTCCAGCCTGGGAGCCCCCGGATGGAGTTCCGGGATACGACGGGTACGTCGAGGCCGGGGACGAGGACGATGATCCTGAAGGTCCTCTTTTGGAGGGGATGTTGAGCGATTTGTGGCCTATGTTCAACCCCACTTCGGTGGTGGACTATGCACGGTTCCTGAGAGAGTGGTGGGCTCGCGAGTTTGCTGACGAGGCGGCGGAAACGGGCGGAACGCCTCGCAAAATTGAGGTCAGACTGGTGGCGTATTTGGCGTTGGACGAGGACAATAAGGTGGATTATGAGAGACGCAAGAAGGCGGCGACGGTATGGGGGGCGTCTATATGAATAGTGGGGGATGGCAGAGGATAGTTGATTCATGGGGCTTGGACAGAAACATTGCGTAGGGGATTGGTACTCTTCGTTTATTCTGTCTTAATTCGCGAGGTGAAGGCTTGGTTGATTAGGTAGGTAGTCTTTGGGAAGTTAACCGTTAGCAAAGAGACCCCTGTGACAATTGAAATTCATTAATTATTAACAAGTCTGTCACCCTCCAAGTTAATGCTCAGAGCTAGTCGGTTGATTGCCGAGAGATGGATGAAAACGTTCGCAGTTAATTACTTGTCACTTCGGGCATTGTGCAACTTCACGTTGTGGGATGGGAATGGTTAATGGCGGCTTGAGGAAGTCCCTTGATATATTAGACTACCTACACTAAACCTCCTGAACTAATTACCTAGGAGGCTGTGTTTCTCGGGACCCCGTACAAGACAGCGGTGCGTTTCTCTAAAGCTTGACCGAGACTGAATGCCGCAGCGAAGACTGTACCGGGATATTCATCGGCATTGTCATGCTCTTCTGAGCTCACATCACGCCACCAAGTCAAAATGTCTTCCAACTTGGATGGTCCATTCTCCACACTAGCAGTGGGATAGATCACCGCCAAGTAAAGCATTTCCAAGGCCGGGAACAATTCCAAGAGCTGGTATACATGTGGGTCTGCTATGGACCGATGGTTTAGCTCACCGCCCCAGGCTTCTGGACAGGACTCGAAGCGATTAGGGTTCTCTGCGTGGCATTGCAGACAGGAAGTCTTGACAGAGTGTCGATCCCATAGAATCGCGACTTGCCGGATATCTGGAACCTTGGCTGTCTTCCACGCTGCCGTGTTGCCCTTGAGTGAGAGCTCGTGGAAATTTTCGAAGAAGATGACGTCCTGATCAGAAGCAACCGGCAAAAATTCGAGCCCTGCATATCGGGTGGAAATGGTGAAGTCTGTGAACTTGCAGCTGGGGGAATCGTAGCTCAGTTGTTCGTCGATCGCGAACTCCAGGACCTTCGGAATTGAGTTTGGCGTGAGTCTGTTGGAAAACGCGAATGCAACAGTGTCGTCCGCTAACACTTCAAGTTTGAGCCAGTACAGTGCTGGCCTGTGGCTAGGGCCGCGAGGTTCCAAGATTTCCATGTTGATGACGCTGTTCTGTCAAAATACTGAAGGTAGCCACCCGTCAATGCCACCGAGTTTTAATTATTGCAGGTCTCGTTCGTTCTTACCTGGCGCGTGTTCACTGTTATTCACACCGGAACCCAGGAGGATGGTTAATAAACTGTACATTTCTGTGAGAAGGAAGGACCTTCTTGATACCCACGCAACTGCCTTCATTGTCCGGATTATTGTCAGGTGAACGACATCAGTGATACTTTTCTTTGTGGTGCGGCATTGAAGATCTCTCGTCTTGTAATGTCATCTTCGTACATCCCGTGAGATCCAAGGTCAAAGAAGAGCCAATGTCAGTCTGTCACCAGGTTCGATACCGCTGGAGTCTTGAGTCGAGGCTTTTACGTTTTTTCTTTCTATGTATCCACAAGGCCAAAATTTGACTGTACAAGTTCATCTACAGTTGAAGGGATTCGGGATGGAGGTCACTGGACTTTGTCAACGAGGACAAGCCCATCCGCAGAGTTATCACGCACAACAATGATGTTATTACGGTAATTACACAAATCTCATCTTTCCTCATCTTGCCAAGGTCAGGGTTAGGGTTAGGGTCAATCAACTTTGACATCGGACCTTCCCAGCGAGCCAGCATTGAAATTCTTGCTGTGACCTTTTCCCTGCTTTTACGAGGAACTCACTTTCCCCGCGTCCTTCCTTCGCATGTCGTGTAATACAGGAAGCTGCAACGCCCATTCCTTGAAAGCCCGTTGAGATGCCACAAATTGAACCAGTCACAGAGCCAAGTTCTCGGTGTTACAGCGCTGATCGCCCCGACTTTGGAAGCTGTCAATTGGCCGTTTCAGGTTCCCGTTCGGCACTGTTAGATTGCCCCTGCAGCATCTGCAGGCTGTCAGCCAAGGGAAGCCAAGGGAAGCACTGGAAGGATGCGAGATGATCGCCCATCCCTTCCCCTCCTTTACCCGAAGAGTTTATCCATCGCACGGAAAGCCTCTCCGAAGCCCAGGAACTTTGATGGATCAGACGGGTGTCCGCGTGTCTTGACGTCGATGGTTTCCCGACGCGGCACCGATCGGCCCTGGGCTCGGGAGACCATCTTCCATCCCGCCCGATGTTATAGCCCGGGGTTGGATACTTAGGAGTGCCGCACCCTCTCAGGCGGACCGATAGTTACGGGATGATCGGTGGTTTGGCTTGGTGTCCTCTCTTTTCTTTTCTAATCGAATCGATCGACGTGTGACGAATTTTGTTGTTGTCCATGGCCGTTTCCCATGCTCGAACTTCCACCCCAGCGTTCTTCCGGCTGTAAATACAGCTCTGGGGATTTCCGGCCGGCCGCGATGTTCGCCCGGCACAGGATTGTTGCGGTGCTGGTCGCGCTCTGCGTGGCGTTTTTCATCTGGGCCCCGACGCCGGGATGGCTGCCAGCGAGAGACACGCTGTCGCCGAGGATTCTTAACAGCACATTAGGGGTAGGCTAGGCTAAAATGCACATAAAAGTCTTGATGAGTAGAGTACTGATTGCCACTGCAGTTCCAACACATCTTTGCCATCAACCTCCCGGAACGAACCGACCGCCGAGATGCGATGGTTCTGGCCGCTGCCTTGTCCGAGTTGGATGTCACATTGATGGACGGCGTGATGGGTCGGGATGTTCCGGACAAGGTGCTGCCGGGTGACCCGGAGAGCCGAGAGGGGAGGTTCAATAAGGGGAATAAGGGGTCGTGGAGGGCACATATGGATGTCTTGCAACGGTGAGCTCGCATCTCAGACACATCTCGTTGTGTCGTTGCACCCGACCCGCCACTAACACATCTAGAATCGTCCGCGAAAATATCACCTCCGCCCTAATCCTCGAAGATGACGCCGACTGGGACGTCCGCATCAAAGCCCAAATGCAAGTCTTCGCCCAAGCGTCCCGCATCTTCACCCAACCCAACCCCTCCACCCACCAACCCGCGGCCGACGACCCCAACCTCTTCCTCGGCAACCCCCAATCCTCGTCGTCCTCCCCCTCGTTACCGCTCACCAACCTCCCCCGGAACCTCATCCCCCACCCTCACCTCACCCCCTACGGCGACGACTGGGACGTCCTCTGGCTCGGCCACTGCGGCACCGACTTCCCCGGCCCCTCCATCAACCCTTCCTTCCCCGGTTCCCCCTTACGCGTCACAATCGCCGACGACCCGACAGTCCCCTCCGCCGCACACCTCAAGCCGCACCCTTTTGCCCTGCAGGACGCGTTGGCGGATGTGTACCCGGCACATACGCGTGTGGTGCATGCGGCCAGCGGGACGGCGTGCACACAGGCGTATGCGGTCAGTCAGCAGGGAGCGAGGAAGTTGTTGTGGCAGTTTGGACTGCAGACGTTGACGACGGGGTGGGATTTGATGTTGCGGGATTGGTGTGATGGGTTTTATCCGGCTTCGGAGGGGGCTAGGGAGGATGATTTTGAGGATGATGCGGCCGGGGAGCAGGGGAGGAGTACAAAGGCGCCGGGGAAGAAACCTGGCATTCACGGGCAGAAGGAGGACCAGGATCAAGAGGAAGCGGATTCCAAGCCCGGGTCGAGAGCCGGACATGATGATAATGAACGCCGGGGTCTGGGTCTCCCCACCTCTTCGCCAAGCGGCAGCAGCAGCAGCAGCAGCAGCAGTGGGACGAAACGAACGGTCAAGCGGAGAGAACACCCGATGTGTGTGACGGTGCAGCCGCCGCTGTTTAGTCACCACTATGGCCGGGGTGCAGCGTCGGATATTATGGCGCCTGGGGGCGGGTTTGTGAACCGGGAGAAGGAGATGACGCCGTATGTGAGGCAGAGTGTGCGATTGAATATGGAAAGGTTGGTGAGGGGGTTGGCGCCGAGGGAGCAGTGGGGGGAGAAGTCGGGGGAGTGATGGATTTGGGGGAAGGAATGGATATTGTGGGTAAATATGATTGAAAACTTGTGGGTGTATGATGGAATGGGCGATTTAGGTTTGAGTTTACATTGGCGTTTTGGTGTGTTATTTAACAAGATGAGATTTGGACTACAGATAAAGAATGTACCTGAAAGGAATAACGAAATACACATGTGATGACTGATGTTGTCAATTACTTGTGACTTCATCGAGATTCTGTGTAAATTAATTACTCCTGTATTGCTAGTCACATGTACGTACACAGTAGATAATACAGTGTCGACACCAAACCTCCTCAACTAGCTGCGGAGCAAACACAAACCATCGTTGCCTAATACCGCTTTATGACCTGCTCAACACGAATTGCAGCTCCAAGCTTTCAGGCCCCGAAATCACAGCACACTGATCAAACACAACGTAATTACACTAGGCACCTCGCCAGGTAGCCCGAAGCGGGCCACTCAAACCACGCCATCCTCGTCGAACCCGCAGTATCAACCCCCGAAAGGCAATTAGGAGGGCCAGAACAGCTGTTACAGGGTGAGAGGCTACATAAATGCCATGCATGGACTAGAGACAGGTTACGGTTTATGGACAGGTTGGGAGTCCCGGGGTAGCCGTACGTTGTTTTGTAGCAACAGATCCACGAGGAAAGACAAACCGAAATCTAGAGTATCCGGGTCATGGAGGGGAGTAAATCTTCCGAAGTCCATTGCATAACATTCTGTGATGCGAAACTCTATCTGGGTAGCCTCGTCTGGACGATCATAGAAGTCCAGACTCCTCGCCATTCCGTAATCCCTAACTCCGAATCAAGTCTCAGTCCCTAACTCCTAAACCACTGATATCCCCCAAACGAAACCCGTATTCCCGTGGTGATGTCGAGTCGAAGCTTAGTCCTGGTCCTCCTCCATGAGAGCCCAAGCCCACATGATCGAGCCGCCGCTGTGTAGATTTCGTTAGCTGATGACCGTGACCCAAGTAGAGTAACGGGAGAATGGTGAGACTTACCAAGGATAGCCGCCCTCAAAGAACTTCAAAGCAGCGCTGGCCTTAGCCTGCGACTCAAACGTAGCAGTGATGTACCATGTCTCTTGACCACCACTGTGACCATCGCCGTGCTCCTTCTCAACCGGAACCAGGTGGCAAAACACCAGTCCAGACCGAGCAGTAGCATTGCCGGTGCCACTCTCCTGTGAACCCCAGCCAGCCTCCCCACCACTCTGGCTACCAACAACCGAACCCTGATCCAACCAACCACCACTTCCAGAACGACCATGGCCATACCCACCACGACCACCACCCCTACCACGCCGTCCACCCCTCTGACCAAACCCACCAGAACCACTCGAAACCCCAGCCGCAAGCGCAGCAGCAGCCCTAAACTTCTCCCCCCAAAACCCCTTCCCCCCATCCCCCCTCCAATCCATCATCGCCACCTCACTCAACGGGCCAATCACCACCCTCCACGGATCAGCAACCAATTTCTTACTCTTTCCCTCCTTACCCACGATGTTGTTGTCACTGTAAATATCACCGGGGAAAGGATACCCCGGTCTAACCCCCTTATCCTGACGAGACGCAAAGGCCGGCTGGGTCGGGTCGGGGGGGACGATGCCGCTGGTGCTGGGGAGCGGGATGCCGAAGAATTGGGTGGGAGGGGGGACGTTGGAGCTGGTGATGGATTGGAGGATTATGTTGTGTTTATGCTCGGTGGTGGAGGGCGTCCAGGGGGTGAAGATGCCGCGGTCGCGGTTGCGGTCGTGAACGTGGCTGGGATAGGAGTTACCGGGACCACCGGGACCGCGGAAGGTGGCGTTACTGCCGTTGGTCGGGATGCTGGTGGTTGTGGACATGGACGGGGTGCGGACGTGGTAGTGCTCGCCCTGCTCGGGAACGGTATCGGTCCAGGCGCGGGGGTTGTTGATATAGTTCAGCTGCGGGGGATACAGCAGACGGGCCGGGCCGGAGAAGTCAGGGCCGGTCACGGCGCGCGGAGTCGACTGGCCGGTGGCCAGGGCGGTGGTGGTATCGTTCAGCTCGATGAGGTTAGCCACGGGAGTGACGTCCGCAGACGCCGAAGGGGAGGTCCAGTCGGCGGCGCCCGGGGTGTTGTTACCGGCGCGGATGGTGTCTTGGCCCAGGGAAAGCACCGGGACGTCGTCGGCGGCGACGCTGTGGATATCACCGAGGAGGTCATCGGCGCGGGCGGTGTCGGCGGGGGTCTTGTGGTTGTCGGCGTCGTGGCCGGCGGTGGCGTGGGCGTAGGGGGAGTTGGCGTACGCGTGGGCATCGTACCACACATCAATGAGGTCCTCCTCTTCCGGGGCTCGGTCGGAAAAGGCGGAGATGTCGGACCTGGCGTCATAGAAGACGTCCTCGGAGCGGATCGAGGACGCGTCGCTGTCCGACGACTCGACGAGGACATCGCTTATCAGGCAGATGCGGTCGGCGACTGGCATGGTGTCAGTGCATTTACGCGTATTTGAGGTGGGATGGCGTAATAAAGGGGGGTGGTGTGGAAAGAAGAAAGCGAGAAAGGGATAAAAAAGTGGAAGGAAAAGGGCGAGAAAGGGTTAAAATAAGGAAAAAGGCGGGAAAGGAATAACAGATTAGAAGGAAAAGGCGTGAAGGGAGGAACATAGGGAAAAAGGCGGAAAAAGAATAACAGGTTGGAAGGAAGAGGGCGGGAAAAGATCGATAAAGAGAAGTCGGATAGTGAATCGGATAGTGAATCGGATATTAGTGAAAACACGCACCGGCGGCGGGGAGTGCCTCGCTCTGGAGGCGGTGGTCCATGGCCTCGGCGGCGGCGAGGAAGGTCTCCTCCCTGGCCCTCGCGTAGCCGTTGTCGGAGCCAAGGTGGAAACCTTCCACGAAGGCCTCGGCGAGCCTCTCGTCGTCTCGGCCCAGGATCATCTGGGCCATGCCCTCGATGGGCACGTCGTTCGCGGTCGTTGCTAGTAGAACGGTTAGTGTGTGAATAGGGGGGCGAAGGAGTGTTTATATAGGCAGAGACTTACAGCCCATTTGGTGGGCGAGTGGTAGGTTCTCTGCTGGTTGGAGAAGAAGGAGGTTAGCGATCGTGTGAGGGAAAAGGCCGTGTGTGTGAAATATGAAAAAGGCATGGGTGTGCAAAAGGAAAAAGGCGGAACCACAAAGATAAAAGCGGAACCTAAAGAAACAGGGCCAGGACTAGAGAAAACGAATCCGGGCAGGGAAAACTCGAGTTCGTCAAGAAGGAAGAAGTCGAGGAGGGAAGAAAGTGAAGATAACGTGGTAGATCGAGATCGACGTGGAGAAAAGAAACCTCGATATCATGAAGAAAGAAAAAGGCAAAACCCCAAGTTCTTCAAAAAGGAAGAAGGCCAAGCGGCAATTTCCTAGGGATAATCTTCCGGAATGACCCCGAGATACCCTTTGAGAAGGGCCCTAGGGAACGAAACCTCGAGACTTCGAAGGTCGAAAACGGCACAACTCCAACTTCTTCCAACTGGAAAATGCTGAGGCCTGGTAAAAGGGGGTTCGCCTTAAGGTCCAACTGAAGAACAAAGAACTCGAGTTCGGGAACCATGGAACAGGCGACGGGTGGTGTTTGGGGCATGGAATAGGAGCACGTACCGAGTGTGACGATCGAGGTGAGTGAGGTGTGAGAAGGGTTGGTTTGAGGAACGGAGTTTGAGGGAAGAAAAGGCGCGAGGGTGGCAGGGGCCGGGGCCGCGAGGCATCGAGGCATCGAGGCCGCGAGAGGGCGGAGAATTATGACGAGTGCCATTGTCGAGGGGTTGCACAATCCGCCGGCCTCCCCACGCGCGTGGCGGGCATGGAATTGGGCGGCGGCAGGTTAAAATGCCAGTGTTTCGACACCGGAGGAGACATCATGCATTGGATGGCCACTGCTCGACGAAGACGCTCCTAAAGTCGTTACAATATTCACCTGAGAGCACGATGTAGAAGTCTCACGTCGTTGAAGTGCCGGACACCTCGACAGAGAAATATGCCCTGTGATTAATGTATGTCGATGTGTACCCTGCTAAGTCCGTAGGATGACAAAGGCACGACATGACAGTTTAAATGAGCACTGGAGAGGTGCATCAGACGGTTCATTGTGTGCTTCAAGTCATATATTCATCCTATGTCCCGTCTGAAGTCTCCTATCACGTGCCATGCACCAGCTGTCCTTGTCTGCTTCACATTTTCCATGATTCTAGTGCAAAGGAGAAGCGGTAGTTAGCCTACCTTTAGGAAGGATAGCGGAGACAAAATCATTCTCTGCTTTGTGGTTGCAAAGTGACGGGGTCCGTAGCACAACTCTGCCATATTGAAGTATGGAAGGAGCACATAAAATAACTGGAGTGGAAATCAAGAAAGGATTGACTCTGCCTAAATCCATGACAAAGGCTAAGTGTCGTGAGTGGAGACGCACAAGTCAATGATCATGTGCATCCAATTGAGGTAGGTATTGTGGCTCAAAGAGATGAATAAGGCTTCTCTAACAATATACCCGAGTTCGTCTTGGGTCAGTGAAGTGTGGGTTTCTTACTCTCAAAACCCGTTTCCGACAGTATGAAAGTCATGAACCTAGCCTAGTCGAAGACAAGATCATTAGCAACGTAACAACTTGAACTCTGTGAAACTTAGTGATTTGCATGTTATTCCAATGTGACCCGACCAGGCGTAGAACGAGTTTCTTTACCGTGGGTAATACCCTAGTTCTATTCAGGTAAATCATAAATAACTGGTTCTATGCTACAGTCAAGATTTGAAACAGCACTTGTTCCGGCCGGTGATGTTAGACTGAATGTTCCATGGGAGTGATTGTTGTCCTGAATTCGCAACTAAAATTACCTAGTTAGAGGGAATGGATAACAACCATCGGCAGCCAAAAAAAGCTGGGAGAATTAGTGAAAGGGCCGGAACCCAACATTTGATTCAATAGCATGAGTGCAACCCAGTTGAAAGAGTAGACCCAGTGCTACAGTTTACATCGGTATTGGTTACCAACAACACCTTCTCGAAAGTTGTGTGGTTTCACTTGTGATGTTAAAATTTTCGAAATCCAAGCCAGTTTTCCCAGCGGCCATACCTTCCGAGAACTAATCGAAGGATGAAAATCTAAAACTGAGCAACTTGAAACATGTTTCACTGCCAAAATCCAGGTTTGCTTGATCAAGACGCATTCTTTAACAACATTACTCTTAAGTACCTACTTAATGAGTGCAGGTGTTGCAGCATGCCAAGAAACCCCTGAGTGCTGTGATGCCTGAAGTCAAGAATCCCAAAGAGGAAACTGCGACAGTTATGTCCTGATTGTGGTTGTGGACAAAACACACACCAAAAGTGAGTTGAAACCAAAAAGGAAAATCAAAGAGTTCTCCGGAAATCCCAAGATCTTGCCCTCGCTTCCGGGTCGTCTTCTTTTAACTAATTCTTTCCCAAATTTGTTTGTCTCAAATGCATCACGTTCGGGTCTCACCCGTCATCTCGTCCAAAAACCTGTCTCACACGACCCCAATACTCCACAGGGCTGAGCGGTGCCTGGAATTTCTCGAAGGCCAACCCCTGACCATCCAAGCCATTTTACCGTTCGGCTCGGTCTCGGCCTCACCGGCCCCTGAACGGCTTGAACCAAGCACGGTGGGGCCGTGCCAACAAAGGCTCGACCCCACACACAAGGCCGCCGCATCGGGCGTTTGCCGCTGTCCTATTCGCCGCAGGGTTCGTATAAAATTAAAAATTGAAGCGAGCCAAGCACAATCGTCTGGTGTTTTTTTCGGGTTCGGTGATAAATGCCCCCTGGACACGGCCGGAGCAAACGGCCGGAGGCCTGCAGCAAAAGTGCCAACGCCACTTTCCGGCGCGCTACCCCCGTGTACCCTTCCATCGTGGGATCTAGATCGTGGGGCGCTAAGGGGGGGCGGATTCTTTTTTTGGGAATTGGGGACTGACTATTTGTATCCGGGTAGCGCCCGCATTTCGCCCTTGCGAAAAAAAAATGTGTTCCTTGGTTTCTCCTCTGTTTCCCCCGACCACGACCGCGACCGCGACCGCGACCACATCTTCCCCCGCAAAATGGCCGCGACAACGACAACAACGGTGATGCAGGACCCGGGGCCGAAATACGTGTCGCCGCTGGCCACGTGGGGGACGAAGTTGGGATTCCGGGCGACGTCGATTGTGTGTTCGATTATTTTGGCGGGTTTGAGCGGGTCGCTGGCTGCGAATCAGCAGCTATACAGCGCTTTGACGTTGATGATCGTTATAGCCCCTGCGGTGAGTTTATTTCGTGGTTCTAATTCTAGGGCTCTGGGGAGGGAAAATCGGGAGATCAACAACGCGGAGTTCGTTCGTCCACAGTCCAACTGACCGGGATTGATTTGTCAAACACAGCTCATCATAACATTCTGCTGGGACATCGCCGAGGGCGTGTGCATTCTCAAACGGCCGGGCCACCGCGGCATCCACCCGGGCGCGATTGTCGCGGTCGACTTGCTGGCCTGGCTCGGCTGGCTGGTTGTCGATTTCTTCCTCATCACCTACGAGTTATTTGCCTACGACGACTACATGGATCGGGTATACGATGACAATGGCTACTACCGCTACGTTCCCCACAAACTCTCGCCTCAGGAGCAGGCGATTGTCAATGATGTCCATGCCAAGGGCCGGGCTATGATGGCTTTTGGGATTTTGATCACGTATGTCGTCTTACCTCTCTTCCGTTGTGGATGTACCTGGCTAACATATGCTCCCCAGCCTCGCACACTTCGCCCTCTTCGTAATCGGCTGCTACGAAACCAACATCCGCAACCGCATGCCTCGCACCGTCTACGTCATGCAGCCGTACTACGCCGGCCCGGCCCCTGTGCAGATGCCGGCGAGTGCCTACCAGCACCTTGCCGGTGCCGGGTCGACCCCGTCGGTCAACGCCATGGGCCAGCAGCAGCATCAGCCGCAGGCGTACATGATGCAGCCTGCGGCGCCGGGCGTGGGGCAGATGCCGGCGCAGCCTGTTCCGGCGCAGTTGGCGGCGCCTACGGCTGGAGGGGAGGGGAAAGGGGGGCTTGAGCGGTTTGCGTAGGGTTGGATGTTTTATGTGCATATCAGCAGTTAAGATAATACCTAATTACGTTCCAAACAGTATCGCTCAACCGTAGGCGGCAAGTTTAAAAATGGGTATTGGCTGCATCATTTATCACCGTACAAAATCAAGAACGCCACAATTAAGCACCCTCGGATCTGCTCTTCTTACCCCCAGAGCCTTTCCAAATTTATGGCAACTCAACCGGCCCACCAGCCCACTGCTGTCCCCCAACCCACACGGACTTCACCCTCCCCCCAACAACCCGTTCTTCCCATCCACCCCTATCGCTATCCCTCTCCCCACCATACTACCTCTTCCAATCCACCCTCTCATACCCCTCACCCCCCATCTCATACCTCCCTTCCACCCCCCCATCCCCAACTCCAGGCTTAAATCCACTATCATTAGCGGCACCGTAATATCGTACCCCACCGTCGGCGGTCCCGTAATACCCAGCCCTATGAGGCGGTTCCCAGCCGGTTTTATTATTTCCCACCATTTTATTATCCCCCGGTCCCCTCCCACTTTGTTGACGATACAACCCATACCCAGCCCCCGGCCACTTTACCTCTTTCACATCCCTTTCCCTCCCCTCCAGCTCATTAATCGCACGCGTGTGGCTGTCAGCTTCAACAACGCCTACTTCATGCAGATGGACCTTTTGCGCGAGGGCTTTGAACTCGGCTGGACAGATCTCGCTATGTAACGAGTCTGATGAAAGTGGGGATTTGGATTGGGTTTTCTTGAAGAGTTTGCGGGCTCGTGAGGGTTTGCTTGGCTTGGTAGCATCGGGGTGGGTGTGTTTGTTGTTTGTGTTGTGATTGTTGCGGTGTCGAAGCCAGAAGATGAGGACAGTGCAGGCGCAGAGGAGCGCGAGACAGCCGACGATGGCGCCGATGATGGCTGCTGTGTTGTTGGTGGTGGTTATGGTGTTGTTGTTGTTGTTGTTTCCGTTGTTGTTGTTATTATTGTTGTTGTTATTGTTGTGGTTGTTAGTGGTCGTGTTGTTGGTGTTGTTGATGATGTTGGTGGGCACGCCGGGGTCTGTTTTGCTTGCGTCTGGGGCCGGCGTCTTTTTGGGACCGGTTGCAGTTTGCGAAGGCTGAGCAGCGGTGGATGTAGGGTTGGATGTGGACGTGGACCCGGCGGGGTCTGGGTTGTCCTCGTCATTGCCGAAGGGTGAAGAGGGGTGGCTCGGGACGGCCGCCCCCGTATAGGCACGGTAGTTTCGGGACTTGGGGTTGTTTCCACAGCCGATGCTGGTAAATGTGATATGGGTGGCGGTGATGTAGGTGAGCGCGGCGACGGCACATCGTGTTGCGTCGGCTTCCGTGCTAGAGGAGGGCTGTGTAAGTGTTCATTCCCGTCGAGATGTGGTTTTGGGGCAGGAAGCTGGGTAATTATGGAACTTTGGAAACTTAATTACCAAGTCACTGTGCCGTACGGTATGTCGGTTGCACCACATCCTTGCGCACAGTCGTAGTTGTCGAAACACTGCCCGGCGAGCCCGCATTTCGTGGCTTCGAGAGTCATAAGAAGACAGGAACCCCAGACATAGTGATCGGGGTCAATTCGAAAATCGTACCCCGGAGCCGCCGTCATGGGGGTTTCGTTGTCATTGTTCGAGTAAATGGTAGAGAATCGTGTCCGGGTGCCTGTCGACAACAGTATTACTGGTACCGGGTCTGACCTTGCCGCATTATTTCTTCGCTGTCGTCCTTCGATCGCAAAACCGGTCGTAAACTCGACATTGGCAATAAAAAGAAGAAAGTAAACCACCAAGGGCAACATTGGAAATTTTCCAGGCGTCACGCCGTCGACTCATAATCAATTACGCCTGGATTCCTGGAATCTTGGGAAGTAGCCGAAAAAGCCGTATGAAGAAGCTTTGGAAACGCCTGGCTGGCTTCCGTCAGGCGGAAAGCGAAAATAAAAGACACTGCAGCATGCTGGAGTCGACCCAACAACACCAAAGACCAACAAACACTTGCAGCACAACCCAGCATCAACTCGGTGGAGCCCTGGGTCTTTTTCTGGATGGGCATCTCGACAAGACAGCGAGTTAGCAGAGCGCAATGAAGGCAAATGCAACCCCAGGCCAGCCCCTAATGAGGCTCTCGTCGAAAAAGTAGTTCAGCATCCCGAAACCCCCCCCAAAATTGAAACATACACTGTGCAAGATGCGATGTTTTTCCCATCCTCCGAGGCGCTTAGTTCCCAACGCTGAAGCTCCTGCGCTTGTGGTCGTGCCTGAGTGGTCGGTAGGCCGCTCGGCTCTCACGACCCCGGAAAGGCCAACGAATCACATTCTTTGCCGATATCCGTGGGGCGGCTAAGGTAATCGAATCGCGGCCGAGGTCGATCGGCTGAGCTTCGCAGTGCTCCCGAGTCCCGACTCCCTTGAACAACTTTCTTCCCCAAAGTGCATCTTTCAATTCCCCGTGCAGTAATTAATTTTGCGTACAATCAAATTTCCATAGTCTGCTCCAAGGGGTTTAAAAGTCCTCAAGCTCGACGGGCGGTGTCGCAATTTTTCTCCAATCAAAAGACATGTGATCCCAATCGCTCGGCATCGGCTCTGTCCTCCCGTCCGCATACAGGCTTTCATACCGCGACCCCATGACGTAGCGCTCGAGCCGTTCCTTGAGGTCCCTTTTCCTAAGGAACGGGTCATACCACGGGCCGGGCATTATTGAGGGCCGATAGCGCCGGGGCCCCAGCTGCGGGTACCGGAAGCTAGCGTAGAAGCGGGCGAGGCCAAGCGGCTCGGCAGCTAGCCCCCGGAGCGGCCATACGAGGATTTTAATATACGCTATCAGGACGGCCTTGGCCTCCTCAGCTGTGGCCTCGTACTCGCTACCTCGCATTCCATTGCTCTCGTCCATCACCATCACTCGCAGGGTAAGCGCCGGTAAGCAGAGCCGGTGCCGGTCCCGGAGCCAGGCGACAGTGGCATGCCAGTCTTGTGTGGCCGGGTGGTCTGGGCCGGGCCAAGTGGCGGCGGGGTAGGGCGGGAACACCAGCTCGAGGAAACGGAGGTGGCTGAGGGCGGATGCGGGTATTATGTTGTGGAGGAACTCGGACACCGCGAATCTGTCAAAAGGGTAGGAAGGGAGGGAAGTGCTTGATGAAGGGTCGGGTACACGCCAGCGCTCCTGCGTCTGGTAGTCGTGGATGATGAACCGGTTACGGGAAAAGAAGACATAGTGGGCCTCCTGTGTTAGGGTGCGACATACGAGAAAGAGGGATGGCCCCGGAGGTGCCCAGCAGGTGCATTGCGTGTGCGACGAAAAGGCCGTGTGGCGGCGCCGGCAGAAACAGCCCTCAGGTCGGCCGCGGTAGCACTCGGAAAACTGGCTATCGTATAGCTCCTCCTCGTCTTGGAAGGGGGGGATTCTTGTGCGCCGGAGGCGGAGCAGCACATACGCACGGTGTTGCCGGCTCCACGCCACCTGCTTCCGTGGCGCGACTAGGTCGGTATACTCTAGGATACGGACACGGAGCTCGCGTGGCAGGTTGGTCAGCGTGGCGGTAGCCGCCGCGCCGAGCGGCTGCTCCGCCTGCTCCGAGGACGCGGCCCGGGCGTACGGAACAGGGGCGAGCAGCCCGCAGGCATGCACAACGGCGTCTTGAGCGAGCTTCTGGAGCGGCCCCCCGTCGGGCGTCTTGGCTAGGCGAATCCTGCATTCGGGCAGGTAGGAGCGGGGGAGGAGGAGCAAGGGGGCAAGAATACACTCGGCGAGTTGGAGCGCCAGGGGGTGCTGCGGGTTGATATCGCATACAAGCGCGAGAGCGAGGCGCCCAGCGGCCATGTGAGCGAATAGCTGGGTGGCGGCGGAATGCCAGGCGCGTCGCACGTCGTCAGCAGCGGTTGATCTAGTACAACCATCGCTTAGGAGCGGAGCTTGGTGAATATGTGAGTCGGAGCATTCGCCGTCGGGATCAGGGCCTTGGCAACAGTAACTCCCGGAGTAGCCGTATTCCAGCACTCTATTGTGGCATCTATTGTGGCAAGCTGCCTCGCAGAGGACAACCTTAAGCCGGGATAGCGACCGGCGCGAGGGCTCAGTGAGCGCCCCGAGGGCCTGGAGCCCAGGTAGCTGGCCAGGGGCGTTATGGTGGACGACGAAACTATTGGTCGAGTAAAGCAAGGCAGCTGCCTCGGTGTAGATGGTACGACAGGAGATCAGAAGGCCATAGAAGTCGATAGGCTCGGGCGGGCAGCGGGCAAATCGCCTGCCGCTGACTCGTCCACCTCGCAGATCGAACTCGTACGGGCGGCCGTCCCACGACGTCAATCCCAAGTAACGGTAAAGGCGCAGCCGAATGTCTGGCGTGAGGCGGAGGAGCGGGGAGGCCGATGGCGATGGCGATGGCGAGGGCGAGGGTGACGCTGACGATAACGTGTAGGTTGTGTTGGGGACGACGACGCGCGTCATGGTATAAAGCCGGTAGAGTCCCTTACACAGTGCTAGAAGTTGGGACTTGCCGACCTGTGACGACTGACGAGTGACGAGTCAGAATAAGTCAACAAGTTACAACAGTGAACAGTCGGTGGGTCGGCAGACTCTGTATGGCCTGGTGCATTATTGGAGGACGGGGTTTTGGCAAGAGGCACAAAAGTCTAGTCAATGAAATCAGCACAATGCCCAGGGTGCGGTGTGTGGTTGTAGATGGGGGAAGTTGGTTAGAGACTTGGGAAGTTGGTTACAGAATACAGACTTGGGAAGCTGCAACCGCACTCGGTAAATGTGGCCCGGTCTGATCACGTGGCCAGCTGTGGAGATTAACCATTAACCGTCTCAAGATCTTTTTTTAAACCGTGGGGGCGAGGCCCGCTGGGAGACCGCTAGGGGTCGCGGGGCCCAGGCCAACGGCCTCGGCCGAGTTACTCGTTGGGCCGCGGTCGCGAATTCGGAGTGACGACTCAAACCTGCAGACTTACTTGCACGATGGCGAATGGCCGCCATTGGGCGTTCTCACACTAATGACAGAAAACATGAATTCATGATAGAATCAGGGATGCTCTTGCACTCTTGTCAATACCGGAACCTCTAAGCAAGGTAGGCAACGACCTGGTATATTCTACGTGCAAATACCTTTGATATTTCAAGACATGCGAGGTCAACAGACCCTTAGTACCTGATTATGTCAGGTACCTAAGGATCTTCCTTGATGCAATGGCGATGCGGTAAAGAGCGTAGCATTGATCCCTCGACGGCCGTTGAAGTTGAGGTGTATCAGGGAGTGACCCGTCCAATGCCACTTCGGGTGGTCCAGCTCGTCCCAAGCTCGCCCCGAGAGGCGGGTAGGTTGGGACCGTTGCGGAGGCCCAGCGTCGACCAGCAGCGCATGTTTCAGATGGTCCCCATGCTAACATGCGTTTACAACCCAACGCTCAACCCCAACCGCTGTTGGTGGTGGCCACTGTGGGAATTTACATCACCACCCCATTCTGGCTCTAGTCATTCAGCGCTACATCGTCTGAAACTGGGAGCCAGGTTGAAGTGGCCCGAGGCTGCTGCCCGTCCTAGTCCGACCGACCGACGCTGATCAGTGATGGTCACCCTTGCGCCCCTGGGCCCCTTTAACTTCTCCCCCGTCTCTACCGTTAAAACCTGGCAGGCTCCGCCCAAGATTGCTGCGTTTTCGGCCTCGAAGGGCCATTGCGTGACCGGATTCCCAAACCAACAAGGCCATGCGCGGGCCTCCAATGGGAAGCAGAATTTGTACTGTTCGGCCATCTCTATCAGGCAAGGTACCTGATGGGGAATGGGCTACGACAGACTGAAGCCGGCCTACATTGTTTGACTCTGTTTGAGAGCCTTTGCCGCGACCCATGCCGCCAAGGCACGGGTCTTGTCGCCAACGGACATGTTGGACTCCCTGTGTCTCGCAACTCCACTGCATAGGTAGGTACGATAGTTAAGACCCCTCGGAGACCGCGTTCTTGGTGTTGAGCCACAACTTTACGTCCTCACTCATTTTCTCCCGCACCTTCACCGTTTACCTACTTAGCGCCCTTCTCTCGCTGGCCAAGGCCCGTCTCCGGTGTTCAAATCAGTGCCGAAGAACTAACGCTACCTACACAAGCATCCACTCTACGCTCCCGCTGGACAGGGGCGTATCACTTCCACACACTCTCACTAGCTAGACGAGACCCCAGCCGTTGCCACCGTCGCGACACGACCACTCGCCGCTTGACGTTCGACCGTTTCTATTCTCGCTGGACGAGATCCCGAACAGTTTCGACTCTCGCGGGACGAGAGCCAACCAACCTTTCCACCCTCGCTGGACAACAATCCGTCCAGTCCCGCTCCCCTAGCTTTATTAGCCATCGTTGGCTATCGTTGGCCGTCGACTTGCTTTGACGGATCGGGCCTCGTCTCGCCATGGGATCGCCTCAAGATTCTCATAACCTGGCGTTTGCGGAATCCGACTGGGTCGGTATCGCGGGTGTCCCAGGCGGATTCAGAATTGAGAAGGAGAAAAAGGCGACCTGGGTTCGTCGCTTCGACGTAGGTGTAAGGCCGACTTGGGTCCAGCTTGGCGAATATGGCAAAGCGTTTTGGGACCACATTGCGGTAAACGACGGCACACACTTCCGCACAGATGAAACGAAAAGCCGGATCGTGGCAACAATGTGTTACCCAAACGGACCCTCAAAGGGCTACACAATTTTCCAGAGCACCATTCCCAGGGGTGAGTGGCGGGATCGCATGTTGCGCGATAGGCATAAGAAGAAGGAAGAGAGGACTGCTCCCCGGTGGTGCTGGGCCGCATACACACCAACCTCGGCCGGGGCAGCTACCAAGCTGGAGATCCATGCCGAGGACGGCGCCGCATTCTTGTGTGAACGGGACAAGAGAACTACGGTGGGATGTCATGAAGTATCCCGCATGGTCCCATACGGGCACAACACGGAGCACGACCCACCCGCCGTGCTTCGGGCATGCACTGATAGTACGAAAAAGCCGGGTTGTAAGGACGTCACGAAGCGGCTTCACATCTTAACCAAACTTGACGGAGCGTCACTCGAAACGATGGATACCGAACGCTTCCAGCACCCCAAGATTGGCGCCGACATCCTCACACTCACTCAGCATCGGAACAAGCCCAGGAAATCGGGCAATAGGTCAAGTAGCGACGAGTTGGACAACGTGCTGAAACGCCTTGAAGATACCGGGTGTAAACGTAAGGATGGCCACTACACTTATCGTGGCCGTGTTCCCGTGCCGGGAAGCAACCACAAGATCACTATCGAGGAGGTCATTGTTGATCCCCACGGCATTGAGCACGAAAAAAAGGTTTACTTTTGCTACACTGAGAAGGAAGGCAAGAGAACTTTTCTGGCCTACGCCCCGTTTGTGGATGAAATGGATCCAAAGTACAACTCCAAGAAGGCGATGAGGCTATATACCGTCGCGTATGAGCTCTATACCGGTCAGCTCACCCCGGCGTCCTACTTCGGAAGTGATGATAGCGACGAGTTCATCCACGATGCGGTTGACACCTACGACCCCAGAGCATCTGGTAGCCATGTCGGGCCGTCCACCACTACCGGTAGCCACCCGGGCAGCCGCCCGGGCAGTCGTGGCAGTGTCACCGGGCAGCCCGCAGCGGCCTTCGGATATAGCGCCCAGCAGCAGCAATATCCCCAGCAGCAGCAATATCCCCAGCAATATCACCATCAACAGCAACACCCACAGCAGCAGCACCCCCAGCAGCAGCATCACTACCAGCAGCAGTATCCCCAGCAGCAGCAATATTCCCAGCAGCAGCAATATCCCCAGCAGAACTACTACCAACAGCAATATCCCCAGCAGCAGCAATATCCCCAGCAGCAGCACTACCCCCAACAGCACCCCCAACAGCAACAACACGTCGCCCACGCCGGCCCGAGCCAGCAACCCCCGGTACCCGCGACACAAACAGCGGTAGATCCTCCTGTCACGCCCCGGTACGTTGCACGGGAAGGCAAGAAGGAGACGCTGCAAGTGCATATCGATCCGGAGAGTGGGCACGCCTTTGTCCGGGGCGTGTCGGACACCAAGCCCGACAAGGCGTATCAGGTCTTCTGGTCCCCTCGAAAGAGCAAGTTTTACATTTTGAAGAGGGCGACGGATAGCAAGGGGAAGAAGGTGGAGGAGCCGGTCTACCTGAAGGACCTCACGAAGTACAAGTGAGGTGTTAGTGGTGGGTTACCCTAACACTTAGTTTTCCTCTCCTGCTGGATCGGGAGGGGCGTGCTCATGCTCACTGTGCTGCTGCGGCTGCTTGACGTGGGAGTTTGGTTTGGGACTTGTTTTTTTTTTTATTTCGTTGGATAACCCGGGTTGCCGAAATGCATCTGGATGCAGCTGGAGATGGCGATTTTGGATATTCCGGCGGGTTTGCTCAACCCCGGATTGGTTGGATTCTCTTGAAATTTTGGATAACTATTTAGGTAGGTAGCTCCTTTTCTCCCAAGTTGGGAGGTTTTTACTGGCGTCTCGTCGTCTGTGGAGGACTGTGGTCACATCCATCATAGCTTCTGCTGCCGACCGACTGCCTTTTCCTCCTTTCATCACACACTACACTAGGTAGACGAATATCATCACCATATTCGGCCAGTTCCGCTTGTTCCATATCTTCGTTGAAATGTCCGAGCCAATGTGGCCGTCGAACGATATGAGGTGCAAGGTCAAGGTCGGCTGGCGATGCAAGGTCTTAATTATATAGCCGGTCTACACCTTTCATCGAGGGCCAGTATGTACAGTGTTATCTATTCTGCTATATAACATTGTAGCTTGGTGGTAGTGTTTTTCCCTTTTACAGACTTCCATGGCTGCAAATCCTGGTAGGGCATCGACTCGGGTCCGAACTGTAGAAATAAAAAAAGTATCACACCCCCCTTTCAGGCACTCAGCGTGAACCGTACCCGACCCCGAAAACTTCAACGAATCACATCCCTTGCCGAAATCCAGATCGCCATGCCGGCGGCTAATGGGGACGGGATCGACCGGCTGAGCATGGCAATGCTACCTTGAACAAACGGCCCCCAAAGTTTATCCTTCCACCGTGTTGCGATTGATTTTGTGGCGCGGCCACTCCTGCAGTTCCGTCATTAAATCTCTCTCGATCGCTCAGCCCCGAGTGATGTGAACTCGGCTCAACCACCACTAACGAGCCCGAGGTTTTTGATCTGACGGGCACATTCAAGCAATTCGACAAGTCGCGCAGCTTTAACTATTCGTTTGCTTCTCCACACCCCCGCTTTGCTGATACGACTGTGATGAGTGTGGGGCTTCGGCATTGAAGTTGGAAAGATGCGGAGACACTTTCTCCTACCCGCGATCTGCCTTTTGGTGGTGACGCTGACGCTGTACCATCGCCGATCCCAAGTCTGCTGTCTGCAGTGGCCGGGTGTATCTCCAAACCACAGCAATGTGAAAGCCGCAGCGCCCAAGCCGGCCCCAAAGCCGAAAAAGAAGAGCCCTAGTGAGTCGAATCCCGCATCACCCACTGTGTGTATATAATTACTACCTCGAACCTCGCTCACGTATTCCATTCAGCCTTCCTTTCCAAAGACACCGCCAGCATCTACGTCAACTCCATCATCCACCCCGGATCCGTCGACTTCCCCCAGCTCGGCCTTCCGCTCCTCGAGTGCCCCAAACACCACCCGACCCGCTACAACCACCTCAAACCCGCCTCTCCCAACACCAACACCCCCAAAACCACACCCACGACCACCACCATCCAATACTTCTTCGCCCTCGACCTGCGCGACTCCCTCCCCCTCCTCCCCCGCCTCCTCACCACCATCCTCCAAACCATCCACTTCCTCGGCCCCTCCCACTGCGCCCTCTCCATCGTAGAAGGCCACTCCCGCGACGGCACCCACGAAGTCCTCTCCGCGCTCCGCCCGGCCCTCAAAAAACTCGGCATCCGCTACCACTTCACCACCAGCCCCATCAACCCGCAATCCCCCAACGGCCGCATCCCCGCCCTCGCCGACCTCCGCAACCTCGCCCTGCAACCCCTCTTCGATGCCGCCGCTTCCCCCTCTAACCCATCCTCCTCCCCGGTAACCATAACCCCAGACACAACCATCCTCTTCCTCAACGACATCGCCGCCTGCCCCGATGACCTCCTCGAACTAATCCACCAACGCCGCTCCTTACAAGCCGACCTCGTCTGCGGGATGGACTGGACCTACGCCGGCGGCGACGGCGACGGCGACAGCGACGCGGCGGCGGCGGATCCGACGTTTTACGACGTGTGGATTGCACGGACCCTGAAGTCGGGGGACTCCTTTTTTGAGGTGCCGCCTGATGGGAGCTGGGATAGGGCGGGGGATTTGTTTTGGAATGATGAGGTGGCCAAGGGGAGGTTTGAGAAGAAACAGCCGTTTCAGGTTTTTGCGTGTTGGAATGGGGGGGTTGTTTTTGGGGCTGGGCCTTTACTTGCCGGGGGGAAGAATGGGAAAGGGGGTAAGGGGGATAAAGAAGAAAAGGGGGTGCGGTTTCGCGCGGCAAGGGAAGGGGAGTGTCATCAGGGGGAACCAGAGTTGTTCTGTAAGGATTTGTGGTATGCGGGGTATGGCAAGATTGCGGTGGTGCCGACGGTGAATTTTGAGTATTCGAATGAGGCCGGGAAGAAGATTAAGGAGGCCAAGGGGTATGTGTCGACGTGGGTGGGCAAGAAAGATTGGAAGGACGAAGGAATTGAGTGGCAGACGGAGCCGCCTAAGGAGGTGAAGTGTATGGCGAGGTATGATGCGCAGGTGTTTGAGCCGTGGGATAAGGCACAGCCGGGGAAGTGAGGGTGTGATGGATGGGGGAATAATTAGTTCCGGGTTATTGTCAGGGTATTTTCAACAGCACACTGACCTTAATTGTTGGTTTTCCTATTGTTTCTGTTTTGGAATATGTTCAGCGTACGACATCCCTTGCTTAGCGTATCAATAATGATTGTGAACTTCAAAAAGACGTGGATTCTCAGCTACGACCTCCCGGTTTAGATCTGCAGGAGCACGGAGGAGCGAAGCGAGAAAAGAGGTTGGGCGTCTGGATCATTCTCCCTGAGCCTCAATCACTGTCACAAATCCACATCTATGTGAGCATATTTGATTCTCCGGCACGGCCATTTCATTCATCGCCATCAGACTATTTCTAGTCTGCAGGCGATAACCCTCCGACTAACACTAACGTCTAAGCATGCCGGCGAGGCTGGCAAGCCTGCTAGGCCGCCAGACCGATACGGCCCAGAACAGTCTCAAAAAGCAAAGTGCCGAACTGTATCGGACTGGCGGCTGAACAGGCTTGCCAGCCGAGCCGGCATGCTTAGACGTTAGTGTTAGTCGGAGGGTTATCCAAGGTTTACATACAACTAAGTGGCTAATCTTTTGATCCTAGAGTGGCCCAATTGCTTATGGCACGAGGGCTAGTAAGGCAGTTGAGGTCCAGCAACCTGTACTCCCTTACCAGCTCCACAGCCGACAGCACTTCGACCCCCACGACCAAAGGATTAGACCGCCCAGTCAAGCCCTGGGCTCAACTCACCAACCCCAAGACCCTCCAATACATCCCACACATCATCCGTGTTACCAACCGCATCATTGTCACGACTATTCCCGCCGCCTAGAACGCCTCTATCGTCCACACCCGAATCGCCAACCCCGGCCGGTTTTAGCACGGTTCCAGAATCAACCCGCGGTGCCTTTTTGGCACCCTGCGTGGCCCTGCGCCTTCTCCGCTCCTTCCTAAGCCCTAAATCAGAACCATGGGCCGCCCTCGCATGTCGCAACAGGTTATAATCCTCCGTGAATGTCTTGCGACACTTTGGACAGCCGAATCTACGAACTCCCCTATGGGCGAGCGAGCCTTCGTGTCGTTTGAGATCACGCTTAGTGCCGAAACGTTCGTCGCATCCCCGAAAGCGACATGCCAAACGCTTGATGTGAGACCCGCGAATGTGACGTTTGGCCTTGTCGTGAGTCTCGAAGGTTTTGGGGCACTCGGAGCATTGGTAGGAGTATTGGGTTTGGCTGTCCTGACAATGGGAAACGGGCGATGGAAAGGTAACCGGGGACATGCCCGAAAGCGATCTTGTCGTGGGCAGGCTCGAGGAATTTGGTGTGAATAACAAGGGGCTTGGAGAGGTTGTTCGCGGTGACGGAAGGCTTGTCATAGGTTGTGGGTGGGCCTCCAAGTCCAAAGCCAGTGAGCCAAGGTCCGGAAGCGAGTCACTGCAGGCGAGCAACGACTCAAAGTCCGGGTCGAGATTATCGTACGATGCAAGCCCCAGAGGAAGAGATTGTTGGAAGTGGAGCCCCGGGCTATTCATTGGCGGCATCGGGTAAGATGACAGATCGTAAGTTGGCTTGGGGGTGGTAAGAGAGGGGAAAGCAATAGGTTGGGCCGCAATATGCTCCCATTGTTGAGATATCGCCAGGTCCAAAGGAGAGTTCGGAAGAATCGGCAGGTTGTCATCTTGTAGGAGAGGAAAGTCAAGCGACAAGCTGGAGTTGTATGGCGATGTGGACGGAGGTACTAGGCCCTCAAAGTGTGGATGAGTTGTAATGAGAGTGCTGCCGCAAGGACTGAGAAAATAATCGACAGTCCCAGAATGCCTGCTGACACGCTGGGCACCGTCGATGAAGGTCTCGGATAGGACGTTGGAAAGTTGTTGTTCAGTCGAATGAGCGAACACTCCAAAACTGTTTTCCATCGGCCATGTCAAAGACCCCGGAGACACGCGGTCTCCGTGGCCATGCGCTTCGTTTTCCGGGGGATATCCAGGGCTCCGCGTCTGTACATGAACTAGACGATCTCCGTGGCCATGCTCCGGGGTGGTCAACGCAAGCTGTAAAGCACGAGCATGTACAGACGCATTGCCCTGGATACCCCCCGGAAAACGAAGCGCATGGCCACGGAGATCGTGTTCGTCAAAATCAATCCATTTCCAAGGAATAGAGATGGGTGGGCGGGAGCCACCAGCGCCCCCGCGGGCAAGTGGTTAAATGGTGTAACCTGGGCAAGTTAGAGACAAGTGCTGAAAATCGGTGCGAAAAATACGGACCAAATGCAGAAGCGGCCGTGTAGGCCGGGGCAGTCGAAGTCGTGGCGCCCTGCTAAAGCTGAGAAAGGTATTGACGGGTTGATAACAAGTTTCAGACGGCCTTTATACAAGTAACCTGCCACTTATCATGCCTACCCTGTTGTGGCAAGGCTCCGCGGGGTCCTCGAAAGTGGCAGACTTCCCCTCTTCCCTTGCATCAGGTATTAGTGTGCATGTTGATTGGGCATCCTCTCATGCACCTTCATGCAGCTCCGACTGCCTCCGACTGCCTCCACGACAGATCCTACCAATTATTGCGCAAGGCGTCAAGATTTCCAAGCGGTTCCGTGCATGACACCTTCGCTGTTTCATGCAGGTGAAGCCGGGGAGGCGGTGTCGGGCTCGAGATAGGAGGCCCACTCGAATTATTGAGGCAGACTGAAAAAAAGAGGCAGATGCTTCTCTACAAGCAGAGCGAATCAAGCCCATTCCCGAGCGTTTTCGAATCTTCGCGAAGTGCCTTCCCAGAAGAGGACCTTCCTTGGCAGGTTGCCTGATAGCTGGAAGGAGCAACCATGGAGCCATGGTCCCACATTTCTCGGGATAGCCCGCACCTGCCTCCCGCACCCTCACACACACAGACAACAAAGATCGGACGGAGCCAGTCTTGGATTTCTATCTTATCGCTTAAGATATACAGTTATCTCGGATACGGTACAACTTAATCTTAAACCCCCCAGGGGCGGCCTAAGAGCTCCCCAACTGACATCATATTCGCACGTTCCTCAAGTCCACCAAAGCCCCTCAAGGGAAGAGGGACCCGTTCTGACGAGCAACGCGAGAAAACCCTCGCTCGGGCTCGTGCTTTCGTCGCTTCTAGATCAGGAACGCACCTTCTCTTCGCATACACCGGCACCGCAAACATGTCGTCACTTCATCAATTCATCGCAAAACTCCAGCACCCCGTCTCCAAGATGACCCGTGTTTCGGCTACAAACAAAAAAGCCCCATGAGCGACTCGCCGCCATCCCTTAGACAGAAGTATCCATTTCCAAAATCTCTTATCAAACGTAACTCACAATGTATGCAACACCCACACGTACAGCCACTCCTTCCCGCACCACAACCATCACGGCGAGGGTCCGCCAAAACAGTTCCGCTACTGCCTCACTTCCAACCCGCAGTAACTTAGCCCAGCAAGGCCAGCCGGGCCCATCCAATCGGCCGATCAAACATGTCCGGTTTCAAAACACCGAGCTGACGGAGAGCGAGAAGGCGTGGGAGAGGGAGAAGGAGCGCCGGCGGAAGGAACTGAGCGGACAATTGACTTTTGACACGCCGGGTCCGAAGGAAAACCCTATTGATTGGTGCGTATTTCCGGAATCTCCCTACGCAGTTGGGGTTTTGCTGGGGGGGCGGTCTTAGCTGACCTTGCGTGTGGTCTAGGACGGCGGGGGCGATTACAGTGGTGAGTGTGCTGCTCGCGGGGTTGTGGATGTTGCGGTCGAAAAGGAGGCGGTAAGATCAGGGATCGAATCTTGGATTTCCAGTCCTTGGAGTGACTGATGAGAAGCTGGACTGGAGGGGGTGTTTATTGGGTGGCTGCGTTGAGCTCTCACGGAGCGAACGTAATGGTGTACATTCTCGAGCTCAGCATGGAAAATAGCGGTTTGGAGTGAGCTGTTCGAGACAGAGTTCTGTTGCAGATAGTCAGCTTAGCGAAACGGGACGTTGATAGAGGCTCCGGACAGCGAGGCTTACACAAACTAGGTACTTCTTTTCGGGTGCAGTCGTGGACACGTTCTCGTCTTGTTCGCGGCGCAATGGTCCGGGGTATGATGTGTCCAGCTTGTAGACTGCCGTGGAGGAATCGGACTGCTGAAATCCATCAAGTTCGGATTCCTCAAGATATCCCAGGACGAGTCCAGTTGTCGGTCCTATGTTTCACGTTAGCCGGCCGCTGTCAGCCACAACAAACACCGATGGCATTGCACTCACCTAGTAATTGGTATACTCCCCCGGTCACAGGAGGCCGTGAGAACAGTTCCCACAAGCTCGTGTCGAACTCCGCCAGCTCAAAAACGCTTCTCCCCGCATTTATCCCAGCCTCAGTACCCAGTACCAGTGGTAATTTCCAGAATTCGCAATCTGGCTCATGCAACCAGTTGAGATCCCAAAGCCGGTACACAGCTAGGTAGGAGAATCGTCCTTCATCGTTCAAACCGGCGGCTGTATTAAGTCTGGACCTAGAGATATCATTAAGTTGATGCAGCCCTGCTTCAACCACACCTCGCGTAGCGAGGACGTCGGGAATGTGTTTTGACAAATACCATTGCGCAAGATCTTCGTGGCTGAAAGAGGCTGCGACTGGCCGCGAGCGGACCAGGATAATGCCGGGCCGGAAGATGGAAGTCATTTTAGAATTTTACTGAATCAGAGAGTATTACTTTGGAATTGTTTGGGGTTAGATTGAGGTAGGATCTAAAAATAAGAGGGAAACGGAGATTAAAAGGATTAAACTTTGTTTGGCCACGCCCAGTTGGGGGTCCGACGGCCGGACACCGAGACATTGCAGAAGCTACCTAATTATGATTTAGTCTTCGAGAAATGGGTTCGTGAACAACCATGCGCATTACATCTTGCCATGAATGACGTACCTTTCGTTTAGCGACGATAAGGTACGCTTCATGTGGTTAAATGGAGATCGCCTTTGAGAAGAGAAACGCAAGCGTCCCTTTATGACAATATGACTTGTCTGATCGTCAGCGATCCCGAAAACGAGGATGCTGGACAGTTTCTAACTCAACGGAAAGGGCATCAATTTAACGTTCTCATGCTTTCTTTTCTTAGGGATATTCTTGTCACGATCGAGGCTACAATTATCGAGGAAGGTATTCCTTAAATCGTGATTCAGCTCTATTTTTCTGGTAAGGCCCGGCCGCCGTTAAATTATCGGAGACAGTTGATTCAAGACCAACAGTGAGTTAAGTGGGTCGATAAGCAGTCCTGCCTCACGCCGCAACCAACGAGGTTTTCTCACCCGGCCTCCAAAAAGTCCGTTGTCTCTCATCCCGGTGAGGAGAACCGCACTCCCAGAGACATCGTCTCCAAACAGGACTCACGATGGAACCTGAACCTAGAATCGTTGGACATGGTTTGACGGCCATCGTCACAACAGTCGATGACAAAACCGTCCTGAAAGGATACGAAGTCTGGAGCAAGGGCAAGCTACGGGCTAAGTGCGGGGAACCGAGCGAGGACCGCTTGGTAAGGGAAGATATCGTCTACCAACACCTTGGCCACCATCCGTTCATCCTCCAAAGCTTTGGCCTCAAGGAGGTCCGACCCGGAGTCCACTCCCTGTGCCTGGAGATGGCGCCTCTCGGATGCATACGGCTACACACGCAAAGCACACTGAGCCCCGTCAACTTACTCCTCCCAAAGCTTCCAGATCCGCCTCTCAACGCCCGATTACAGATGGCCCTTGACGCCGCTAGGGCGCTCAGCTACGTCCACTCGCGCGGGGTTCTGACCTGCGACTTCAGTTACCGAAAGATCTTCCTCTTTCCCGATTTCCGCATTAAGCTCGGCGACTTTGGCGGTGCCCTCCTCCAGGGCCACAGCTTTAAGAACGACCAAAACTATGAGGGACGGTATCAGTTACCGCTCCGGGGGAGGGACTTCGACGACCTCGACATGGTAAAGCAAGAGCTTTTTGCCCTCGGCGTTGTCATTTACGAAATTACTATGTGGAGAAGACCGTTCGACGATCTTAGCGAGGACAGTTGTGGGGTTGATGTCAGGTACGCACGGGAGGAGTTTCCACTGCTTGAGCCTGATAATCCTGTTAGGGATGTAATTAAGGGGTGCTGGATGGACAGATTCGATAGGGCTGGTCAGGTTGTCGACGGTTTGGAACGTTGTCTCAGAATTAGTGAAAACAACTAACTACCTACCTTAATTGTGCCGTTATTCGTGTGCTTTTCTTTCATCTCTGGCTCTATTCACAAAGAGATATTGTACCTTAGCTAAGGAGAGACAGCGACCAGCATGAGTAACGACGGTAGCATTGACCCACGTTGGCCATGTCACAATTCAATAATGCCCTCTTAAAGGGTCTCTCCCTGCTTATCACATCCTACATACTGCTAGGAGTTTTTGATGACGCTTGGAGTTTGGGCACGCGTCACTCGTATTCATAATTCTCTTCACCGCTACGATGGTCACGTGTCTGATACATCCCTAACCGATAACTGTTTCCTTAACTCCAAGTGCTTAGCTATTCTTCATTGCCGTGTTACACCCCCTGGTCTTCACCGCCATCCTGATCCTCCTGATTTTGCTCGCCGTCTTCTGCCCCGTCTTGCTCCTCCTCCGCGTCCAGCTGTCTCTGCCGATCCCTTGCTTCTTGTTCCGCCTGGAGCTGGGCCTCTCGTTCTTGCTTTTTCTGCCGTTTCTCTTTTCTATCCTTTGCCAGCTGCGCATCGGTCGGGTATTTCCCCTTCATATTCCTCCTTTTCTTCCTCGCTGCGGCCGGCGGCGGTGGTGGTGGTGGCGGTGGCGGTCTATCAAAGATCTCCCTTACGAAATCCCTCAAATCTTTGTTCTCCTGATTGTTCTCATCCTCCTCATTAATGCGGCCATAGAACTTCTCCATGAACGTTTCAATCTCTTTCTGGAGCCACGTCAAACTCGGCCGGTAGTAAGGTTTCTCACAAAGGCACATGGCGACCAAGTCGCGGAGGAACGATTCGTCCGCATACATCGGCGGTGCAGGTTCAGGAAGGGGAGATCCGCGATCCTGCCTGTTCTCTAACCTCGGCCCCACCCGGTCGACATCGAGGCGGTTATGGTCATGCGTTTTATTCGAGTCATGATCCACCAGGTATTCGCCATACGAGTAAGCGCTGACCTTATCGAGCGTATTTGGAATGCGAGTACCGTCCGGGTGCACGTTTCCGTCATGTTGACGGGCCTGGGTGTTTTCGCCCGGGCCGTAGCGGGTAGGGTATGAGTTGGGCTCCCCGTGGTAATACAGCGGGTTCACGAGTCTCCAGGGGACGGCGATCCGTTGGGCAAAGGGGGGCACTGGTGGGTAGCTCCGTTCAAGTAAGCAGCCCATGATCTAACAGACGAATGGATCGGACGGCGGGGATTATTAGCGGAAAACGAATGCTTTAAGGTGGGTAAGGTTAGGATACCAGGTGTTACTCACCCAACCGACCTGGAATAGGTTGTACTTATAGGACCAATTTCCCGCTACAACGGGTATTGCGTTGGGGGTTTGGACTGTCCCGGGGCCAGAATTGCGGGGGATGTAATCCCATTCGCCGGTGAATTGTTCCTGTCCATCATGTCAATAATAACCCACTTAACTGGTTACGGAAACAAATGTCCCCCATGATACCGGTGGTCAATAAGCAGCATGACAACGTACCGGGGTCAGGAAGTTAGCTTTCCCATAGTGACGTAGCCTGTACATGTTGTCACTAATTCATGCGAGGGAGTCACCCCTATTAGTGTTTAATTACACTTCACATCTAATTATGATGACATGGGGAGCTTAGAGGAGGGATATTCGCATACTCTTCCTGTAAATATTCATCATTGAAATATTGGGCCAGCCCAAAGTCCGAAATCTTAAGTACTGGAAACAAAGCATGCGCAGTGCCAGGAGCGGTATTAGCTCCGACGAGAACTAAATTGGTGACGTACTTATTAACTAGAGCTGTTCTTGCTCATGATGCTCACAGGAAGTAAAGAAACAAACCTACCATTTTGCGGGTCTAGATCAAAATGTACGGTTTTCTCTGCCGTCGCAGTGGGCATCATCAGTTCGTCGTGGGGGCCCGCTCCGTTGTAGAGCGTGGGATACTTCGCCGGTTCATAGGCCATCGCGATGCACCCTTTAACAACTGCGGCAAGCAGAAACCGAAGTTTGGGTCATTAGGTCTGCGATTTATATCATAGGTGGCTGATTAACGGGTAACATACGGCACTGGAATAACTTCCACAAACCCCGGGTCGGAAACCGCATGTCCTTCTTCACTGCGGCTTGGATGGCCTTGTCCAAGCTCCCTCGGGGGTAGTACTCGAGCAGCATGGTGCCCGTTTGGTCATTCTCCGCCTGTTTGTAATCGGGTGGGACGTAGTCTGGCTGGGCCCGGAGTCTCGCCGACCCCCTCACGACCCTTTTCTGATACGGCGGGAACAAACGCACTCGGACGATGTGCATTGCACCTTTGAAAGTCTAACACAACGTGGTGGACACCGTTTCAGCCGTGCCCTTCCGTTCCAGCAGTAACGAAATCAAACGACTTACTTTGGTCATGAGTTTCTCATCCTCAAGATGTAACACGTATACACGCTCTTCTTTGTAATTAGTCTTGGCCACATAGTACTTGGGAGGCGTGCTCCGGCCGGGTTCATGCAAGCGGAACAGCGAAGCCAACCCAAAGCCGCCATGTCCAAGGTCCTTCACCCAACGGAGTCTGTAGGGCTCAAGCCGCTTGCAGAGTCTTGCCCTAGCTTGCTCAAGATGCAGGGACTGACGGCGAGGGCTGGTTCGTGGAACGGGGAACGCCTCGAGATCTGGATTAACCTGAGGCATTTCTGGCCCGCTATAATACTGGGGCTCTACAGTAATCATCATTTGTCAGCCTTTGTCCCTCCTATCACCGCAACCATGTGCGGACCGAAAGGTTAGTCCTCTCCGCGAGGGCGCGAGCCTCTAGGGCCCTGTCGCACGCTGCGCATGTATGAGAAGTGGGATCCGCGTACCGTTTCGGGGGACCCGGAAGTAAAGGCATTCAGGACAAGTGATATCAGCGTCGAGGCGTCCTGTTTGGCGGTACTGATGAAATGTGTAATTTGATTCTCTTTGCCTCCGCAAATATCGGGGAACGAGGCGGATTCCCCCTTGGTTTACGTTTGCCATGATTCGTGCCGAGGACCTCGCTGATTGCGAGTAAAACACAAACTCTCGGCTTTAGAAAGTGGGTTGAGACACAGGTAGGTAAGAGTAGTCTCAGACTGTTGATCAAGGGCTGTAGTATATCTAAGAGTTTGGGAGTTCAGACCTGACAAAGCAACTTGAACGCCATTGTTGCCGTTGGATTCCTAGGATAGGTAAAGAACTCGGAACAATGAACTTTCTTTCTCCAAAATTACATACTTACGGATCCGGGGATTCTTCTATTATAACAGCGATGCCCAGGTAATTAATTGGTAATTGTTTACGGGGCAGAGAAATACGAGCAGTACCACCTGAGGTGGCTCAACATGTTCCCTTACGGCGAAAGCTACGAGATATGTAGCTCTGTTGCCTGTATTATCTAGGGCTCTATAAGTTCAGGCATGGAACAAATACTTCTTTCGTAGGCTTCCAATTCATTGCGCACTAGCCTTTTACTTTGAAAGACGCAGAATAAATGGCTAAGGCATGCAACAATCAAGACATCTGACCCATAGGCATTGCTGAGGGCTGAGAAGCATTCATTGAAATGGCCGCCCAGGCACTGACAGAGAGGCACCGTAGAGTTGATGTAAAAGAATAAAAGAAAAGCCACAGCCTCAACAATAAAAAGGATTTGATTAAAAACAAAAGCGACCCTATCTTGTACCTGGTTGTCTCAGTTTTTGCTCGCATTTGGCCGACCAAAAACCTCCGCCACCCACTCCCTCATCTCTTCATCATCCGCTGGCTCATAAAAGCTGTCCCCAAAAGAACAATCGCTGCTACTTTCCCCAGTTTCGTCGGATGCAGTTTCTTCACCACTTTCCTCCTCTGCATCTCCCATCGTTACATCGCTACCCGCCCGTCCTTCTCCTGCAGTATTACCGCCACCATTATCCACTGCTTTTGCTTTGCCTTTACCTTTGTCACTCTTCTCTTCTCCTATCACAATATCATTGCCTGGCGTTCCTTGTCCTGCACTGCTACCACCACCATGATCGACCTCTTTGCCTTTACCTTTACCTCTGACATTCTTCTCCTCTCTCGCATCTTCCATGGACTGATCATCATCCGCCCGTTTCTGCCCACCTTGCCCACTGCCAGCCCCGCCTTCTGCCCCATCATCACCATCATCGCCGTAGTCCTCCATATCAGTATCCTCATCGGTAATAGTGTCATCATCCGTATCATCCTTATCCCCTTCACCTACCACAGCATCCTCCGCAGCCCCGTGCCCATACCTCTCCCGAATACACTTCGCAATCTTCCGATCCAACCACGCCATCCTCGGCCGATACCTCGGATCATTACACAAACACTGCGCCACCAACCTCCTCAACTCCCGATCCACCCTCACATACTCCGGCACCCTATCATCCATCAAATGCCCGCCATACGTCCACACCCGTATCCAATTTGCTTTTACCTCGTCCTCGTCATCCAATTCCATGTCGGCTGTGTCGAACAATGCGTCGTGCCAGTCTTGCTGGCCCTGGTAGGTGCGGAGGTTGTGACTGGATGGCTCGTCAGCGCCGGGTTCTGGGGGCGGTGCTTCGCTGGTGGGGGATTCCATGTAATCGGCGTCGTCGTCGTCGAGGTCGTGGTAGTAGATGGGGGGGATATGGATGCGGCGGGGGTGAGGGGGTTGGGGAGGGAATTCTTTGGTGATGAGGCACATCATAGTCTTTTTTTGAGGGAGAGAAAAGGGGAGAGGAGGTTAGTTGAGGGGGTTGGAATACGTGAGGGTAATTGTTTGAAGCTGTGGAAGGGGTTTACTTACGAGACCCATTTGGTAGAGATTGGTTTTCCAGCTGAAGTTGCCAGCCACACTCGGCCGGGGATTCATAGCCCCAGGAGCGACGCCCCGGGGAACGGTGTCCCATTGATCTGTGAATTGTTCCTAAGATTTGGGGGAGGATTAGTTTCGTGAAGCCTATGATGGGGGAGGAGGGGTTGCACGTCTGAGATGATAATTCCGAGAACGACAGATGGGGGGCATACGGGCGTGAAAAATAGATATTTCGCGAGGCGTCGTAGGCTTAACATCCATTCGCTGTAAGGAGGAATGTTAGCAAACAGGTCTAGTGGCCTTCTCAGAGGGTCTCTTACTGGTTAGAGAGATCCTGGTTCGGAATATCGGAAGCAAGGCCAAAGTCGCTTAACTTGAGAAGCGGAATGATGTGATGGCCGGTTTCCGGATTGTCGTCTCCCACAAGAACTATTCAAACTTTTTGTTAAATCTCACTCTGCCCGGCTGCTGCGGGTGAGGCATCCCAGACCTACCGTTTTGCGGATCAATATCGAAATGTACATATCTGTCCTTGGTGTATATTTGTCCGGGGTTGCCGGGGAGCTCCTCTCGAAACGGTGGGTCCTGGCCCCGGTAATGAATACCGAGCCTTTTGTACCTCTCCGGAGGGAAGGCCATGCCAATACAAGCTTTGACAACTAATAGGACAGGGGGGCATTAGTCCGATACACATATTGCTAAGCCGAAAAATGCCCACTTGGCGCAAGATTGAAAGTAGCCCCATGAAAGGGAAAAGGACAAGACTCACGGCAGTGAAACATGTGCCACAAGGCACGGTTGGGAAAGGCCATTTGCTTGTCACTCGCTGTTTTGATCGCCTTGTCCAGGCTGCCGCGTGGCATATATTCTAAAAACATGACGTCGCGAAGGTCAACCTGCCCCTCTGTGTAGCCCTGATCTGGACCAACACCCTTCGCCTGCTGCTGGCGGGCGGACTGCCGACGAAGGGGGGGCAGCGGGGGTTCGGGCAACATTTGTATAATGTGCATGCTGTCTCTGAATCTCTACACAAAGTATGTAGTATTAGCAACATAACTAGCGACGGGGATTGTTGTAGGGCTAAGACGTCTTAACCCACCATAGTCTGAAGCTTCTCTGTATGAAGCGTCTCTACCGGGTTCCTCCCTGAGTGGTTGAACTTGGTTACGAAATACCGTCTCCTGGCCTTTTCCACTCGACGGCCGGGGCCTTGAACGTAAAACAGTGATGCCAATCCGTTACCACCACGGCCGAGATCCTGCAACCATTCCAGGTTGCGGCACTGCAGTCGCCATCGTAGAATCTCCCTTGCTTGTTGGGATCTGGGGTGTGCTCTTTCTGAACCAGTCCCTCCATATTCATGTCTAAATAGGATGGCGGTACGCTGTTTTGGCCCTGACCAGGGAACACGATGAACGGGTGGGTATGGGTAGTCGTTGTACTCCTGGGATCCGTAATTTGGGCGAGTGTCCTGAACCGTGCGATAAATATGGAATTTATAGTTGATTTGGCGTTGTCGTTCTACAAAGTCATTTGCAGCCATTGTCGGTTGCGAATATTATTTGAGAAGTTTATCAAGTAATTAAGGATGTCCGTCCAGACCATGGAGATGATAGATAGTCTTTTGGTGGTTAGCGAGCTTCGTTCCTCGAATCATCGAGTCGTTGACTCGCGTGTTGGGCGTACCAGCGTTTTGACGACTCTCTCGGCCTTGCTTTGAAGGCCTCAAGAAAGGATCAACATAGTGCGGGCTTCTGGGAGGTATCCTAAAGGGACAAGGGGTATTGTCAGGAAGCGAGAAAGGGTTACGGTGACGCATCCGGGTTCTTTTGCGGAACAATGGGGATCAAGAACTTAGGGGTTCTCTTTCACATATCCCATTGAACTTCACGTCACCACATAATCGAACGGGTCAGTGTTACTCAGATAAATTTTAAGCGTACAACCCAGGACATAACGTACGATTAAGGCGGCTACAACGTCCGGACATCCGTTACAGGGCTGAAAAAGGCGAGTGTGATAAGAGTAACGCGGTCAATCCCATGCATATCGTTTTTGATCCACAAACTCTTGTTTTCCCTCATATCTGCTGGCGACAGAGTTGGCTCTAGACGTTTCTTTTATTGAAAGTTTACCCCCAGTCAATCCCACCACACTTCTTTGTTTCATTCATCTCCAGATATTCTGACATGGCAACAAAGCTTTTGATGAAGGAACTGAGGCTTTCATTGGCTGAGCTTCAGATTAACGAAACTCTCAGTGGGGTCGGGGGTGACCAAACAGCTTTCCTGGAGTAGTTAGGAGTTGTATTTGGCTGCACTGCTCAATCTCACTCTAGCTGAGAGTGGTGTTTGACGAACGGCGTTGGCCTCGGGCTACTCACTGAGAAAAAGAAATCAGCCTGTAATTTCCAACAGAAGACGGGAAAACCGAGAGCGAAAACGTGCGAGCAAAGGGCCATCGTTCTTCGCCACGGCGCTAAAAAAAAGCAAACTCTAAGGCAAAGATACTCGGGCAGGCCAACCTCCATTGCTACCTCCACATCCCTCAAAGGTTCATTCGGACAGGTGTCTCACCTAACGTCAACAGCTTGACCCCCGACATCTTGCCTCCTGACTGGATTGCGCCTCGGGTTCAGTGACAACGAGTCGCGGGTTTCGAATCGGCTTGGGAATAGTGAGGCTGGCGGAGCCGACCATCCCACAACTATTCTGAACTCGAACCAGAATTATCAACGAGGCAACTCGTCACAGGGTACTCTATGAGCTGGGGAAGGGTGGTCGCGTCGCGGCGGGAATTCACTGGCCGACAGTTGACTGTTGCTCGCACGAGACGGACCTCAGGGGTCATAAAAGGAGAGCGCAATCAAGCTCCTTCGCGGCCCTGAATTTAGCTTCACAGGCCGCCCAGAGCACCCTCAGGGCTTTTGGATCGCGACCAAGAAAACTTTGACACGACATGCCTGAAATCCCCAAACAACGGTTTCGCACCTTGACTCATGGTGGCCCCGAGGCGCCGGACCGGGCGGCCGTGATCGGGACCCGCTGGGCCGAAAAGGCTCCACTCTCATCCGGGATGAGTGGGGCGCCACGGGCGCTTCGGCGCCGGCCTCCGCTGCACTTGACCCGTGGTGGGGCGGTAAAAACAGCAAGTGTCGGAGAGCAAAATCGCATCCCGATGGAAATAATGAAGCAGGGCGGTTTTGGTCTGATTGGTTCCAAGCGCTCGGTGTGGGTGGGGGGCGCATTCACCATGGTGAGCTGCAGGTGGGCGTGAGGCTGGTCAAGCGACAGGCTCTGAAAGCAGCGCCGGTTCGCACTGAATGCCACAAAGCAGGGCGGTAAATTCTTTCTCTATTGCCCGAGATCAGCCACGCACGCACGGAGGTGGCCCTTTATTGTTGCGTTGTGGTACACGTCACGTGAGGCTGCAGCGGCCGCCTGCCGTTGGCGAACCCCGAATTTCCCCTGTTCCGTTTGCCCCGGAGCTTTGAGGTCTGTTTCATTTGAGTCTTTTCCAGATTCGAAATCGGAGGGTCCTCAATGCGAGGTCGCCTTGCAAAATTCCGACCGCCCTACAAAACTCCTCCACTGGACATCAAACAACGCGTCGTCGTCCGCTAAATTCCGAGTCTGGAGCTGACGGGACGAAAGTGCGGACACGGCGGCCAGTGCGGAGCCCCAATTCACCAGCTGATGAGGCCCGCCGAGACTCCAAATACTTAAGCACCCACCATCGGACTGAAGCTCAAAATCAGATTTTCTCCCAATTCCACACCCGCGTTGAAGTCGAAACCATGTATCGGAAGCTTTCTGGGGGCCACGGGAAGCTCCAAGTCCAGTTCGGTCCAGGAAGCACCGGTGAACTACATTTCCACACCAATGTCACCGCAATCGACCCCACTACTGGCGATGCCACCGAACATCGCGTCTACTCTCACAGGTCCATCAACACCAACCGGCCACGGTCTCCCAGAAACTCCCGCTCTCGCTCACGCCCCCGTTCTCGTTCCCGTTCCCGGTCCCACAGGGGAAGGAGCAGCTCTCACAAACCACGCGACAAATACTCCCTACCCCAAAAAACAAAGGACATCTCAGCCTGGATCACCGAAGCCCAGCACCAACCGATGCCACCGAAGCGTGAGTGGCCAATTCCGCCCGAGGGCCTCACCACAAAGTTCATCGAGCCCTTGACGGCATACACCGCGGAGAACCGCAACCGGCCTCGTCGACGGTACACACCATCCCCACATCCCTACGGGGAAGGAAACGAACGTGGTCGCAGGCGATACAGAGAGGACTTCGGCTTTAGCTCTGATTCATCGTCTGACTCGGATTCTCGAGGATATTCCCCCTCGCCTTCGCGTGGCCGCTCCGAACCCAGGCGCAGTCACCGCCAACTCCCGGATTCGTCCCGCTTGGATGACAGTTACGGCGCCAAATACTACTACAAAAGCACCCGACGGGCCGGCCATCACGATGACGACGCCGAGTACGCCCGCGCCGCTGCCGGTGGTCAGACCAAATACGAGTACCGCAAAAAAGAGTACACCGACTCTGCTCGGTACCCATCAACCACCGCATACCCCCACGGCCATTCGCAGTATTATCACTACGAGACCAGCCGCACAGCAACCGACCCCATTAGCGACGGTGTCCGGTACTACACCATCAACGACCACACCGGGACCAGAACCTCCCAATACGGAGTAAGCACCCCCCAGCCAACAACGGAAGCACGGCGTTCCTCGCATAGCGGTTGGGACGGTGACTACGTGAGTGGGCGGGATGGGGCCCGGTATTATTACTATGAGGAAGTGAGGGGTCCGAGGAACGGGGGACGGTCTGCGGATGATGAGGATGGTTATGAGGCGGATGAGCAGTATTGGGCTAGGTTGAAGGCTATTCGGAAGGAGCAGGAGAAGAGGTGGCGGAAGATGAAGAAGGAACAGAGGCTGTTGGAGTATGAGAGGGATGTGTCGCCGGATTAGAAGGGTCTATGAGGGCTTGTTGGGCGGGGATGAGTGTTTGAGCGTGTTTGTTTCTACGTTTAGTTAGGTTTACCTTGACATTTGTCTTATTTTTTGGATCTTAGTCTCTTGTATCGATTCAACAATTATGGTTTCCGGCTTTCACGTTTGGATTTACCCAACATCGTTTGCAGGCTTGGAGCGTTGAGGCCACGTTTTTTTGATACTTTCTTAGCCATGATTACAGTATCAACCATTGGCGTTTGTTGTTAAACTAAAGCTCCAAATAAGCGGATAGTGATTCGGAAATATGTGCCTAAACTCTCAGAGTGTCAGACTGAACGTAAACGCCCCATAAATGTCATTACATTTGAACCTCCATTAAACCATTTTACACACCTGAAATTCATGAGGCTTGCCCGTAATTAGGGCTGAAATTCGGGCCAGCCGAGGATTACTTAGTCGCGCGCTCTTGATGGTCCCAACAGGTCAACCGTTAAGCTGCCTCCGGGAGACCTGAGGCTTCAAGATCACGGGTGCGAGGCCTCCTTGGGCGCTTGGAAGGTCTGCTGAAGAAGTTATAAATATTGCCTTCTTAATAATAACAATGTGTTGTCTCTGTTGGTCCGAACTTGTATCTGTTAGAGAGGTTCGACTGTCCGTCGCCAAGAAGAGGCCTCAGTAGACGCACCGATGCCTTTAACCCCCTTTGTCTACCCCAAGTTACAAGCTGATCTAGAACACCATGCCCCGCCCTGGCACTCCTCTCCCGCGCCGTGTCGAATCCCACGTCCTGGGACCCCCCGCAACACGCGTATCAAAGTCCGCCCCGGACGGCGTCCCCCCGAAGACCTTCACATCACAGCTTATCCACCTACTATAAGTGGGAACTCTGATGGGAGACACTACTCTAGAGACGAAACGGGGGTCCCGCGCCCGCCCTTTGGGTTCGTTGATCCGGCTGGGTATGCAGCCAGAGCTGAGCAGTCGCCATTTGCGGCTCTTCCGCCTCTCGATCCGCCCGCTTCGTTTCCAAGGCACCGTGATGAAGGGCCCCGGGTTCAACCCCCTCCGCGTTCGCAATCTACCATCCCCAGTCTTCGTCCCTCGGGCCGTTATCCTACGCTCAACATCATTTTTGATGCCTCTAATCCCGTGTCTCGAAATCTGAACGGACCTACTCAGCTCCAGCTTCAGCCCCGGCCCCCGTCCGCATATCGACCTCCGCATCAACACCAGCTTCACCGTGAGCCCCGACCCGAGCTCCTTACTGACCGTAGTCACGAACCCAACATACCACGAGAGCGTACTCGTGATCAGCAACCCAAACCCCACCTAACTTCGCCAACTGAGGAGCGGCCCGGTTCCCCCAGCAGCACAATCGAGAAGGTGCAAGAAGAGTTTAATCCTGCAAGGCAGGGGCTGCATAATGCGATACAGGGACTCGACCAGGGGCTGCAACAGCTTACATTGACAACGGAAGATCCCGAACGGCCCGTCTCACGTGCAGGGCCTAGTAACAGGGTTAGACAGAACGTCAGCGACAACGGGACGGCGAATATCTCCGACCGTAAAACAAACTCCGGGAACAATCCTTTGGCTACCAAGAGTCGCAACAAGGGAAAGAGACCGAGTTACCATGCCACAGTTGCCGGTATGAATGAGGAAGAGGAAGATGACAGCGGCGGTGCTATCGTGGAGGACCGGTATTGGTAATTAGGTGAAGACTTGGGGGTGCGATTCTTCGATTGCGAGAAAAGGCAATGGCCCTTTGCCGCAGCAAATGGTACCCCTATGAACCGCGTGGGATCGATGGTTGATGTCATTTACGAGAGTTTACACGTGGGTCGAGGGGATGTGATAAGGGAGATCGGGAGATGTATTTGGGTTAATGGGAGTGAGAGAGGGTCTCTAATTACACCATCCCATAGAATTCTTGGTATCGCTTGCTTCTGTCTTTTGGATGAGACTTTTGTCTCCTACTTTGCGTGTATTTGGGCACTTTTTGTCATTAGTCTGTTAGTTTCAAAAGTTGTAACTATTGATTTTCCTGCGCGCTTAATTATTTCTGTCTCACAGGTGACACTGGGAATGAATAAATTATTGGTAACTATCATTATAAACAAAATATTTGTCTAGTGATCCAAGAAAAGCCATCCACACATAAAAACCATTTGTTCATCAGTCATCACGACCATCGACAACCTGCATCGATGTAGAAGAACGCCCGTCATTAAACCCAACCCATAACGCTATCCAAATAATAACCCAAAAGGAAAAAGGGAAAAAAGAGGAGAAAAAAAAAACCATCAAATCATGCCGCCTTTTCACCAACAACACCCCTCTGCTTCTCCGACACCGCCACCCCAGGAGTAACCGGCGTCGTCGGCGTGATCGGTGCCCCAGGTGAAGCAGGCCAAACCCCCGACGACCCTCCCTTAATAGCACCATTAACATTAACAGAATTCCCGGTCGCATCAACAACGCCCCTCTCGTCCGCATACCCGGGGCCATCCGTGATCCGAGCGTGCTTCCGAGCCCAGCGTCGAGCCAGACTATACATGGCAGCCCAGATGGAGATGGTCACGATTGTGAGTGGGACGCAGATGGACACGAATAATCGGAGGCCATCGTTGCGCACGACCCAGTCGGAGCCGAGCGTGCCATCTTCATCCCAGCGGAGGACGCCGCTGCTGAAAAGGGTCTGGGCGAATGGGTGTGAGGTTAGATTCCGGATTTTCGGAACAAAAGAAAGGAGGGGGGTTAAACTTACAGCGATGAAAGTTCCTGGGAGGAAGATGAGGGTAAATATGGTTATAACGTGCATCGACAGTGTCTCCTGCTTGGTCTTGATGGCGATCTCTCGCATCTCAACCGTCCACTTCATCATCTGGTCGGTGGACGTTTGCGCCACTAACTGGAACGCTTTGGATGTTTGGATACCGGTGTTCTGGCTCAAAGACTCAAGCTGTTTGCGTGGCGCGGACATGGCATCATCACCAGTTAGCTGCTGTTCCTGCAGTTCTGGATTCTGGTAAAGAAAATGGACGCGGTCCCAGAAGCAATGAATAGAGGAAATGACGCCTCTCACCAAATGCTTGTCATCGTCAACACGGCTTGCCAAATCTTGCAGTCGACGGCGGTACAGCGCTAAGTCGCCCTGTAGATTATGGAGCCGACGGAAGAAAGCGGCCACTTCGGACTCGCATTGTTTGGTGTCCAGGAGGGTGTTGTATGCGTGCGAGGCAATCACGGTGCGGTATTGTTCCTCCACTTGCGACAGTACCTGCACGGTCTGTTCGATGGCCACCAGTGACCGGCCGATTTCTCTGCTCCTCCAGCTTAGGGCCTGCAGCTGTGTGCTGGAAAAGCGTTCTTCCAACGTGGCCAGACGGGCCATCAAGGTCTCGTCCTCCTGTTTCTGTTGTTCTGTTGTTGCATCCAGGGCGTCCTGTTCTTGCCCGTCCCGCTCATTGCCCAGACCGCTCGTAACCCGCCGCATGAATGTGGAAAATGACCGCCCTGAGGCACTGCGTGTCGGCGAGGGCGGTAAGTCTTGGCTAGGGCTGGGAGGTTGTTGTCCTTCACTCCCTTCCTCAGCGATACTGTCGTGCCGGCTGAACCAGCTCGGGGCGGCCGATACCCAGGACGCCTGTCGTCCCACTCCTCTGTGCCGCGGCAACGTGCTCCTCCGACGCTGGAGGGTGGCCGCGAGGTTGGCGGGTGCGACAACTTCATCGACTGAGGCAATTTTCACGCGGGTGGAGCTTTTGTGGATGGAGACCGCCTTTTCCTCGATGTACTCGTTCCAGTTCTCGCCGCACCATTCCAGCATGATCAGATGCACTTGCAGACTTGCGATGAAGGATTTCTCCCGGGTCCGAGGAGTTGTGGGGAGCATGTGGCGGTTGACGTGGCCGGCTTCCCTCATGCGATTCACCAGCTCGGGGTTCCCTTTCATAGAAATGTAAACGGCACGGCCGGTCTCCAGGTCGAGAGAGTGGTAGAGTGTCGCGTGACGGAGGGGCCATGGGTTCAATTCATCCTTCCGGTCGGACCGCTCAACAGTGAGCAAGTTGAAGGCATGCTGGATCTGGATTCCAGATCTCCCGAGATGTGGGACTCGTAAAGTTGGGGAGTCACGGTCTAGGTAGTTCTCCCGCCGGAAAAGAGCGTAATGAAGCGGTTCCTCGCGGAACTGGAAGGTGCAGATGAGGTCCACAAACGAGGGCATGACCTGGTGGTAGGTAAGAAGCTTCGCCAGCTCGTCTTTAGCACACATTAAAGAAGCGCGATGATCTTTGGACATGATTAAACTTTGATCGCATAATATGTTAGTGTTGATACTTGATGGTGAATACGGCGTGAAGATCGAGACGCGGGCGGGTCTTACATGAACCTCCACCATGGATCCCCTTCCGCAGAGTCCAAGAACCGTTCGACGTCATTGAAGTTATAGAGACGCCTTCCCTCATCATATTTGGTGGCATGTTCTTGAAGGTCCCGGACGAGGAGCAACCTCTTATGCTCCTTTTCATTAGGAGAACCCTTAGGCACAGGGAAGAAAAAATGCGTGCCATCGTTCAGGCGTTTTTGGAGTGTTCGTTGGGTGTGTGGAAAGGTCTCCGTCCTCAACACCGTGAGAGGGTACTCTCCAGACCTTTTGCAAGCTTCGGAAAATTTTACGGAAGTTCCGTCAAGGTCTTCCGCTTGCGGTTGGGCGTTCGACATGATGCGTGGTGTTTTGGGGTGTCCTGCACTTGGTATTGTGGGCCGCTTCGGTGATGGGTGGGGAAGCGGTTCACATTTGCTTCGGGAAAGAAAAGTCTTCCTTCAACGCTGCGTACGTTTTGATAATCCAGAAGGGCGTATGACTACCGAACAAGACAGGGGAAAGAGGTGGAAGGACTGGTGGGAGAATCTATGGTCTTATCGAGTCCCACACTCGGTCAAACAAGACAGCTTTTCGTGTTGTTTGCTTCCTTCACTTTGCCCTGACCTTCCATTTCAGTTGGCCGGCCCTCCGCACCCATGAGGCAGATTCTGGGCCGCTGGGGACGCCCCGCTTCCCCCGAGAGTCAAGCTGGACAGGGGTCTTGTGGCCAAAACTTCCAGTGAGCCTAGCCCTAAGCCAACCATCAAAGCACCGCCGATCCCGACATGCGGGTGGGACATGGATGCGTGGCTCGCCGCGCGCACAAGGCCTCATCACCGGCCGAGGGCTTTCACGTTTCTCCAGAAGTCGTGTCGGGCCGCCCTGCGCCGCGGGTTGGTGTGGCGGCCCGTCGTCAGCAAGCGCTGGTCACACATTCAGCCACAAATGCCGGGCAAAGTCGCAGAGGCGATGTTTGACCGTTTCGGCCACCAATTACGTGCGTTGAATTCAGACAGTTTGGTTCCAGAAAAATTGGTGCTAAATACGACCGACTAACCGAGGTAATTATGGATTTTGGTGGTTCGAACTTTAGGCCTTGCTTCTTCCGAGAATTTCACCGCCTGGACAAGGCCTGCTAGTAAAAAGCGTCCTCGGGCCGAATTTTCACATATTTCTCGATGTATTCTTTCTCGGACTAGGGACAAGAAAGAGGGAGAAAGACGGAGGATCAGCCGGTATTCCTCGAACAAGGCAGGTATACAGGTAAAAAGCTCAGCCAGCACCGTCCAGGAAGAAGACACTCACATCCGTCAAGTATCTGGGGATGTCAAATATGTATACATCCTTCTCTTGTTCGTTGCCCTGAGGAATCTGTGTCATGCTTTATCAGCAGCCGTTATTAGTGCCCATCGAGGCTAACTCCTAGCTTGTCGCGGCGGTCTCTAATTACCCCCGCAATTCGGGGGGAGTGAGAAGACGAAAGCCATGTTGGCTGACCTTGTTTCGGATGTTAAAATTGTAATGGTGCGGGAAAAGCTGGCGTAAGTATTCCCCCAGCGATTCAATCAGCAACCCGTACGTAGGGTAGGTGTCTTCCACAGTGGCCGGCATGGTTGCGCGTTTTGCTTCGTCGTGAGAATCCGTCCGTTCTCCTCACGAGAGCCTTACAGGCCGCTACGCCGTCTATATAGGTTCAAGTAGGTTCCTTGGAGAAGTGGTTATTCTGACCCTTGGTTCGGTTCAGTTGCATCCCCCCAATGCCCCACCTCAGAGGTTACAATCGCAATGCAACCTATGAAGCGGCACGACACACCATTCCACCCGAAGAGCTTTGTACCATAAGGCTCTGGCGGAATTGCCTCGTGGACCAGTGCTGACACTCTACCTACTGTTATCGGAACTAAGTCCTTAGCCGCACAACCTCCCTGCCGTCAAATGGGAGCTATAACACTCGGTTTATCGAGGCATTATTGCTACAAAGCAACTTTTAACGGGAGAGCCTGATCTCAGTTTCGAGTATCACTCAATTTACGCAGGTTAGAATCGATGTTCAATGCTGAAGACGAAGGAAAGGAAGTCAGTGGACACCCCCGCACCTGCCCCCCTTCCCGCGGCCTACCCCCACTACTCATTAATGGCAGAGGCCAATCAAAACATGGAAATAGAGGACTTTGCAGAAGACCATCCTCAAGAACAGAATGATTTGGTTGCGACCCTGCTGTGACGGACCACACACTCCTGGTGCGTGCAGCATGCAATCTTCCGAATCAACTGAATCTACTGGTTGCTTCTTGACCACGTTACCATGGCACTCCGCTAATGAAATGTGAAGAATGACGCTGGATCGCGCCGGGTTTACGGATGGGGGAAAGGCACGAGGCTACGAATATTGTTGAGGAACAAGAGGGGTACGGATAGGTTGGAGAGATCTCCCCAGGCGCTAACATCCGCACATCCTAAACCATAATTATTTCTGCACTTTCAGCTTCTGCAATGCCTGTGTCTGTGGCGTCGGTAGTTGTGTTACCGTAACATTCGTTATGAAGAGAGGGCTCGGGAAACACAGCCACCTCCCTTTTGATCCGCGTGGCGCTTACTGTGTACACACCGAACTCGAACTGGGAACCAGAGAGGCCGCCCGCGTACATCCACGAACAGCCGAATGCAACCGCGCTGTTGGGAAGGGAGAACGGCCGGAATTTCTGCACAATCCCCCCAACCAGTGGACATGCGATGGAAACAACGGTACCTATTGCAGAGAACTTGTGGCTTAGGCAGAACTGAGTGCCCGACAAACTTGACCACACACTGATTGCCCGGTGTCACTGCGACGCACGAAACGGGACCCTCAGTCAATTCTGACGGTGGACGCACCCGCGCAGTAGCGAACTCAGCCAGGACTTACACCCGTCATGCATCCCGGTGGCGCATAAGTCTTCTTGTCAGCTCCAGCCTCGAACTGTCACCGGCTTCTTTCCCCATATTTAGACCCCACGCCCTCTCCCTAGCTCTTGAAACAAGACAGCTCTACCTTAGGTAGTTCCAAATCAGCCTTGCGTCTGTCTGCATGGCTGCGTCTTCCTTGAGCCGCAGCGGCCCCTCCCGAGTCCCGAGACTCGACCACATGGCTAGCCAGCCGCTGAGTACCGGGTTTCTTTGTCTGGTAGTTCTTTGAGGCTGCGGCTCACGCTTGTCTGACACGTGACGCGTTTTGCTTACACTTAAATCTCAGCCGCGGCGAATGATACGGCAAGGGCGGAGAGGATGGAATACACGTGGACGGTCTCGGTTGCGTTCTTCCACCTGACTTGGGAGCTTTACCTTCTCGCTGGATCGCCGCATCCTCACCCTTATGCAGCAGGTACGGGCTTCGACTGAATGTGAAACTGTTACTTCTTTACGATCCACCCTTCGTTCCCACTGCAGCCTTCTATCGCTTGGTAAAATAAGATTGTGGTTCAAAAGTCCTCAGTCGTTTCCTTCGAGCATAAGCTTCCCAGGATGATTATCGAAAAGATCCAATGATTGTGTGTGTGGAGGTGGCGCTACGTTTCGTCGCGTATATGTCCTATTTATCGCGAGAATAACGAAACGCCAGAGACCTTCACTGTGATTAATCTGGTCCTTTGCGCCAGTCTATTCCAAAAATCAAGATCGGACATCACTTGCCCGAGTTGTTGAGACCCTCAATTTCCTCGCTTGGAGTTACCCCGACAACCCGAACGAGGGGTTCAAATCCGGGGAAATCTGGGGATGCGATGCCCTGTTCGTGGGGTAAACGGGTGAATCGGTCAGGGGTCAGGGGTGATGGGTCGGGTTAACTCCTCTTTCTTGTGACTTCACCATGCAGAATTGCATTCCACTGGGAAAGCTTATCCCTTCGTCGCAGGACCGTATGTTTGGTTATATGAAGGCGAAATGCCAGCTGTAAACAGTTTCGGTTGAGTGTTGATCTCGACCAGTGGCTTGGTGGCCTCATTCTCACCAGCTCGTGTTGCACTACTTCTTCACCCCTCTTCTCAAAGTGTAGGTCTGGGGTTCACAGGCAAGATGAAGGCCTTTGCAGCTTCCATCACGGCTTGGCTCTCCGCGGGCACCGCTCATGCCGCCATAGCAAGTGTAGCAGCCACCCCATTCCTGAATCAGGTCGATAACCAAACATGGATCATCGGCAACGATGTGTGGAACATGACCCAGGGCTTGCAGTTCGGCGTCAAGCTGTACTACAAGGACCGTGACCTCGTTGGCGATGCCTGGGGCCACTACGTCAGCTACAGTACGTCAAGGCCCAAACCAACTCCCCATATCAACATGTTTTTTTTGGTTGTTAATTAATCACTAACCGAACCCCTCCAGACGGCGCGGCCAACAACCTCGCCTGGACCTCCGCCCGCATCGTCACCAACGGAACCTACCACAGCACCCCCTTCATCGACGTCCTCTTCACCGCAGCCGAAGGCGACATGCACTGGGTCATCTTCCAAGGCCAGCACGGCGCCTATCAGTACTTTATCAACCACGCTTTGCCCGACCTAGGGGAGTTCCGGACTCTCTGGCGGTTGGACAACACCACGTTCCCCAATGGACGCACGGTGACCAAGGATGGGCCGTTGCCGCCGTTGAGCGAGTATGTGGCGGCGAATAAGGTGCAGGATGAGACGTGGTTGGCGCCGGATGGGAAGGGGTATATTACTAAGTATGACTGGACGAGTTGGTTGCGGGAGCAGGATTATTATGGGGTGTATGGGGATGAGGTGGGGAGTTGGTACATTAATCCGGGCAAGGTGAGTACCTTGGGTTATGGCTGGACATAGGGGGTTGAGCTGACGCTGCTGAGTTAGGACTACTATAATGGCAACCATCTTCGACAGGAGTTGATGGTAGGTGCCCACCGGCTCTGTCTTAGTCATGGGAGAGTGTCATTAACACAAACTACCAGGTCCATCGAGAATCCGGCACCGGCGATGCCGTCCAGCTTAACATGGTCCACGGCACTCATTTTACAGCCTCATCCAACGACGCCTTTCCCGACGGCAAGATGTGGGGTCCATGGCTTTGGTATTTGGTTAGTGTTTAACCATTATCAACTTACGCTTTGTCGGATCCCCAACAACTGATCAAGAAATCCCTTAGAACAACGGTTCCCAACCCGACGCAGCCGCCCAATCCCACAAAGAATCCGCTTCCTGGCCCTACCCCTGGCTCAAAGACCCAGCATACCAAACCCGCGGTCGTGTCTCCGGCCGTCTCGTTCTTTCCGATGGTCGTCCCGCCTCCCACGCAGCTGTCTTCCTAGGCGATAACCACCCGAACAAGACATCCCTAGACATGGGATCGACGTACTACTACACCACTTACGCTGACAAGTCCGGTAGGTTTGAGTTCCGCGACGTCCGCACCGCGACGTATGGTTTGCAAGCGTGGCCGACACCGAATTCGTCGATTGTTGATGTCACGACGACGCTGCTGCGGAATGATGTGGTGGTGGGCAAGAAAGGAGTGACACAGTTGGGGGAGGTTGACTGGGCGATTTCGAACCGAACAAGGGTATTTCAGGTCGGGGACTTTGATCGGTACAGCTACGGCTTTGAGTACGGTGGTGCAGCATGGCAGCATGCGTTGGTGAACAACTGCCCGGCAGATTTGGTGTTCAAGGTTGGGGTGAGTGAGACGGGGGAGTGGTGTTTTGGACAGACTTATTTGGGGAACTGGACTATCGAGTTTGATCTTTCGGAAGATCTAGAAGCCGAGAAGGACGCCCTATTGACAGTGTCACTGGCGGGATATTCGAGCGGTGCGAGTTCGACTGTTTGGGTGAATGGGGGCACGAAAGTGGGCAATTTGACGAGTGGTGCGCCTCAGTTGGCGAATGACCCATCGTTGTACCGCAGTGCGACAGCGGCTGGAGAGTGGAGGCTGTTTGAGTTTGGGTTTGGTGCTGGTGTGTTAAAGAAGGGCGTCAACACCATCACGTTTGAGTTGACCAAGAACTCAACTTGGCACGGGTTCATGTGGGATAGTGTGATTCTCGAGTTGTGATCACCCCAGGCAATGTCATCTTGTTATCAATTCGTTTGAGTCATTTCTGTTTCGATTAGTGGTTGGATCATTATGTGAGGTTGCTCAGCTTCGATCATGACGTGATATGTTCCCCCAATTGTCTCTTCTTTGCTGTCTGCACCCACAACAATCCGCGTGCCTTAAAAGCGTCGAGACCCCCAACGTCCCGTTTCCCTTTAATTTGTACCGCAGTTGTGCTTGCAACTAGTTTCAAGCTCCTTCCTAACCAGACAAACATGGCCCAATTGTACCACACCCCCCACCTCCTTTTCTGTGACGAGAGACTGTGGGACGATGATGACAGCAGTGGTGAAGTTCGGCTGTTGAGTCCTGCGATGCGATTGACCGGGTTAGAATAGATTAGAATAGAAAGGTTTGGGGACCTAACCAGGGAATGAGGCAAATCCAAGTGTTAAAATCATCTCTGTCGCCGATCGACATGGTCTAAACTAGGATACAGGATATACGGGGGTAACCCATCAACATGAGGCTCAGCAAACTGCTCAGCGTCCCCTTGGCGCTATTCTTGGGCTCCCCTTTGGCGTTCTGCGGGAGCAATGAAGATGGACTCACGATCGACACCAAAACCGGGATTTACACGGGCCTCCTTGACCCAGAATTTCCTAATGTCCGCCAGTTCAGGGGTATTCCGTTCGCCAAACCCCCTACTGGAAAGCGGCGATGGCTCCCACCAGAGCCAGTTGAGGCGTCATCTCAAAGGTTCAACGCACACACTTTCCCATCGTCATGCTCACAGTACCTTTCCAAAGGCTTGAACCTCTGGAACTCCAACATCACCAACTTCTACATCAACCTAAACGGCCAAGACCGAACAATGGGAGCCATGGCACAAACCTCTTCCGAAGACTGCCTCTACCTCGCCATCTGGACACCCCTCAACGCGACCCTCCACTCCAACTTACCCGTGGCCCTATTCATGCCAGGCGGTTCCTTCATCACCGGCGGTGTAGACGTCCCATACCAACAACCAACCCCCTGGATCCAACGCTCCCAGCGGCACATCTTCGTCTCAGCCAACTACCGCATCAACGTAGCCGGTTTTCCCTGGGCCGCCGGCCTCGACGTCCAAAACGTCGGCATTCTCGACCAACGAGTGGCACTTGAATGGGTACACGCCAACATCGCTTCCTTCGGTGGTGATCCATCCCGCATCACCGTCTGGGGCCAGTCCGCTGGTGGCGTCGCCGTCGACATGGCCGCTCACGCATTCCACGACAACCCTCTCGCAGCCGCGCTGATCCTGCAGTCCGGCACGGCTGCTGTAAAGATCGTCCGCTCTGACGACGCCCATGCTAACTTCACCTTTGTCGCGCGCCATCTCGGGTGTGATTTCCCGTCTGACCCGGTCGCAGAGCTGGATTGTATGCGTCTGGTACCGATGTCGTTGATCCAGGATTTCATGGGCGGTTACTACGATAACTGGCTCAACTCACCTATCCTCCCACTGTTCAAAGTCCTCCCCGATGAGCGCCTGGTATTCTCCAACTACACTGACCGTGCGGTGCGCGGCCTCGTACCGCAGATCCCCGTGCTTGTAAGCACCACGGCCAACGAACAGTCTAGTTTGACAGCTTACCCCGTCAACCACCTCGACGCGGGACCGGACCAAGCACGCGTGGATCGTGAAACAATCGCCATGTTTGCCTGCATGGTCAGCAACACCACTACCGCGCGGGCTTACAATTCTCGAGTATCACCCGTGCCAACATACCGGTATCAATACGCCGGCAACTTCAGCAGTATTACCCCCTACAGCTGGATGGGCGCGTACCACGCTAGTGACATCCCCATGGTGTTTGGAACGTATGCGACGCTCGGGGAACAGGGGAAGGTGACGGCGTTTCAGCGGGAGGTTGCAGAGACGATGCAGGATTATTTTCTGGCGTTTTTGGAGGACCCGTGGGGTCGTGGGGAAACTGGAGGGCTTAGGAGGTTTGGCTGGCTGCCGTGGGGTGAAGGGGGTGGGAGGAATATGATGAGATTTGGAGGAAGGGATGGGGTTGTGGTGAGGAATGTGAGTGCTGGAGAGGTGGATGATGCTTGTGTACTGGGGACGAAGTACGATTCGAGCCCTTAGGTTTCATGTGTCCTGGTTGGTTGTTCTCCCTCCCAATTCCGAACGCAAATCTTGACTGTTCCCGAATTCCTATCTGTCGAGTTAGTTCTGAAAGGGCTCGAGAGGTATGTGTGGAAGGGATCCAGAATCGAAGGGCTCTCAACAATAGCAATCCGTGAAGTAGCATTGCTTACCTACCCTCGAACTAAAGTCCACCAAAATACTTGACAGGTCATTGACTTGTGTTAGTCGTTGTTTGTTCGCCGTGGCCTCTTATTGCTGGATTTTCGAAAGTATGGGAACGTTGCCTACAACCCAGTGTAATTAGATCTATGATGCTTTAGGTACCTACCTACCTAGGTAATTGCTAGAACACATGAACGTCAACTCCCAACAAGCTGCATCTCGGTACGCTCGAAGTAACCAAAACTATCAGAAATTCCCCCAATCCGAGAACGATGGAGATTCATTTGCGGCGTCGTTTTATGATCCCCCGGACGGCGACGTCGTAATCTTGGCTGGTTGCCACACCGGGCTGCCAGTTGCCCCCGTTAGGGTTCGGTGTAGCACACTCATTCCGAACATAACTGCGTTGGCTAACTCATAGCTTCATATGTAGTGTCCTGCTGAGCTCCGGGTATCCGGGGCGGTGGTCTTCTTTTAGATCAAGTTGCCGATCCAGGTGTTGATTTCGTTGCTTTCGTTGAAAGACCCGGTTGCACGGACCGGATGTGGGGTTAAATGTTACGGTCCCAAATTGATTTGGCTAGCGACCAGTTTATCCGTCCATACATCGTCCAAGTGCCGGTTGAGGCCCATACCTTGCGTGGAAGATCGGTTGTGGAGGCTCCGCCCTCGCTTGTCCGCTCAACGCTGTCAAATCTTGCGCGCGGGCGCTATCAATGTGGGCTGGGGGCTGCCATGCTTGGCTTGTGTCAAGACGGGGAATACAACCTCAAATCCGGGGAAGACTGAAGCTGAAAATGTCTCTAAAATGACTTCCCCTGCCCAGATTCTGCCCCATCTTAGCCACGACAACCTTACACAACAAAAATCGACCAAAGTTTCAGCAGAAAACGGTGTTGATAAACCAGTAATTTAAAGCAAGATGCTCTCCCTCGCCAACCTCGGTACCGTGCTCGCCGCGGTGAGCACCGTGTCGGCGCATGGATGGATCGATGTGTGGACCATCGAGGGCGAAACCTACACGGGTTACAACCCTTCCATCGCGCCGTGGGAAGCCGACCAAGGCACCATCGCCTGGCCTGCGTATGTGAAATCCCGGTCGCTTTTCCCTTCTCCAGGCGACTGCCATGCTCCTAAATCCATGCCTTTGTTTCCACATACTCGTAAACAAACCGAGAATGAAACCTCCAAGCTAACATTGTTGGAAACACAAGTTGGAACACCAACCTTGGGCCGGTGTACGGCTCCAACGTCACGACACCCGATATAATCTGTTCCATCAACTCCACCAATGCCAACAAGGTCGCCGTACCCATCGCTGCGGGCGCCACCCTTGACTTGCACTGGACCGCCTGGGCTGATTCGCACCATGGGCCCATCTTCACCTACCTCGCCGCCTGCAACGGCGAGTGCGCCACGGTTGACAAGACCGAGCTGAAGTGGTTCAAGATCGCTGAGCTAGGCCAGCTCACCCTCGGCACCGAGGCCGGTTACCCAGGCACCTGGGCCGCTGACGAGCTGCGGGCGAACAACGGCTCTTGGCCCGTGACCATCCCGGAGTCTATCAAGGCTGGGAACTACGTGATCCGGAACGAGATTCTGGCTCTGCATTCCGCGTATGATGTCGGTGGTGCGCAGTTCTACCCACAATGTGCCAACATTGTGATTACCGGTGATGGTACCGCTGAGCCCGAGGGCGTGGTTGGCACTGAGTTGTACACTGAGACGGACCCTGGGGTGCACTACAACATCTACAACGATGCGCCGGATACTGTGTATCCGCTCCCTGGCCCTCCGCTGTGTAAGTGACATCGCGCTGTTTCAACGTACATGAACTGGACTTTGCTGACGCCGCATTAGACACTGCTTGAAAATACGACGCTAGACAATAGGGGTCCAAGAAAGGCTGGGCAGTGACCGGCATTAAGGAAGTTGGGCGCTGTGGATGGAAGAAACAGATTAGGTATAGGTGAATTTACTGTGCTGGCCGAACCGCCGGCTCGTGATGTATATACTTCACATTACTGTGACTTGGTCGAAGGTCCCAACATGCGTATATATACTTACAGATAGACAGTTTTTCTGGCCTGCTGCTCCTCATTTAGTTGACTTTGTCGCTGGTAGAACCACCGTTGCCACTATCGACAGCACATCACCCAACATGGCGGGCTGCATTGGTCACTTGTTGAGAAACGTTTACCGTTACAAGCCGTGGAAAATGACTGGCCCAGGTAAATCAAGGTGGGACACTAAGGGTTACGAGGCGTCACTAAACCCTAAACATTGGTTCATTAAGACACGGGGTCGGTGTAATAACAGTGACGTTTACCTGGCGTTTGTATAGTAACTCCAGCCAAAAAGTCCGACTCCCTGACCTCACGCTAGCTCGCTAGACAATAATTAACTCGTATGAAAAAAAACCTTCATTTTCAGGCTTACCCTTTACCAATGCTTCCCGAACAAAATCTTTTTGGACCTCCTCGTCTACCTCGTGGGCTAACACGCAACCCTAACCCTGACACACCCCATGCACCTCCTCCCAGGTTGAGGATCAAACTGTCGACGGTTGGAGCAGGTGTTGTTGAGTCGACCATTCAACCTTTTTGAAAGCTGACAAATTACGAAGTACTACTCCGGGGACACGTTCTCAGTCCCTTAACTAACTGTATTTTCCTATTTTCCTTGCCATTGAAGGGCGGTTTCTTGTCCTCACAGAGGCCAGTTCCGAGCCGTTTGAGTTGATAAAGGTTAGAAAGTCTGACGTGCCTTACTAGGCCGGTGGCTAGGGTTAGGGTTATATGGTCCTCACGTCCCAACAAAAAACAGGTGGTTGAACAATTACAAGAAGGGGAGGCGCGACTCCTGAGATCCAATATAATTAATTTTTTATTCCCACGCAACCCAAGCCTTCAACTTTGTGCGACCATAAAGCAGTGAGACACGTCCCCAGGCCTCCCGACAACGCAGTGGAGAGGCACGCATCTAAATTAAGTCGCGCGTTGGGAGGGGGCCAAACAGCCCCTCGTCCACGCCGCAGAGCTGCATGCCTGCATCGATCATTTGGCACATGTTCCGCGCTTCCCCCACGCCCTCCTGTACCAAATCGGACACCTGACTGAGCGGGGACAGATCGAAAGGGCTTCTTCATCAAAACGACTCCCCTTCTCGCTTTCTCCCAACGATGATTATCTGGCCCATATCAGGTGGTTAGCTGGTTGGGTATGTACGTGTACGAATACCGAAGTTTGCCCCGCATCCTGAAGATCGCCACGAGTTGTCCACCCTGCCTGGAGCCTGGCCGGCTCTTAAGCCCATTCCGAGTAATGCGGCGCTAACCGACGAATGGCTGTGTCGCGCTTAACATCCATCGAGGGACATTGGTCCTCAGCTCCGACCCATGCTCCGAGAATGTTAGGAGCCTCCCATCCCAACAGACGAGGCTCTGGCTGTTGGCACAAAAGCTGCAGACAAGCGCCCCAGGTGGCAGGAAATGTCTTGCGCTTGCTTTCCCCAGCACCAACACAGGATCGAGAAGGCCGCAATTGCCCGCCTTTTTTTCTTTCTCTCGCCATCGTCGCGATCCCCCGCCCCGCAGGCCGCAGCCATGAGGTCGCGGTTTGCCAAATAGGAGGCTCTCTTTCATTCCTCAATTATCGACGCTGAACTCCCACCAATGCAAGCAACCGAACCAATGCCTGAGAACGGCGGTGCGGAGCGTCCGTACGATCCCGCACCCTTCGCCGATTTCACCGATGTCGTCTCCCGGGCAATGCTGAACCATATCGGTCGTGACGCCGCTGGAAATGAAACCGGTTACGTGCCATTTGATGTCCTGAAAGAATACTGGAATCGTGGTCGCGTAGCGGGGGTTCTAAAGGCAATTGGACGCCCCACTGGTGTCAACATCCAGAACATCTTGGATCACTACCTTCGTATCTTTTCAACACTCGTCTATGCCGGTCGACATGCCGTTCCTTACCTGCACTCTCTCTTCATCTCCCGCGGCCACACCGACGCCAAGTTGCCTTGGGCGAAACCGCCGCCGTCGCCAGATGACAATTTCTTCACCGAGTCCTTCCGCAGCATCTCTGATCACCAGTGGCGATTCTTTCCCTTAGATTTCCAGGCCGGCCAGTTGGATGACCTCCATCTCGAAGACCGACGTATTCTGCCAATCACGCTTTTGAACAGTATCTATTCTTCCCCTTCGGGCGCGGTGAAGATTGATTCCTTCACAATACACCCTGGGTTTGACCACCTGGGCCCGGTATGCTTGGCCTCGATTGCTTTTGCCGTTCCAACGTGACGGCAATAATAATCAACGTTTTGAGCCTGGCGTTAACCATAGTTAACTCATTTCTCTAGAAAGTCAGAGACCCTTCCTCCCCGCCACGAACCCTCATCTTGAAAACGTACAACAAGAACAGGAATCATGGTTACTATAAGAACGAACGCGAGGGCCTGCAGGCGTACGGCACCATAGAACCCCCAAACATAATCCGGTTGTATGGATCGTTCCAGCAACTTGGGTCGTGCTGCTTGATCCTTGAGTACTTGGACGGCGGAGATTTGGCGGATTTTTTCAGGAATGACCCGCCCAGCACCGGTGAAGAGGTGGCCCAGTTTTGGACGAATTTCTTCCAGATCTTCCATGGTCTTGCGAGAATTCATCAGCTCTGGGATTCAGAAGAAAATATCACGCAAGGGTAACACCATAGCCTCTATTTTCCTGAGCGCACCAAGACCGCCGCTAACATCTACCAACGTGCAGAATCCATCAAGATCTTCGGCCGGAGAATATTCTCCTCCAACAGGGCCCATCTGGCTCATGCTATGATTTTATTCCGAAGTTGGCTGACTTTGGCCTCTACACTCACGCCCAGACTTTTCGGTCCACGTCCGGTGGCCCAAAAGGCCGCGATCAGCGTGGAAATAAACTATTCAGTAAGAAACCTTAGTATCTGCTGCATGTCATTTGAGTCAAGTCGCATTGCTAACTATCAATACCGCAGGTTCACCAGAATGTTGCCACCCAGATGCCCAAAGTAGCAAAGGGCCTAACATGATCACACAGTGGGCCGACATCTACTCCATTGGCGCCATTATCAGCCACACAGCGTCATGGATCGTGGGCGGGATCTCTGAACAAAACGCCTACCAGGGGTTGCGTGATACCTACCACAAAAAGTACGTCGGCCGCATAATAAACGGCGGGTACGCTGGTTGCTTCCATGACCGAATCAAGACCATCCCCCCGGTCACCCAACAACACGATAGGATCCGTGGTATCTGCCGCCAAAGATCGGACGAGGTCACGCCGATGGTACTTGACCTGGCCGAAAAGAGCATGCTTGGACCACTGCCAAAAGACCGCGAGGCGGCCCGGATCATCCGAGACAAGTTCATTGATGGAATGTACGCGTTGGCCAACCCAGGAACACCCCCGCTACCACCACCATCTGGCGGCAGTGTAACGACCTTGGGATCCCCGATGTGGTCCAATGTTGTGTCCCCGACTTCGACCCTGGATGGCACGAGCAATTTGCCCCTGACTCCTTTGACCTCCCAGGTTGCAGGGCTCAGTTTGAAGCCGACGATCACGGTCTCGTCGCATGGTATCGATACGGTACCGTCGATCAGTGCATCGCCGACCCGCCAGGCTCATCAACCCGCTGATCCCATCAAAACGTCTGCCACGAGGCTACCCGCCCCCGAGAAAGACGCCAATAGCAGCGAGAACACGCTGGCTGCCGCGTCTCACCTCACTGAACCCACCCTCCCAACCGCCAACAGTGACACCGACGCTCCACCCCGCCTTTCAGGGTGTTCTGCCCTCTCTTCTAATTCAACGCCGTGCCCCATCGTCAGCGTTGACCAAGTCAACGAATACAAAACCGCCGTCCGGCGAAAAGGGAAGCCGGCCGATCCGGACGTAGCAGATCTTTTCGAATACCTCCAGCAAAACTTCGGCGGCCGCGACCAGATGTTCTTCATCGACGATTCCCGCACCATGGGCACCCATGACCGTGACACCATCTCCTCCGCTTTCAAAGCACTCGGGTACATGGCCAAGCACCTCGACCCAAACAAGGTCGAGCTGGTGTTTGCCTCAGATCCCAAAAAAGTACACAAAGCAAAGAAGATCCGGAAACTAAACGACTTGGTCACCGAGCGCAATTTCGCTGGCGAGCCACATTATATGAACGCGCGCCTGGGCGAGTTCTTGGGCCGCGTCATCATACCGCATCTGCCTTTTAAACTCCTTGGGCGCAACATCAATCCGTTGGCGCGCAAGAAGGTCAGTGTGTACATCTTTACGGACGGCGAGTGGGGTCCGGACCTTCGACAAGGCCAAGCGGATGGGGGCGGGTTGCAGCAGCCGGTGCAGAATTTGGTCAAGGTGTTGAAGCGTAGGGAGCTTGACCGGACACAGGTCAGTCTGCATTTTGTGCGGTTTGGGGATAGCGCGCGTGGGGAGGCGCACTTGAAACATCTGGATGATTGTTTGAGGGAGGATGATTGGTGAGTTGTCCTTTTCTCACGTTACTTGTGTCAACAGGGTGCAAAAACTGCTCTTGAGATGCGTCCGAAGTACTGACAGAATATGTAGGGACATCATCGACGTTAAACACATCAATTCTGGCGTTAGAAGCATGATGATTGGTCCCTTGACCAGGGACAACGACGACAGGGAAGGTTAGCCACGACGATAAGAAGTATGTAAGGGGAAGAATGGGAGTTGGGTTGAAGACATCTATCTGTAAGATTGACTGTGTGTGATATAGATTTGAGTTTCTTTGGTACACATCTCATGTTCGATACCAGGTTTGGATTACACTTGGGAGGGAGTGTTGTCAGTTTAAATTGTACAACAGCACTTGTTTTTGCGCTCACCTTGTTAGTTATTATACACTACGCACGTTTCTTCCCATTGGCTTTCACTTTTAGGCATTGTTTTGTTGACATCAAGGGTATTGTCATTCATCGCCAAACTACAATGCACGCTCGTGGCACCGATACTCGGATATCCATCTGGTAAAGAGAGAGTGGGGCTCGGCTCGGCCGGCAATTGCTAATTATTTCCGCTTTAGGCAATTTCGATGATTGATGGGATGAACATGCTCCACACCGAAATTTGCTTGACCGAGTTCTTCAGCACTCATCGTTGATCCCTGGAGTTGAGGATGTCACTCTTTTACAGCCGGAAAGTAACTATGATTATGTCCCTAGATGAGGTCACTCCACGAGGGCTACAATACTGTTGTCCAGGCTGACAACGTGAGCGGTAAGATTTTGGCCAATAGATGGGATGGAGACATCTCATCAATCCTTGCAAGTGGACCCTGTCATCTTTGCTCGGCGAATATTAACGCGAGATCAGATCAGATAAAATATTGGCGCGCTCAAGTCGTGTTGCTGAGTAACTACACTAATGCGAACAAACCATGAGCATATCATGAGGCTTTCACCCCCGATTCCAATCGACAGCTTGCGTCTACCATCTCCCACACTCCCTAACACCCACCTCCCTCCAGCACCATGAAACTCCTCCCCTTCCTCATCTCTACACTCCCCTTCCTTGGCAGCGGGAGTGGCCATCCCACCCCCATCGTCTCCGACACCCACCACCAAATCACCTACCACGGCCTCGAACGCAACAACATCGAAGTCTTCCTCGGCATCCCCTACGGCCAAAACACCGGCGGTCCCGCCCGGTTCAAACCCCCCACCAAACATGTCCCCCCCGCCGGCAGCCGCGTGAACGCCACGGCCTACGGCCCCAGCTGTCCGCAGCTTGGAGAGTGGGCGCCGCCGCTGTTGCTGGCGAATATCACGCACATGTCGGAGGATTGTTTGAACTTGAATGTGGCTAGGCCGAAGGGGACAAGGGCGGGGGAGAGGTTGCCGGTGATGGTGTTTATTCATGGGGGCGGGCTGTTTAAGGGGGATAATCATGATCCGACGATTTTGCCGGATCGGTTGGTGCGGGAGTCGGTGGAGAATGGGTCGCCGGTTGTGCATGTGGCGCTGAATTATCGGTTGGGTGGTGAGTTCTAACCGTTACTCCTTGGACAAATGGTTAGTTTGGAACTGACATGGTGGAATAGTATTTGGGTTTGCTCGCTCGGATGCCCTCAAGGCGGAGAAAGCGGAGAATAATGGCTTGAGGGACCAGCGGCTAGCTCTTGAATGGGTGAGGGACAATATTGCCCATTTTGGCGGTAATCCGGACGAGGTTACGGTGTTTGGGCAGTCATCAGGGGGTATGTTGACTTGTTTACTCACCCCTATTCACTTCAACTAACACTTCCTCAAACAACCAACCCATATTTCCGATCCATCGCTAACAAACCCAGGCCTATCCGTCAGCCTCCAACTCATGGCCTACGGCGCGACCAAACCCGTCCCCTTCCACCAAGCCATCGCCCAAAGCCAAATGCTCGAGCCCGGCATCGCCGGCAACTACACCCTCCAAGCCACGCAAATGGTCGCCGACCACGTCGGCTGCAACACCACCGCCCTCTCCTCCCCGGCCACCATCACCTGCCTCCGCAATCTCGACACCCGCACGCTCCTCGACGCCAGCCTCGCAACCTACAGCGAAACCCTCCACCTCGGCGAAATCTGGCTGCCCACCGTCGACGGCGACTTCATCCCGGCCAAACCCTCCACCCTCCTCCGCACGGGTCGCTTCGCCAACGTCACGACTATGATCGGCTGGTGCCAAGACGACACTACCGTGTTTACTGATCCAGCCATCCAAACCGAAGCTGACGTCCGCGCCTTTTTCAGCCTCTACATCCCCGCCCTCAGCGAATCCAACATGGACAAGCTCTTATCCCTCTACCCCCCCGCCGAATTCACCCCCCCAAGCACACCATCCCCATCCCCAAACATCCTATCCACCCAATTCTTCCGCGCCGCCCGCATCTTCCGCGACATCCTCATGACCTGCCCCCCCCTCGCCTACGGGTCCCACCTCTCCGCCGCCGGCAACGACGTCTACCTCTACAACTGGAACCAAACCATCCTCGCTCCCATCCTAGAACAAGTCATCCCCGGCACAGCAGGGTGGGGTCCGATCCACACATCGGAGTTTGCATACATGTTTGGGAATCTGGAAAGGTATGATACCAACGGGTTTGTGTTTGAGCCCACGGGGGCGGATTATGACCTGGTAAAAAGGGGGACGAGGTCGTGGGCGAATTTTGCGGCGACGGGGAGGCCGGGGGCCGTGGGGAGGGAGACGTTTCAGGGGTTTGGGAAGGGGTTTGACGGGGAGGGGGGGGAGGATGTGTTTGTGTATGTGGTGGGTGGGGAGAGGGAAGGGTTGACGGCGGTTGATGGGGAGGGGGCTACGGAGGAGATGAGGAGGCAGAGGTTGAGGGAGAGGTGTGCGTTTTTGAATGGGGGGGAGGTGGTGGAGCAGTTTGAGTTTTAGATAACTACAGGTACTTTTGGTTCTGGCTTCTTGTCAGCCTTTCTTGTGGTTGATTATCAACCTAATATGTATGTACCAATGAACGCTGGTCATTAAGAAACTTGATCCCGAATTCGTGACACCATGCTGTACATACAGACTTGGGACTTTGACATTAATTAGATACTCTCCGATTAAAACTCAGGTGCTTTTCACGACTCGGGAATTGATACGAAAAGAGTGAGCAGCTACTACAGATGGCTGAAGAGACACCGATAGACTTGCTAAGCGGGGCACGCCGAAGGGCCAGGAAGAAGGAGAGAGAGAAGGGGAATGGAAACGGAAACGTAGAAGAAATCGGGTGATCGGGCGGGTTGGGTGATATCTCGTTTATTTACCATGTACGGATACTACTCTTCAACTCATCTCTATTTCCCAACCCCACGCTCCAAAACAAGAACCAAGACGTCGCAACATCAAGGTAGATATCTGTCCAACCAACTCTCAAATCTCACGTTTTACCTATCCATTACCCCCATCTCCATCCATCTACCTTCCGCCTATCAACCCTTTCACCTCCCTATCAACCCCTCTATTTACCACCCACCTCAAATAATGCAGAAATCACACGGCAACGGGCACGGTACGCAGAAGCAGAACCGCCCCGGGCACACCTCGCTGCGCCCACCGCGCAGGCCTAGCTCGGCCTCGGTTTCTGGATGAGGTTGGCGCGGGTCTATTTCGGGTGGGCTTTGTTAGCTAGGTATGTTCGGTTGTCAATGGTTTTTGGTGAGGGGTTCTTCGAGGGACCTTGAACCCGCTCCATGGAGCTCCTTCATTTGCCGAGAAGGAGAGAGGGAGGTTTGTGAAGAGGCCAGGAAACTTGCGTGTTCAAGGGAAACTTACTCATAGGTTGTGAGGCGGCGGGCTGGGTCGTGAGTGGGCGGTGAACGTGAGCAGGCTGCGGCCGTTGGAGGGTCGGCTGCGATGTGGGTTGCTGGGAGTCCATAATGGAGGATGGGATGGTGTGATGAGGTGATTTTAATTGATGAGCCTTGGTGAGGAAAATGTGGTGTTCAAAATTTCGAATTTTGGCGTGTGATGAGGAATTAGGTCTGGAATTAAAGGTCTCTTCCTAACCGAACAATGTCTGAGGAGGTGAAGGCTTGGAAATGTGGGCTGACGTGTCGGGTTCAGGGGGGGTAAAGCATGACGTCATAATCTGAACTGGGAATTGAACACGAAAGAACTGCACCCTAACCCTAACCCTAGGACCCGGCGATTGGAAACAGTGCCACCGTCAAGCAAGCGTTAAACACGACAACGAAATGATGGGAGTTTAGAATTTGTTGTCGGTGTCATGAAGCGGTGGGATGGAAATTAGGAAGTTAACAGGAAATGAGTCTAGGTGATGAATGGTCTCTAACTCCCGTCCCACAATGACAGGAATTGACTGTGTGCTTCATAATTAGATGAGATGACCTGCGATTCAAACTTTCACCTGCAAAGATCAGCTAATTAAGTAGGTAATTGCTCGTTGATTGTGTTCCGTATTGGGGGTTAGGCCATTAAGGTCTCATTCAACCTTTATGTAGAGCCACAACAATCTACGATGAAGGACGAAAGGCCATGACATCACCAGCTGCGAGTTCAACAACCCCTGATCGACACTGGGACCAATGATCATCAAAAAACTTCACTCTCACAGGTTGCGATCACCAATTTCCATGGCACATATCAAAATGCTTTCTCTGCCTCAAACTAGAACGGCTGTCTTGCGACGAGGCTCATTAGGGGCTTTCCTCCGCCCGTTACAGGTCTCGGAGCCTGAGAGGACGAGGTCGGATAGATCAATTCGCAGTGCTTCGGGCTCGGCCACGAATGTGCCGAAACAGATTGCAAATGCAAAGGTTAGTGATACAACGGTCCATAGATGCGTTTGATTCTCGGTGTTCGGTGTAGTTGAGTCGGAGTGTGTTCCACGACAACATCCTAACTACACTCAAAGGCAACCGACACGTCCCAAATACAACACCCACCAAACGACGGCAACCCGGTCTCATCAGCGCAAAACACCAAAAAGAAAACTCTCCACGAGATGGATGAAGATTTGCGACTCAAAATGGAGGGTCTTGCCGGGGATGGAGGCGCATCTGGGGTTGAGTATGAGAATGGGAAACCTGTTGCCATGAAAAGGTCGGTGAAGGAAAACATGTTTCGGTACATTTGAGCCCAAGTTGAATTGTTAGCCCACATTCTGCCCGCCAAAAACAATTTCCTCTCTTCAGTTCATAGCACGGTCGCTTTTATTACGAGGTTGTCAATAACACTAATGCCAAGTCGGCCGCCGATTCTCCGCATTCAGAAACAGTGAGCCCCTTAATGAGCGATCATCTTGGCTCCCTGGCTCAAAGGTCGATTTTCCCGCCAACGACCGGCCACAGGGTGATATTGCCCGTAGATCATCAAATATGTTACCAGTCAACCACCCTTACCTAACCGAGACATTGCTCGGTGCAATGTTCAAGCGAGCGCAGTACAGTACCGATTCAAATCATTAAATAATACCTACCTGACTTGATATCTTTCGACGACGGTTAACCTCGACCAGTCCAACAAACCTCCCATCTCCAACCGCAACCTCAACTTCCACGGTTCCACCATCATCAGCACCATGTCCAAACTCACCCTCCCCCTCCTCACCCTCACCCTGGCCCTCACCCGGCACGTCCACGCCCAATGCGGCGCCGGCACCCCCGACATCACCGTAACCGGCTCCTCCTCCTCCTTCACCACCACCAGCAGCTCCGGCACCCAACTCTACACCGGCTCCTCCTACCTCGAAGCCCTCAACCAAGCCCTCAGCGCCGCCACCAGCGGCCAGCGCCTCGCCGTCATGGCGTCCGGTTCCATCGGCGCCAGCACACTCACCCTCCCCAGCGGTATCACGTTCGAAGGGTGCGGCACTATTGACGTTGCGAACCGCGCTGGGTATGGTGCGATTGAGGCTACTGATACTGAGGATGTGAATATTCCATACTTGACTATGACGGGGGATCCGTATTTTGGGTTGCGGTTTTCTGGGAACCGCAACCTTGCGCTGGGGGAGATTACGATGAACCTTAGCGGCGGACTGGGAATCCGGTTTGATCGGGATCGTGCGGCAAGCTCGAATGTGTCGATGGATACCATCACCGTTACCGGCGCCGGTAGTCATGCCGTCGAGACGTGGAACATCGACGGGTTGACGGTCAACTCTGTGATCGCGCGCGACGTGGGGGAGTGTGGGCTGCTGCTGCAGGCGACGACGAATGCGAAGGTGGGGTTGGTGGATGGGGATAATGTGGCTGCGGGCACTGGGTATGCGACTTTCCGGATGGCGAATAATAACGGGCAGACGGCGGATGGGGGGTATAGTACGAATGTGTATGTGGATAAGGTTGTGTCGCGGGGCGGGGGTAGGGGGATCTTTTGTGTGTCGCAGTCAGGGGCGGTGGAGATTGGGGAGATTGATTTGGCGGATAATGGGAATAACGCGATTTTGATTGAGAATTGTTATAATGTGGTGATTAAGGGGGGGAAGGTGAATGGGGGAGGGGAGGTGCGGATTTCGGCAAGGGATGAGTTTCCGAATACTAGTGATGTCTCGATTACGCTGCAGGTGGACGGGACGACGGTGAAGGAGTCGCCGTGTGGGGATAACATCAGCTGGACGCTGACGGGGAGTGCGGAACAGTCTATTTGTTAGGGACGGGATGGAACAATGGGAGTAGCCCGGGGGGTATGTGGCTTGGTAAAAGTTTTGATCAATGAGAGTATTTGCTGTGTCATTATTTTTGAAATTGGAACTAACAATTACCTTGTGAACACAATGAGAGTCTTGCATGACCGCGGGTTCACTCGACAATACAACGGCCGCGGTCTTTGTGGCCGGCCTGGAGGTCATGGCCCGCGCCAACAAGGGGCAATCCTTTGTTATGAGCCGATAGCTGCATTGTTTGCTTCTCTAATTGTTCAATTGTACAGAGCTCTAAACTCGAGGAGTAATTAATTACAAGTGCTGAGAGCTTTGCGACACATACCGTCCATCTGAGCATATTAAAGGCGATCGTCCCTTTCCGTATTTGCTCAGGTCTTCCCGGGAACCGTAAAAGACAAACCAGACATTCATCAAACACCACTCAGGCACCAACCCATACGCTTCCTATTACCATGGATCCCAAGTTCAGTCCAGAAGTCCGTAATGAGCACAATGTTGATCTTGGTTCTGTACACCGAGCATTTGTTCAAGTGCCGTTGGATCTCATCGAGAAGATGAGTGGGACCAAGGTGAAGTCCACAAATGACCAGTCGCCGTGCGAACTGAAGGCTAAGATTACCTCATTGACCGTTCTGAGAGGTAAATTGTCCGTCCTCGATGTTATCTACGCGCAGATTAGGGCACTCGTCAGGCCCCGTGGCGTGGGGGAGGCTACCATCTGCGACGGGAAGGAGCTGAGAGGCCCAAAAGGGGGATATCTACACAATATCTCTCTGATGCGTCCTCAGGGACAGGTAGTGGGTATGAGCTTCGTTATCGAACAGCTACCTGTAAGCACACAGGGCCTCGTTGATGTCGTGATCTCTTGTGAGCACTTTGGCTCGGAGCCATGGCGATATCAGTGTTCGGTGAAGAAAAATGAGGGGATCTGTATTGAATAGGAGTGTAGAAATAATTGAAGGTTATGCATACAATCCCCCTCGAGTCTCTTTTCATGCACAGGTAACTCAAGGGGAGCAAGTGAGGCGTGCCACACTTTTCGCAAAGAAAGCCCCGCGCGACTGATGTCTCTTGGGTAATTAAATTACATAATGCTGCTCGCAGTAAGCCCGGGAATCCCAATCGATGTCAACAATGGGTGGTGGTGGTTCCAAGTTCCCAAAGAGGTGTGATGTCGAGTAGGACCGCCACAGGCAAAACCGGCCCCTCCAGATTCGACCAATATCCCCCAACCAACCGTCGTAGAGAACACCGGTCTCTTTCTACTCTTACTTTTTATGGCACGGCATCCCACACAGGACGGTGGCTGTCAGCTTCCTCTCATTGATATCCCCCTTGGGTGGCACATGGTAACGGAATAAGGGATAAAGGCCTGCACAACCCCGGAGGCAATTTCTGAGACCATAATATGAGGGTAAACTTAACGACGAGAGGAGAATAGTATTGAAGTTGGGAGAATAGCGGCCAAAGGAGTAACTCAATAGGCTGGGGTTATTGGAATCGAACAAGAAGTCTGGGTTCCGAGACGGTAATGTGAATGGTGTCAGGTTATCCGCTAATTAGATATGCTCATTGAGGCGAGGAGTATAGCAGTGTTTACATTCGCCCGTAGGTCCTACGCGTGATATGAGATGTCCAAGTTATTCACTACCTTCATGCATCTGAGAAAACAAGCAGAGCAGTTCACTTATTATACGACAGCCTTAGACAGCAGCTTTAGTGAATAGGACCTTGCTTCTGCCCATTTGAATTCGGGTGATGCCATCAACACAAGAACCGCAAAGTTATTGGTCTTACTTGAACACATCAACATAATGAATGGCTTAGCATACCTAACTTCCGCGATAGTATTGGCAGCGCCGAAATTAAATCAGATGGTTGAACTGAGGAGCACGATGAAGCAATCCATTAGACTATGCCCTCACTCACAAACCAAAGGCATTACGACTTCGGCCGAAACTTGGTATTCGAGAAGCGCGATGCATCCCGGCTAGGTAGTCATGCAACGATTAACAATACCAGACACGCATCAATTCTCATGCTTCCCCACGCCATTTCACCTAATAACGGGATTGCCGCACTCCCGTGGCCAACAAGCACGGCATAGCGGCTCCCACATGTCGTTTAGGCGGCTGGATATTAGATCAGGGGGTAAAACCACTTCAGCCATTTGCAAATCCCGGCCCAACCGCCGATCCCTTGGGCAAAAGACAACGCAATCCGGGGCTGCCCCACGAAAAAGTCAACTGAAACCTTGGCTTAAGAGTCTTGGCTCAACAACCCCCCCTTGGCCCGCGGCCACCCCGATCGCTGTGATCGCTCTGATCGCTGCAGCAGCGGAGAGGAATGATTTGCGCGAGGAGGAGGACGGCCCGGGGAACGATAATGGGTTGCGATCAACAAGGCTGGGGCTGAGGGGTTTTACCGTTGAACCGAGAAGAGACCGAGAAGGTGGGTGGGTTGTTGGACATCATCGGCGTCGTTCTTTTACTTAAAGACTGTGAAGAAGTGAGATGAGTCTTCATCAAGATTCATTCTTGCCCAAGCCAGACTCACGCCGCACAACACCATCTTGTCCATCAAAAACCCACCAACCGCCACAATGAAGCTCCTCACCCTCCCCGTCCTCCTCCTTCCCAACCTCGCCTCGGCGCACTACATCTTCCAGCAGCTGAGCTCCGGGTCCCAGACCTTCGGTGTGTATGAAAACATCCGCAAGAACACCAACCAGAACTCGCCCGTGACAGACCTTGACTCGGACGACTTGCGCTGTAACGTTGGCGGTGCGTCGGGCGCCGACACGACTGTGTGGTCTGCGAAGGCGGGTGATGCGTTCACCTTCACCAGCGATGTTGCTGTGTACCACCAGGGGCCTATCTCGCTGTGAGTGTTTTCCTCTATGGGTGTTGTTAGCGGTGAAATTGGGTGTGTTTTCCGCGGACTCGGGCTGACTTGTGAGTGTAGCTACATGTCCAAGGCGGATGGATCTGTCAACGACTACGATGGATCGGGCGACTGGTTCAAGATCTTCGACTTTGGTCCTGACTTCAGCAGCGGCCAGGCTGAGTGGCCGATGAGGTGTATGTTGCCGCAGACTCTTCCTTGTTGTTTGCAAGGATGTAACTTTTAAGTTGTTACTAACAACGCGACAGCCACCTACGAGTACACCATCCCCACCTGCATTGCCGACGGCGAGTACCTTCTGCGTATTCAGTCCCTCGCCATCCACAACCCCGGCAGCACGCCGCAGTTCTACATCAGCTGCGCTCAGGTCAACGTCACGGGCGGTGGAAGCACCACGCCGAGCGCCACGGCCAAGTTCCCCGGTGCCATCCACGCCGATGACCCGGGTTACACTGCCAACGTGAGTTCCGAATCCTCTCCCCCCCCCCCGCTCTTGCTCGAAGGATGTGCCCGAAAAGAAAAAGGGGTTCTTCTCTCGGGCTTGGCACTGCGGAAGAGTTGGTCGCTGACACAGGGCCCTGCAGATTTACAGCGACTTCACGTCGTACACGGTTCCTGGACCGGAGGTCTTCAGCTGCTAGAGCGCGAGGTAAAGGATGACTACGGGTAGGTTCGGGCACCGCCTGAACCCGATGTTGATGTGGGCGGGTTATCTCGGCGGCGTCGGATGGGACATCATGGGAGAGGGGGGGTAAAGATGACGACAGATTCGAAGCGAGAGGGAGCGGGGGAGGTTTTGAGTTGATTTGTCACACCCGTGTGGAGCGGGATACGCGGCTGGATCTCTTTCAGTCTCCGGTGTTTTCTCGTCTTCTCGGGCAGCCCGGGTTGGCGTGCTGGCGTTGCAGTGCTTGAATGCGAGATCGTTTTCCATCCGTATTCTTTTCTTCTGACATGAGCGGGAATGCGGGCCGTCTGCCGTCGATCCTCCCATGCGAAACGCAACCCTGGTCTAGCGATCGGCAGAACTTAATCTTTGTGGGGTGGTGTCGCTCACTGCCGTATTCGGCCCGGAGCATCTGCCGGATCGCCAAGACCAGGGGTGCGGGAGACGCCGATGGATGTGGCGGTTGTGTATTCTTTTTCTTTTTGTTGTGTGCGTTCTCCAGCGAGCCTTCCAGATACGGCGTTCTCTCAAGGATGTTTCTCGGAGATCGAACTCTTTTCTGACGAGATCCAGATGCAGGTGGGGGGTCTTGTCATGGGCGGCAGCCATGGCCCCATGGAAGTCCATCAAGCCAGTAACCAGTTGGGCTGTGGAAGCAATGTCGAGCAAGGCAATGGCCGCGAGACACGCAAGACAGGCCGGGGCCGGTAGAAACTCTCGGTGCGTGGGCCGCAGAAAAGTTCGCTCGCTTCGCTGCGGGGGGATGCTACGGATGCGTGGAACCTTCTACACGTGTAACTCCGGACCCTAGAACCTGGTTTGAGAAAACGAGTCCTGAACAAAACGAAAATGAGGAAACGAGAGTGACGATCTGCCGTCGCCGCCTCATGGAGCCGAGACATGGGGTGCAGAGCGGCGTACATCCGGTGTTGGGGAAGACGCTATGTTTAGCTCTGCAATTTGCTCGGGCATTGGCGTCGGCTCCGGGAGAATCTGGGGAAATGAACGAGGCATGCGACTACGCCTCCCGGCTTGAGCTGAATGGTATGAGCTTCTCCATTTGAAGAGAAAAGTCGTACTAAAATCATAACTACAATCAGAGCACACTAGCAGGTTAGCCTTCATGTATGCTTGTGGGGATTTGGGCATTTCTTGCCATAATTATTCCTCTATCTTTATAGTCATACCCACCTTGCCACCTCCGCCATACCGACTAATAGGTGCTTAGGGTTAGGGGTTCTGCTAAGAAATACTTACATCGAATCTCAGTCTTGAGTCGCCGTACTCCGGCCGTTAAAGTTAACCAGAAGGGATTATAATGCACGCGGAAAACTAACATGGGAACTAGAAGGCAAAAAGGCTGTTGAGAGGATCGTTCTCTCCAGTCTGCCGGAATGATCACAAATTGCGGGTCTGTAAGCGTTCTTCAGGTGATACCCAGACTTAGTAACAAGTACAACACTCGATCTTTGACTTCCGTTTCTCTCCAGCAGCGGGAAATCCCCGCTGCTCTGTAATTGCGGCAACGCTAATACCAATCGTTCAATATTTTCTTCCTAATGGGAGAAAATAACGATATTGGAAACTACTAATAAAAAAGGAGAAAGTTCCAGTCAAGTCCCGGGCATACCTCTTTCCTAGTCCACCATGAGGTCATTGCGAGAAGGTTAACTAGGCTGTTTCAGTCATTTAGGTGAAAGACAGGTGAGTTACCAATGGCCGTCCAGCGTCGCGTAGTGTGACATTCAACCCAAGACGGAAGGCTCTTAGGGCATTCGGATAGATGGGGAGGGACGGATATCTGAAGCCACACCGAGACTCCTAATTTCACCAAATCCAAACCAGTTGAGTATCTTAACTTTTACCCAAACCCAGATTACTGTATTCACAGACCATGGGTGATATCCGAGGCACGTGCGAATGACACGGATGTAAAACGCCTTGTGGCAAAATGTGGCCGCCCATGTTGTAGTTCCCGGTCATCCGACAAGGACGATTGTAAGCTAGAAAGTCATATGCCGCGCTTTAGATCCGGGAAATACACTTCCCCACCGTCGGGGTTAAATAATGCACGACCAATGCAGCTTTGGCGGCATCGTATGTATGGTGAGTCTAGACTGCGATCCGGAAGACTTTCCCCAGCTTCCATTGCACGCTCATGTCTCTGCGATCAATCACACGATTGAACTTCTCAATAGTGTGTGGTTGGACAAACGACAACGGAGTGTAAGAGAGGACCGAACAACCCGAGCTGGAGATGGCAAAGCTCTGACTAACAAATATGTCAGCTTATGAACACTATAATACGCGAATTCAAAATAAGAAAGAGCTGCATGTGGGTTTATTACCTCGCTTAACAAGCTGACGCACACTCAATCCTGTGGTTTGTTGCCAAAAAACCTTGGGAGGTCTCCAAGCATCCGTAAAAGTGTTGCTGGCCGGAATAATGGTTCTAGGGAGTCGTTCTATGATACTTACTTTGGTGGTTATCAGTTCATAGCGTGAGTACTCAAATCTGAGTTACCGGACAAGCGGTTTGGTACCTGGGTCTAGATATTTTCCATAGATTGGACCTAATTACTCAGGAAAGGGCGATTCTGATTACTGTTTCGCTGATCAAATTCGAGTTGCCTCGCTGGAGCAGTATAAGGCATCTCAACTTCCAGAAACAAGGTCGAATTTTGGATTCAAGTCTTTTAGTTCGCAGAACCGGGTAGTGGTTTGGCGTTGTAAATTCTCAACGACGATCAACAATGAGCCTGGAAGAACCGGCCCCATAACCGGCCGGGTTAGCTGGGAGCAGTGGCTGTACGAAGGGGAAGAGCAAGGCAGAACGCGCAGGAAGGTGCGCCTTCCATAAGAATTGCTCGGCTCAAGAAGCCGCAAACTTTTACGCAGCTCTCCGATTTTCAACTTCCAATTTGATCCTCACGAAAAATCAACGAACAACAACCCATCGTAGTTGAATTTCAAACGAAGGCGCCTCCTCGGCCGCGCCAAAGTGACAACACACAAAGCGGACGCTTGGCGCTGCTATAGATATATAACAAGCATCTACCGAGCGGAACGTTAACGGTACACGTGACGGCTCGAGTCCTGGACCGTCGGACCGGTGCTTACTCTGTGCAGCTTGATTGGTTTCCGGCTGATTAACCAGCTCAAATCGGCCATGAGGCGAACGCAGCGCTCGGGTCGAACATTGTTCCACGGTATAGATGAAGTTGTGGCTGGCTCTGACTCTCCGAGTCAGCTGCGAAAACTGTATCGAGCATGGCCGGTGATTTATCCAAAGTGGGGGAGATTGCCGTTTTCAGCGAGCTCGCCAAGACACGGGATTCTTTCGACAGTGATCCGTAGATATCGAGGTAAAACCTGCAAGGCGACTCATCAACTCCAGTGTTGACAGGATTGCTTTCAATGGGCGAGCAAACGGTTCATGCGGCAGGCCGCGAAACATCGATTATGTCGCCACTCCAAGCACCAAGACAAGAACGAGACAAGGAAGGCCGAAGCTCGACCGATCGATGGAGCCAGCTTCCCCCCAAGACGGGTGTCAATCGTCAACATCCGTCGCCCGCCCAAACCGTTGCGGGTTCATCCCCACGTTGCACCCGGCCCGCGGGCAGCCCGATGCCGAAGGATTTGCCCTGAGCAGCCTGCCAGCCTGGTTCAACCCACCCCGGCCCGCACCAAGAAGTTCATCCCCGCCTTGTTTCCCCGCGAATCATTGCGCGCCGGTTTCCTCCAAGCCAAGCCGGTGTCGCTATCGCGCCGTCGCTGATTCGTTTATGGTTTGTGCTGACAGTTCGGAACGGCCTCGGCGAGGAAACAAGTCTTCTTGGGCTGAACGTTGTTCTGGTATCCGTATCCGCAGATCTGATTGATTTCCCGCAAAACCACCGGCGCCGTCGCCTAGATCCGGCTTTGATTCGGGGGTATGCTCGGGCGCATCATGCCCACGCCCAGTCCCGCCCCGTCATGCCGTGTCCTGCCTTGACAGCGACCGCCAGGGGGGCTGCCGGCGCCAGACAGCATGATCCAAGCATCGCCCCAAAAGCGCCCCCTCGGAAGGAAAAAAAAGTTGGGGAAAGGACGACAAGGTTTGACCCCACACGGCCATCAACCCTTTTCTCCAATTTACACTACGCGCTCCCTTAATCTGCAGAGCTGCGCTGTGGAGATGCCGATCTCATCTGCTTCGGGGTTGGAGGCTATACTCGGACCTGCAGCTTTTAATCTATCTTGCTCCATCCGTGTTCCGTGGTGGGCAAGCTTGGTGCATTCTTCCGCACGCAAGGGATCCATCCTCTCGGTGACACTCCGTTTGTCAACGCCCTTCAATCTCGCCATCTCTCCTCTTTTCCACGGAGAGCCGTTCCGTCCGCAGCGCATTCGCAAACAGGAATGCAGGGCCCCAAGTTCTGTACCGGAAACCAGAATCCCCTCTTGGTGCTGAGCGACAGGGGGGTAAACAAGGAGGGTGGTCAGGAACAATGGGGAACCATGAACCATCCTTGACTGGGGACGGTTCACCGGACTCCGCATTTGTCTCCCCCCCGGGACCAAACGATGATATTTATTCATGGCGCCCGCCCCCAGGGCACTCACGATGAAGGGATCGGTTGTGTTCCTTGGCCCAGCCTTGATTTATCACAGGACCAGTCTGAGTGAGCTCCGGCTGCATTGGGAACCATGAAGTTTTTCAGCCGCATCGGGGCGACTGCCCTCGCGGTGACAGCGTGTAAGTTTCCCAACCTGCGTGTGCGGGCGAAAAAGGAGACCTGAGGGAGTGAATTGTTGACTGACCTGCCCCAGCGCTGCAACAATGTGCCGCCCAGATGACCGCGGGAACCTACACCGATGAGGCGACCGGTATCTCCTTCAAGACGTGGACCGCCACCTCGGGTGGTGCCTTCACCTTCGGTATCGCTCTGCCATCAGACGCTCTGACGACTGACGCTACCGAGTATCTCGGTTACCTGGTATGTGCAAGAGAGGGCAGAGGACCACAGCCACTGGGGACGATATCTGGAAGATGACAGCCTGTTTACTGACGCATCTCGCAGAGCTGCCAACTCGCCGACCCTACCGCCCCTGGCTACTGTGGTCTGTCCCATGGCCAGTCCGGTCAGATGACCCAGGCGCTCCTGCTCCTCGCCTGGGCCAGTGAGGACGTCGTCTACACCTCCTTCCGCTACGCCACCGGCTACACCCTGCCCTCCCTCTACACTGGTGACGCCAAGCTCACCCAGATCTCGTCCAAGGTCAACGCGGACTCCTTTGAGCTGCTCTACCGTTGCGAGGGCTGCTTCGCCTGGGACCAGGATGGCGTCCAGGGCAACGTTTCCACCAGCGCCGGCAACCTTGTCCTCGGCCACGCTGCTGCTACTTCGGACCTTGTTGGCCCTACCTGCCCCGACACGGCTACTTTCGGCTTCCACGACAACGGTTACGGTCAGTGGGGTGCTGCGCTGGATGGCTCGACTTCGGACTCGTATGCGGACTGGGCTGCGCTCGCGACCACGACCCCGCCCACGACCTGCGACGGGTAAGCTCACTCTCTTCCTACAGCTGTGTGCATGTGCATGTGTGTGTGTCAAAAGTATGGTTACTCGGCCCGAACCTCGCCCCAAAACGCCCTCACATAGCTGTGCGAGGAGGAATCGTCATTGTGGTTCAAAAATAGGAAAACCGGAAAAAAAGCAGTACGGACAGGACATAGGCATCTTTCAACAATGTGGACAAGCAGATAGCATTCATTTCTACATACCCAAGGGACCGCCGACACGGGGTCCCCAGTTATATTCGAATATTTCCTTCACAACCTCAACCTCAACCTCTATGGATATGCCTGCTGTCATTCCGGCTGCGATGCGGGACGCCATACTTTTGACACAACCCGTGTTATCTTCTGTTCGCTTCGCTGCAAAGCAAGGAGACATGCTAACAAGACGTGTATCATAGCTCGGGTGGTGATGACGCCGTCTGCACTCCCGCTCCGGAAGACACGTACGACTACATCGTCGTTGGCGGTGGTGCCGGTGGTATCACTGTCTCCGACAAGCTGAGCGAGGCTGGCCACAAGGTCCTGCTGATCGAGAAGGGCCCCCCGTCGACCGGCCGCTGGAAGGGCACCATGAAGCCTACCTGGCTCGACGATACTGACCTCACTCGCTTCGACGTCCCCGGTCTGTGCAACCAGATCTGGGTCGACTCGGACGGCATTGCCTGCACGGATACCGACCAGATGGCCGGCTGTGTTCTCGGTGGTGGTACCGCCGTCAACGCTGGTCTATGGTGGAAGCCTAACCCGCTCGACTGGGACGAGAACTTCCCCACTGGATGGAAGTCCGATGACCTCGCCGACGCTACCGGCCGTGTGTTTGAGCGTATCCCCGGCACTAATGCCCCGTCGCAGGACGGCAAGCGCTACCTCCAGGAGGGCTTCGACGTCCTCACCGGTGGTCTTGAGCAAGGTGGCTGGACCTCGGTCGTTGCCAACGAGGAGCCCACCAAGAAGAACTTCACCTACGCCCACACCGAGTACATGTACGAGGGCGGCGAGCGTGGCGGCCCTCTGGCTACCTACCTCGTCACTGCCTCTGGCCGTGACAACTTTGCTCTCTGGACCGGCTCGGCTGTGCGCCGCGCTGTTCGTGACGGCAGCAAGGTCTCGGGTGTCGAGCTCGAGTGCTTGACGGACGGTGGCTACAACGGCACCGTCAAGTTGAACGAGGGCGGTGGTGTCATCTTCGCGGCCGGTGCCTTTGGCTCGGCTAAGCTGCTCTTCCGCTCTGGTATCGGCCCGTCTGACCAGCTCCAGGTTGTCGCGAGCTCCAAGGACGGCGCGGACTTCACCGCCGAGAGCGACTGGATCAACCTGCCCGTCGGCAGCAACCTGATTGACCACTTGAACACCGACCTGATCGTCACTCACCCGGATGTGGTCTTCTATGACTTCTACGAGGCCTGGGACGAGCCGATCGCGGATGACGAGTCTGCGTACCTGAACGGTCGCACCGGTATCCTTGCCCAGGCTGCCCCCAACATTGGCCCCATGGTGAGTCTTGGAAACATGACATGTGAGACATCAAGGACCATTCGCTAACATATTTGCTCTAGATGTGGGATGAGGTCACTCCCTCCGACGGCAAGGTCCGCCAGTTCCAGTGGACTTCTCGTGTTGAGGGTGCCGCCACCTACACCAACTCGACCCGTAAGCCTTCCTTGTCTGATATGTCTTACCCTTTTGCTTTAGACTAACCGAGTTTCCCCCAGACGCCATGACCCTCAGCCAGTACCTCGGCCGTGGTGTCGTCTCGCGCGGCCGCATGACCATCACCAAGGGCCTGACCACCGTCGTCAGCGACCCGCCTTACCTCAAGGACGACTCCGATCTCGAGGCCGTCATCACCGGCATCAAGAACATCCAGGCCGCCCTCAACACCATCCCCAACATCACCTGGGTGCTCCCGCCCCCCAACGGCACCGTCGAGGAGTACGTCGCCAGCCTGCCGGTCACCCCCGCCGCGCGCCGCGCCAACCACTGGATGGGCACTGCCAAGCTGGGTAGTGATGATGGCCGTGACGGCGGTACCTCGGTTGTGGATCTCGATACTAAGGTGTATGGTACCGACAACTTGTTTGTGGTGGACGCGTCGGTGTTCCCGGGTATTAGCACCGGTAACCCGTCGGCTATGATTGTTATTGTTGCTGAGCAGGCTGCTGGGCGGATTCTCGCGCTGCGGAGCTAGATGGCTGTCGCTTGTGGTTAGCAGGCGATGGCTTGTCTGAGTTCTAGGGGACAAAAGCGAGGACAGGGAAAATATTGTTAGGGAGGATAACGAACATGTGACATTCTCTGTGTATATTGAATGGGAATTTACATACCTATCATTGTCCCTTTTGACTGTTTGTGCGACAATAATGATTGTGTCTCCAACCCTGTGTCTTCTAACTCGGCACAGTCTTCTAACTCTCTTGTTTGGGCCTTACCTCTGTTCTTTCACGCCCCACCTCCTTACCTTGCCCTGTCGCCTGATTAATCTGGTCAAGTCCCAACTCCCAAGTGCAGACCACACCCCACGTGATCAACATATACCGTTGTTTGAGGATGTGATCATACACCCATCAAGTCCCACCAACACTCTACTGCAGATGCCGACGTCCACCCTCACCATCGGAAAATTAATATTCGTAAGACGCCGTTTAGTCGGTGAACCGGTCTAACGGGGTGGCCTGAATAGGGACTTTGTGATCCTGACTACCTCCGAGATCTGGATTCCATTTCTGCCAATGTAATTGCGCCGTGCTTGTGGGTTTCTGGGAATGATGTATTTTTAGCTTTTACTTCTTGCTTTGTTCCCTCCCCCAGTTTCCGTAGGGACATAAATCAAGGACATGTGGAAAATTGTTCCTTCAAAATTGGGCATCCGAATATACCTTAGATCCTGAGGTTAGTCGAGGTTTTGCCTTTTGAGGTTTCCCGGCCCTGAGGATCTCCGTAACCGTCTGCTATCCCTTCAAGCCCCTCTTAGCCGTGTTTCCGCTCTCACGTCCCTTGCTCCCAGTGAATTCTAGTTAGAATCGGGTGTTTATGTGTCAGTGTAACAAATAATCCGGACATGAATCCGCTTCCACATGTGCCCTCGATGAAAGGCATTGTCCGCCGAGGCATACAGGTATTGGTGGCTACTCTGCCACATATGACTGTCCCTTAAGCCTCTCCTAAACTAACCGACGGAAAACAAGGGGAACAACAAGATATTCCCCCGTCTGAACTCCCCAGGAGCTCGGGCCAACAACGTAGAGCGAGAATGGAAGAACAAAAAACCTCAACACCGCGTTCCTGCCGTCCGCGGCCAACAACGAGAATCAACGCGTCAACTCGCGCGTGCCCCTGGAGCCTAACAAAGCGGTGGTCACGGGTCGTCCCAAGTTCGCCCTGTTTCAAGAGAAACTATTGTGCACATGCTGATTGTTCCTGTGCCTGACTTCTGGCTGGGGCGTGCCCTGGAAAACTATATCAAGGCTCCTCACCACCCTGGCCTTCTTCTCCTTGACTTACTTCTGGGCCAGTGGTTTTGGGGAGATTGTGATCCAACTTTCCTACCGACCATCTATCTTGCTCGGTGGTTTAGATTTCTCTACTGCTATTCTTTTCTTCATTCTCTGTTTCTCTTGATCCTCTCGTCTACCCTCAATCTCCTCGTCTCGGCCTTTACCGACCGACCCTTTTTTCCCATTGTCAACACCGCTCGATTACTCGTCTTCGGTTTTGCCTACTTTCTACCGACTGCCGTCCCGAGACGCATTTCTTTCTACCCCGCGAATCACTCTCGTCAAGTCCGACTTAGCCTTTCTACACACCTCGGTGCATCATCACTTTGCACTCTTCTTTCAATCTTTCCCACAACCGATAACCTTCTCTTCAACTATCATCACCAAGAAACCTAACACATCTCGCCCATCATGTGCATCGCCGTCGTCAAACACTGCCCCTGCGTCAAATGCATGGACAAGCCCTCTCCCGAGACGACTGAGCGTCTCGATTACTGCGCCGACAAACAGGAGATGCTCCGCGGCACTTGGGACGGCAACACCTCTATGCCCATGTTCACCCGTCAGAAGCTCATGATGCCGTGCCATGAGCTCACGTACATGCGTGCCTTGGACGCGAACATGTGCCTGTTCAAGAAGGACAACGCTTCGCCTGCGGACACGATCGCGGCCCCTGCGGCCGAGACCGCCGTCGCTGATGAACGTCCTTTGATCAAGTTCACACCGATTAACATTCCCACCAAGGGCCGCAGCAAGCTGGCCAACTCTTTGTCCAACGACACTTCGGGGGTCACCGGGACTACCATGGGCAAGCTGAGCTCAGACAAGAAACTGGATGTTTCCTACTTGGCGTCGACTGCGCAGCAGGCTCTGGATTTCAGCGCCGAGAAGAACCAGGAGTCTAAGAAGGTATGGTTTCATAACTTTCATTTATTACTCGCGTAACGACTGCGATAATTACATTTAACTAACCCGGCGATCCGATCTTTCAGACTTCGGACAAGAACAACAAGGACATCGGCAAAGGCAAAGGAAAAGAAATTGACAATGACATTGACGATGACAACGTCAGCACCACGACCGAAGAAGTCGTCAACACCGACGCCGACGAGATGGACGTCGACACGGACAACAACAACAACCCCGTCGTCATCACCTCCGTCACCGCCACCGGCACAGCCACCAACCCCATCACCATCCCCAACACCCCGCGCCTCTACACGTTCAAGCACATCCACAAACGTGCCCGCCTCGACGGCCCCTCTACCACCACCAAGACCGGCACTGCAACCGGCACCGCCCTAACCACCGCTGCTGCCCTCACCCACCTAGCTGAGAACTTTGCCCGCGAAAACAACACCACCAACAACAACAGCAGCCCCAACCCCACCAGCAGTACCATCGTCCACCCAGCCAGCAGCACCATCACCGCCACCAGCTCCCCGGCCTGCAACAACAACAGCAGCTCCCCCCTGGCCCCCACTCCGTCGAGCACCACCCACGGCACCGGCACCGGCACCGGCACCCCTGGCCACACCGGCACCACTGGCCGCACCGGCAGCACCGGCATCACCAACAGCAAAGGCCGTACCCCGCTGCCGAACTCACGCCCGATGACCCCGCGCGTGATTCAGGCCACGGCGGCTGCGGCGGCGGCTGATTTGGCTGCGAGGGTTGCGAGGGGGGTGTGGACGCATGAGGAGTCGGTTAAGGTTTTGTTGTTGAGGTGCAGGGAGATTGAGTATAATTCGGCGAGGGCTAGGGAGGTACGTATTTCTTTTACTTTGTCTCTTGTACATTCTCCTTTGGGGTTGTTGGAGAATGAGAAAAAGATGCTAATGGGTTTTGTTTGTGAATAGGTTCTGCCTGGCCGAGACGCGGCTGCTTGTGAGGACCAGCTGCTTGATTTGGCGCTGAAGTATGGCTATGAGGACCATATTTGAGCTGCCACAGCCTGTCTGTCCCTAGGTCATTGGGTGACCAAGCTCAACAGCATATAGACATGGTTGGGTTTTACGGAGGTTATTAGGTCTGGACTTGGACTGGATGGAGTTTTGCGTTTGGAATCGGGTTAGGGCATATTACCTCGATAGTGAGTGCCTGGTTGATACGGGCGTTTGGAAGGGATTGGTATCCGTGGACTGGGACATTTCGGCTCTGGTTTGTCTTTCTGGGCATATACCCTTGGAGTTTGAGGAGGTTCAGGGAGGAATGGGACTGCTCTAGGTCCTGATAATGCTCTTTCGGAGCTTGCATCTGCCACGGAACTCCTTGGGATAGTACTGGCAGGTGTGAGCAGAAAAGGGCTCGCAGTACGATAGTTACCTTAAGCTTTTAGCATTGCGTTTTGCGGACATTTCCGTCACTCTGTAACGTAGAATCAGTCATTTTTCTTAGCTGCGGTGATGTGACCAAGAGCACTCACATCTTGATCCTCCAGAGGTTATCGACAAACTTGAGGATGCCCGTGGTTGAAGCTGTGATTGTCATGTCCTCGTTCGCACCAACAAGCTCTTTATACTTGTCAGCGGGTGGTCATACCGAATAAATCACCATACCACGATGATGCACGCATCTTCGACCATTTTTAGTTGCCGCCTTACAACTAAGTGTTACATCACAAACCTTATACAAACAGTAACACCCAATACAATGTAGTAATTCGCAAAACCACTAACCCATCTAAAGCCCAGACGACACCCACCGCCAACTACGAACTGAAGACCATAAATACCACAACCCAAACGCTTAACTCTCTCTCACACCTCCAATACCCCCCTGTCCATCTCCATCATCAACCCCCTCCTTCACTCCAATCCCCTAATTACTAAAATTCCGCTGTATACCACCTCTCCCCCCGCGACCGCCGATGAGACGACCCCCGACCCAAATCCCCCGCATCCCATCGAAAAGGCCCACACCAACGAAACGACCCACCAAATCTACCCGGTAGCGGCGGTGCCGGCTGCTCTGTGTGTCCCTGTCCCTGTCCCTGTCCCTGTCCCTGTGTCCCCAACTGTGTCTGCGCATTTCCCCCCTCCGAAGCCCTACGTCGAGGTAAAAGCGGAATAGGCGGGTATGCACCCTCCGGCAGTATTGTGGCCTCCTCGGGGCGAATGTATGTTGTGGACTGGACTCGTTCATTGTGGGTTATGGATGCTGGGTCTGGGTGGGGCTCCCAGACGAGGGTGTAGAAGTAGTATTCTCGGTTGTTGACGCGGTGGGACCGGTGGTGGTGATTTTGATGATGGTGGTGGTTGTCATGACGATGGTGTCGGTGGGAGTGGTTGTTGTTGGTCTGGGTGTGGGATGGGGGGCCTCTGAAGTGGACGAAGGCGCCGAGGGATTCCCAGTTGTGTCCTGGGGGGCGGAAGTTGGGGTTGGAGCCGGTGGGAGGCATTTTGTTTTGTATGTATGTGTGTGTGTGTGTGTGTGTGTGTGTGTGTGTGTGTCGTGCCAACTGATGTTACGTTTGAGAAGATTCCCCTGGAGTGAGAAGTAGGTTGCTCATTGAAAATGAGAGTAGTAAAAGGGGGAAAGCGAGTAAGGGCAGGGCGTTATATAGGATTCTTGCACTCTCTGTGAGTTCATGTGCTGTAGCAACCCCCTTTGTACCGCACAAAGTAGAAATATGGAAGCAGGATCAATATGCTGACCAAATCTCAGCATCTAACCCCGAGAGAGCTGGCATCTGATAATTCACTATGCCTTGTTAGCTTTCACAGTCATGGCTACATAGGGAACATTTGGCAGTCAAGCTACCGTGGACAAGTGTCATCCAGCCTTGGTTTCGTGACGGCAGCCACTCTACACGCTGGAACAAGGAGATAGTGTCCTACCACGCCTCCCCATGAACCCGCAACCGCGCTCATATGAGCAACGCCGAGAAACACCAGCCGCACTGCGGGCGACTCCAATGTCGTGGCTGGCCGGAAGGAAGACGCCCACAAGATCTCAAGAAGAGCAAAACTGGTCGACTGTTTTCTTCTTCCCCTATTCACCGTCACCTCACAAACGATCACGCAAAACTCTCAGCTCGACCACAAATACCATCCAAACTAGACCCAACTAGATCACCAAGGATCTCCACAACCGCTCCAAGAACGTTCATTCACACGCCCTCGCAGCCTTTTGCGTGCCCCCTTCGCTATTAACCCCTTAATATCCTTTCCTGACTCACACTCCTCGCGCAAATGCCGTACTAATCGCAAAAACCACCAAACAGCAAACACCGCCAAGAACCTACCATGGCCCGCGCCATCAAGGACTGCATAGTAAAGCACCTAGTGTGCAACAATTGCAAGGAAGAGGTTCACGTGCGGTGTGCCCATTGTGAAGAGTGTCCCAGCTGCTGCTCTTGCTGAACACACTCTTTGCCTTTGCTGAATTCGCACACTTTGGCCGCTAGATGGCACGGAAAGGAGATGGGCTATAGGCTACTAGAGGTTTCGGAATTTCGGGACTCGCTGCGGCTGCTGGACTCGCTGCATTCTGAAGAATAGGATGGCTGAGTGTGGGATAGCCGGCCCGGGGGTCTTTGACGCAGCGGGGCCTTGAATTTTTTGAAGTGCTCTTTGTTCTTAGTTGTTACTAGGGCGAGTGGGAAGGCTGTGCCGCCTGGGCCACGATTATAACATAACACAAAGTCATTGATGCACTTGGGATGGTAGTAAAATACTAAAGTCTATTTGTTCCTCCTACTGGTGTTGAGAGCTGCTTACTAGCGCACTGTCAACACAAATATTCCTAGTCTATCCTCCCCTTAAGTGGGGTGCACGAACAACAATAACGCCGTTCCTCTGTAAGCATAACTATCCCCTAACTCAGGGCTATCATTTCCGATCAAAGCCCAAAAGTCCATCTTACCTTACCCATATCGATAGAGACTCGCCACCGGTCTTTGTCCTTCATGTTTCAGGTTCTGTTACCCCGGTTACTGCCAACATAATACTTACTACTATGTACAATTACCCCCAATTACCCCCATAGAATTCTTACCTCAAAGCCTCCTCCACGAATTCGGGGGATACATAGACGACCTCTTCCTTCTCCGGCGGCTCGAGTCATCCTCGTCTTGTTCCGCACTGGGATTTCCCAGCCCACCGTAACCTCCCCGGTCATGACTACTCACAGAACCACACCGGCTAAGGCCCACGGGAGGGCTGTTGTCTTGCTCTATGCTGACAGAGTGACGGCGCTCTCGGTTACGACTGCTATGCTCGCGGCTGCTATGCTCACGGCTACTATGCTCGCGGCTCCTATGCTCACGACGATCGGCATCAGGACGGCTCTCATAACTAACTGAAGCCCGCCTCCAAACAGGAACAGGAGTGGGCGTAGTCGGATCCGGCCTCGCCCAGTCCCTATCCCGATCCCGGCCTAAATCCCTCCACCCATTATCCGGAAACCCCTGCGGAAATAACCTCCCCGGCGACGGCTGAGTCGGCCGCTGCTGAGGCCTCTCATCCCCGCCACCAACACCAATACCACCAGCAAGATCACTCCCCGACCGAACTTCAAACCTCCTCGCAAAACTCTCCAACGGATCCGGCCGACGATTACCGCTATTACTATTCCCACCACCACTCCCATTATTACTCCCATTATAATTAGTAAGATTACCCCTCGTCGCAAAATTCAACACCGGCGACCGGAACTCCTCATCCGTCCCCACCACCGTGTCACTGCCACTCACACTCGGCGCGGCCGCGGGCCCGGGCTTGATACTCGGCGCAGGTGGGGGGGAATCGGCAGAATAGACCGACGACGACCAGACGTCTTGGGGGTCGGGGTACTGCGACGGTGGCGCCAAAGCAGACAGACGACTAAGCGGGGAGGAGTCGAGGTGCGGTGCTGGGTGAGGACTGTACGGGGACGATGACCATGGCGACGAGTTCGGTTGTGCCGGCCCTGGTGCTGGTGTCGATCGTGGTGCCGACCGTGGTGCCGGTCCTGGTGTTGGTGTTGAAACCGAGACCGGGTCCGAGACCGAAACCGGGTCGGGGTCAGAGGAATAAGGGGACATCTCACCATATTCCGACGCGCGCGGGCGCAGGTGTGGGGGGACAAGCGCCGGTGTAGGCTGGGGGCGCGACCGGGCAATGGTGGGCGTGGGATAAGGAGGGAGGGCGCCGTAGCCGTATTTGGCTCGGATGTCGGTCATGTCGGGGATGATGGGGGTTGGGCTGTCGCTGCGTCGGCTGCGTGACGGGGCAGGGGAAGCGGGGAGGGGCCGGTCGGTGTTGATTTT